CATTTTTATATTCTATTTTTGGTTTCTCTGTCACTACTGCACTATGAATTACCATGGCCTTTGTCTTCGAGACGTTCACAGGCAAAATATAGTCATCGGCAAATTTTTCAAGTGATTTTAAAATCTCTTTTGCCTGTTTTTCTAGATATTTTATATTATCCGATAACCTCCTTTCAAGTGCTCCTTTAATAACTATAGTTAAATCATCCGCGAATAAATGAGACACAATCTGAGTGAAATACCCAGGCAAAAAGTGTATGTGGATTCTAAATAATAAAGCTGCAAGCACAGATCCCTGTGGTGCACCTAGAAAAATTCCGATAACCCTGGATTCCGCATCTCCGTGACTGATTGTCATCGATCGGTTTTGCAACCAACCATAGATCCATCGACGTAAATCCAGAGGCATGTCGAGATCATTAAAAGTTTTGAAGAGTGCTGGATACCATAGACGGTCAAATGCCGTAAGGAAATCAATGAAGATTGCTAACACTGGACGGTTTGGTGCCGCCACTGTTAGTCGTATATCTTCAATCAGAGATAGTATTCGAGTTTGTAGCCTGCGATTAGCGGTAAAGCCTGATTGTTCATCAAGATTTAATCCATTATCGAGGCACCAGTTTTCTACTCTTTCTGCTATGATTTTCTCGAACCATTTACCTATGTTCGGCAGCAGTGAAATAGACCGAAGTCTGTCCTCCGTTGGATAAACTCCATCTTTGGACAAACATACTCCCCTCGCATGTTTAGCTCTCTCAAAAAATGTCCCATTTTCAGCGCACTTGTTAAAAAGTACTGTTATAACTTGAAAGTATTCAGTTGGAAGATTTTTTAAAAGAAAGGCGGATGTATTTACACTATCCATTGATTTTTTCGGTTTAAACTTTTTCCATTGTTTTATAACATCTTCTATTTTTATTTTTTGAAGGGGGATATTCGGAGTATACGAAATTTGTGTATATGCTTCTCGACATTTTGTATGATGCGCATTATTTATATTATATATAGACTCAGAAAAATGCTTTTCATAGTAGTCGGCCAGATTATCGCAAATTTTTTGATGGTCCCTCTCAATACCTTGTGGCGTTTTTAATCCTCGAAACGGTGGTGTGTATTTTTTAAAAATTGGACGCGCTACCTTCCAAATATTATTATTCTCTCTCAAGAAAAGTAGTTTTTTATTTCTCTTTTTCTCTTCATAGTTAATTTTTTCTTTTTGGTATACATCATACCAATATGCCCATTCCTCGTAATGTCGTACATAATGTGTTTTTCGATATTTTCTTTTATGTTTATTTACTGTCTTTGCTAATAGAATAAGATGTTGTGGCCACGGAGGCCGATATTTTTCCACGCTTTCATAAATACTACATCTGTCCCATAAACCTGATAAGAAATTTGAAAATAGTTCGAAAAACGCATCATGATCGATGTTGTAAACTAGACAATTGAAATACTTAAATAGACATTTTAAGAGAAATGAGAATATTGACCAGTTGGTTTTTCGAAAAGATGAATTTTTATTGACAGAAAAGGGTGAAGTGTAAATGATTGGGTAGTGGTCAGACGTGCCCACTTCTAAAACTTCACAGTTCCATCCTGTTATATCTTGAGCAATCATAAAATCTATGATGGCCTCAGACCTTTTTGAAGTTGTAGATAGTGGGTGAGTCATTTCACATCCATTCTGATCCATCCATTCCTTTATCTCATTTCCGCTTGTATTATTATTACTACAATTCCATTGAACATGTTTTGCGTTATAATCACCGAAAATAAAGAAATTTTTCCCCACGTGCTTCTCAAATAATTCAAAAGGTGTTTTACTTTTTGGTGGCACATATATTCCTCCGAGTAGAATTTTTTCATTTTCTGTTTCTATTTCTAACATTAAGAAATTTTCTTGTTTTTCTATAATTTTACTGGATATTGACTGATGTAGTAGAATAGCTACTCCTCCAAAACTGTTAGAACCCTCTACACTTTCCCAATAGTTTATTGCATTATTGAACCCACTCACCATAATGTTTCTTACAAAATGTTTCAAACTGAAATGATCTTCTCCCTTTGAAGGTGCCTATAAATATATGTTGAGAACATATCTCCCTGAATTTTTTTTATGTGTATGTGCATAGTCTTATCGTTTCTTTTTAGATAAATGATAGATGATAGGAGAAGAAAAAAAAGAATATTTACTTTCATCATGGATTCAATTACGTTTTGTTTTTCGTTTAATTGTTGAATAAGATCATCACGTTGTTTTTCTATTTCATTTCGCTTGGCTTCATTGGTTTTCATCACTTCATTGCATCGACTGAGCAATGATTCAAGCTTGGAGTTCTAAAGTAAAATATTTTAATGCTATTGACAAAATTTTATTAAGCACAAGAATATGTTTCATGTACGTAGGGACTTTAAGTTTTGTTCTCTATTATTTTGAAAACATCGGTGTAAAAGTTCTTTTTTAAACTTCAAGAATCGATTGCGATTGTAAATATTAGACTTACGAAGAAGATGAAAGATAAAGATAAATCACTATTAGAGTGTATGCAGACGTAAACAAAGAGATTATGTATGAAATGCTCGCGCTAATCCTATGCAAGTGTTATAAGCTAAAGTGTTTCGAATACTAAATGCATGAAAAATAAAACAAAGAACTTCTGATCAATGATGACTACAAGAAGGAATATGTATCATAAACAGTTTGATAGGCGAATTGCTGACTTAAAAACAAAAATTTAACCTTCTCGAGGAGTTTTTGAATTTCTTGTTGATCTGCATCATGCGGTAATTGAATGAGATCTTGCTGTGCATTAAGCTAAACAAAAGAAGAATATATTCTCTTCTAGGAAAAAAAAAGTTGATTATTTTACTTTTAATGTAAGTTCTTCGATTCTATTTTCTCGCTTGCGTATTTCTTTTTGATGTAAACATTCAAGTTGTTCTTTAGCTTGTCGATCGAGCTTAGTCTGTTCACGTAATTCTGAAAGTCGTTTTATTGATGTATCTTGATGTTGTTGTAAAATGTTCTGCGCGGAAAAAATTACAAATTATGATTAAAAAACGAATTTTTATGTACTTTAATATGGTCTTTTTCTCGTTCAACTTCATCATAAGCATTTTTTAATTGGTTGAATTTATTTTTATAAATAGCAAGTAATTTTTTCATTTGTATCATTTTCTAAAATAAAGAAGAATTTAAAAAACAAATAAACATTGTTTTTATGAACTCACTGCATGACTTTCATGATCGCTATCATCACCACCACCACCACCATACTCAGATTCAATATCCGACGGCGGATAATAAGTACGTGGAGGTGATTCATAATTTAAACTTGCATTAGGATTATGACCAACACTAAATTGGCTGATATCACTTGCAGCTGAATCTAATCGAGTACGATTATTTTCCTTGAAAGAAAAATGCAAAAAATATAGATTGCAAAAGTAAATTCTTATTTACATGATTATCGTCACGACTCGTAATTGACGATGTTCGTGTATCGGAATCTCTTGATATAGATGCCTAATTTGAAATAAAAACAATAGATAAAATTGCCAATATCTTTCTAAACATACTGAATCAGGCGATGAAATGCCCGGAATAAAGTTTAGATTTGTTTTAGCAGCTTGATTTGCTAGTTTTTCTTTCAAATTTTTGAACATAATGTGATTATTGGAAACAAATCAAGCAAAAAAACAATCCCTATAGATGTAGAGTGTGTGTCGTTTATTTTTTAATATGTCCGATGATTAGCATTGCATATGCTTGTTGTCATTGTCACCCTTGCGTTAATCAATGCATGGTTGGCTCTTTTAAGAACCAATCTGATTTCTTAACATGATCTCAATAAATATATTTATTTTTATTTATCTTCTATCAGTTGGTGCTTTCTCCGTCCGTCACACCTTCAAGTAACGAGATGTCGCTTTTAGACTATGTAAATTTCATCGGCTATTTCTTGGGAAAGTTTTCTTATTAACTTCAATTAAAAGTCATAGATTGAATTGTATCATTACATAAGAATAAACGAAGGACTATATCGATATATGGGTGAGATGTTTCTGTTCGAATATGTTGTCATAACTTCAATGCGGATTCTTTTTCTATTGCTTCTTGTTTTTACTCAAAGCATTGGTAGCGTGAGTAGCTGTTTGCTTCGGCAAACACATAATGCACACACACACACACATGGCCGTGAAATTTATAAGAAAAGAGTGTAAATCAATAAAGTCACTAGAGACTTTCTTTTACCTTCAAATTTCGAATATAAGTAAATCAAAATCGTATTGACTCAAGGGTGAGCTACCAAAATCAATGCTTCACACTTCTGAAATATTCTAGATTTTGGCATTAGAAAAAAGAAATCAATTATGTTCACTGAATTATCATTATTACGACCGAAGAGATTGAGACGCGCAAATTTTTCACGAGCTGACTTTCTAACAAAAAATGAGAACGCTCTGATCAAACCAGCCTTATTCGATTTCTGTTATGAACTCCAAAGAAAACGGCGTATTACACCACATGATATCAAAGACTTGGTAAAAAATTATCACGCCGATCGTGCTGTTGAATGGTATCAACGAGAAAATTTTATTTTTCAATGTGTAAATGAGGCTTTAAACACTGGAAACGTCGAGCACATATACTTACTACGCCATTATATCACTGACTTGCATGAACGAATCTGTACGTCAAAACATCAACGCACTGGATTAAATAGTTCATTTCTGAAAACTGAAATTAACGCATCGAGAAGTATTCTCTACCGAGTGATAAGACTATCGGAACGCGAACGAAAAACACTGGAAAGTCTTGTTGGTCAACTGGTTACTAATAGATCATTTATGTCAGCAAGTAGAAGCAAAGATGTTGCACTCGAATATTCGTCCCAAAAGACTCAAACAACTGAATCCAATTTATTACTCTTTGAAATAAATATAGATTTGAATTCAACTGTAATTCTCGATACTGATATTACCACATCAGAACATGCACTTCTACTCGATTTTGGTATTCGATTTCGAGTCACAAAATGTGAATTCGACACAAAGGACAATGTATGGGTTTGCGGACTCGAAACCGCAATAGCAGAGCCAGCATTTATACAACAATCTGCATTGGTTTCATTGAATGATTGTTTATTAAAATTAAATTCCTATGAGAATGATGATACTCGTATAAACACGACGATAGATGACAGGCGACCACATTCGGCTAGGATTAGCGAAATAAAATCTCTTTCAGATAACACAAATCGAGAACTACCATTTACTAGTAGGCCCATCGAATGGGCTCATGTTCTTCAGATAAAAGCACTTGTTGAATGGAAACAAAAGAATCTTTTAAAACTTTCCAACGAATGGATTCAAGCTATACAAATCTATGCGCAATGTGATACAAAATATCATTATGACGATCTTCACATCATCTACTGCTTAAACAATGTCGGTTATATTTATCATTTATTCGGTAAAGATTCACTGGCGATTCAATTAATTAAGACTTCGTTGATGATATGCCGTAGACAATTACTCGCTGAGCAGCCAGTTTTTGCTCAAAGTTGTCGAAATTTAGGCTATATATTTGCAAATTTAGGTGATTATAAGACGGCTCTCGACTATCATAAACGTGCCATAAAAGTCACAAGACAATCATCTCCGTCAGCACAATGGACTACGGTTCTAACGTTGCGCAACATGGGAGATATATGTCATCGTTCAGGTAATTTCCCTCAAGCACATACATATTACAGAAAAGCAGCCGATGCCTATAAGAAATGTATGGATATTTTTATTGCTAGTGGTTATTTGGAATTTGTATGCTGAATACTTTTTTTTGGTTTTACAAAAAATTTTACGTATATTTTAGTTTTGAATAATTGCATAAAAAAAAATCTCGTTTCTCAATGACTCCAAGGCTACCTTCTAGAATGACTTCATCCACTGAAATTTTTGAGATAGTAACATTCTATGTTCACTAAATTTAAGAGAAGGCTATATAGAGTAAATTTATTTATAAAATGAATCGATTCACATTGTGAACGAAAAAAAAGAAATATTTTTCTAATCAAATTTAATCAAACATTTTCATTCTATTCGTCGTCGTCGTCGTTGGGCTCTTGTTCCCGATCAATTTTCGTTGTTTTCATTAATGTTATCAAATCGATTGGTATATTGTCGCAATCGATAAAATCTAATTGATTAAAAGTAGATTGAATTTGTTCACCACAATAAAAGAGTAACCAACGTAAATAATTATCATTATCTTTATTGTACCTAATTTTTTTATAACATGACTTCGATGTAAATGCATCTGTAAAGATCGTTATATCTTGACCAATATCGTGGTTCGAAGTAGGCGATGACGATGAAGTGATGCTTAACATATCCATATAAACATCGCTCCAGTGCAGATGATGAGTTTCACGACGTTATTTGTATTCATCAAAAGTGATGAGTTCTAGATCATCATGAATATATTCTGCTAGCTTTGTTAGTCGTCCCTTTTTTTTTGCTCTTCTATAATCAGTTACTAATTCAATATATCGTTCAGAGTGTTAACGTACTAATCTTGTTCCGCATGAAATATTTTTGAATACTGTATAGAGTAAAGTGGACATTTTTCAAATCCAGACCACCTTTGGTCAATGGCCAATAGAACCAAGCTGCACAAATTTCAACGAACAAACAACCTGGAAGCTGTTCAGCAATGCGATTTCTAACAGCCGCCAAAGTATTGCGATTCGTTTCAGCAAAGACATATCGATGAATAAATTGAAATTTGTTTCAATGATATGCGCAATGTGATCCGCACCCAAAGTATTTCCACATCTTACAACATTACGCATGAAGAAAGATACGCATTCGTTATAGAGTTTAACCCATTCTAAAATAGTTTTTGCATGTTTTAATCGTTTTCCGATTTCATCAAGGAATGGTTTGATTCATTCTTTTATCAATAGTAAAACGACCAGGTGATTTTAGAGTCAGTGGACCACATCGAATATCATTATCGGGTAATGATAAACTTGTTGATGATATTTCAACCTGACTTGCAACAACTGATGGATGAATTTGAATCGAACCATATTTTTCTTTATGGAATTTACGACTCGAAATTTGTGCATATTCATTCATCAATGTTGACGAATATTTTCATTAGATTTATAATAGACGGGTTGCTTCAGAAAACGATCAAAAACCTTGCACCACACCTCTGGCATGTCACACAATTTAAGAAATACTCGAATAATTTCATGTGGAACCGATGACCCAAACCATTCAGGATCACCTGTTACAACAGTAAATGGTGTATTCGGTTTTAAGATTTGACTCAACTGAACTTCAGTATTGATCAAATAGAATAATTTTGATTCTAAATCGAGTTTATCCGTATTAGCATAATTAAATGAATTTGAATCACTATCACTACTGGGTTCATCCGGCAGTAAAGCCGTCCAAAACTCATGCCACTGCATCAAATAACGTTGTGACATTTTGACAAATTGTTTTGCAATTATCTCGAAAGGCATAAGACTTAATAAGGTCGTTCAAACGTAATTCGACGCAGCTTATCATAATCTATTAATGTTGAAAGAGTGGCCTAGTTCGACTGAATTCTCGCGCTTCTAGAAAAATTTTATCATCGCGTAACACTTTGGCAAAGCAGGACCCTTTTTTCTAGGGCTGCTTATAAAGCTCTAATTTTTTGACAAATCATTTCTTCAAATGAAATGCTTATGGTACCAGTTTCGTAGAAAATTGAATGGGCTTTCAAGCAGTAAAAAATATTTTTTCTAAACTATTTACGTTCAGATTAAAAATGCAAAAAACAAACGTAACGCTGTGGCACGTTTTTTGGTCGACCAAATTTGAAGTACTTCCCATGTAAAACAAAATCGTAAAAAATCTGATTATAATTGATTTTTATGCGATTATAAATCTATTTTAAGGCCACTATCATAATCTGATTTTAATCAGATTTGTCAACCTTAACAGGCAGATTATTTTTGATTTTGAATGTATTTTAATTGATTACCTACAAAGCTATTATAATGGATTAAAATAAAGTCAGAATCAAAAATAATCTGCTGTTTGAGGCTGAAAAAGCTGATTAAATCCGATTAAAATAGTGTCATTATAATAGATTTTTAATCTGATTATTAATCCAATTTTTTTACATGGGTTAACACGCTTAAAAGTATTTAATGTTTATATATATATATTGATCACTGCCCTGCATGTATCCTTCTGTAAAAAAACAAGTTGCTGCATCGAAATACGAGCTTAATAATGGTACAGTAAGTTAGGACTGTACAAGAGCTTAGAAGTTGTCCTGAAGAATGAGAGTAAAACATTAATAGGCCATTTTGTAGAGAATCAAATTCCGCATCGAATGGTATATTACTCTGAATTTTTGTTTTAAATTTCTTGGTTAGAAAATTGAAAATACAGTTTTTAAAAGCTTTAAAACCCGAGTTTTCTTAAGAAAAAAGTCCAAATTCACAATCAGCGTAAAAAACTATACCAGAGAATACGCTTAGATGTGTCTATATCGAAAAAATAAATTTTTAAAGCATAACCAGCGAAGTAGCGCGTTACGTGGACAAACCGAGCGTTCGTCTTCAATAGAGTTTAACAAGCAATTATCTCGAGACTTTTTTTGTCAAGGCGATGAAAAGTAATTTTAATTCGCTTTCAAAACGGTAGCTCCATTTTAAGCCTAAGTGCTCGAGAAGAATAGCAGTAAGAAAATCCTCTTCATAGAAGTATCGATATCTTTCAACGATATTTCGTCGAAAGGATGCCACGTACACCTTGAGTAGGCCAGTTCCAATCGGCTAAATCAAGCATCAAGAGATTCAATAATGTCTGACTTGTTCGAGAGTATCTTTCAATTTAAGATCGTTTTCAAAGAATAAAAACAGTTTGCAAAGAAAACTATGCCAACTATCTAAATCCAACTGTGGTTGCTCAAAAAAAAAATCTTTTCTAACTCTTTAACAGTTGATAAACTTCCACTAGTCGTTTGAACTTCCACTGGTGTATGTTCGTTATGTTGCGCTGAGAACCCCTGAGACATAATTAAAGCAAACAAATAATTGTATTCTGAACGCGTTTTACCACTAACAATCGCTTTCATGAATTGTTGACGAAAATGTTCCAGCAAAGCATTCGAAGTCGATGTATTGACTTGAGTTATAGTCAATAGTTCATCGAAATTTTTTAAATATCGTTCTTTACTAGCTTCACCAAATAAACTTACTTTAACATTTGAACTTTATCTAATAAAGATAGTGTTGCATCATTATTCTTTTTCATAATCTCAGCATATTCTTCATCGAATTTTTGTTTTCCCAATTTAAATCGATCTAACTTTAAGTTTGCCATTAAACTAAGTGCTTCGCGATCCGGTGGCATTGTCACCGATGTTGTTGTGTTTGCATTTGGCATAGATAAGGACATTCCCTTTTCAACTTTCTCTGTGTCAACTGTAATCTAGTTAGTTTCAACAAACGGATACGTGCCTTTTTATACTTTGAAACTTGCATCATGTTTCACAATAACAAAAGATGTGTGCGTCATATTTGCTAACCCATCTCTTGAGTAAGAACTCAGAAAGATGTGTATTTCATTATGAAACGAAAATCACAATGATTAAAAACCGCAATGAAAGTGTCTGACATACATGATATCGAAGTTACGCCGACAATTTTGATTTTGATCAACTCATCTGAATGCGTTTGATTGAACGTTTCGTTGCTGCATCAAACCTCAGCAATTGCTAAACTCGCATTAATATAAAAAAGATGTGGGCAGAAAATAAAATTTTATTATTTGAGTACATCACAATATTTTACTTGTATTGCTCGTGTTCGAAATTATGCGTCGTAAATAGATTGCACGTAGGATTCACACCCACATTCGTGACAATCACAACTTGATGATATTGTCATAAAGAAAACGTTAATCATTACTTCGAGCTACTTGTTTTTCTATTAATGGACTGTGACATAATAAGAACAATTTATGGTAGTGGGGAAAAAAATTTAGTAATAAATTTTTATTCAATTCTTTTAGAAACTAAATAATGCTCCTTTTTGGGTGTTCAATGATAGAATTTCAAGTTTTTGCTATACTAAGTTATGTTTGGTTCGATAGTCCACTGGAAAAGAAATTGGACTACGAGTATATATCATATCGCTTTCAAATAAATGATCACAGCAAGGGAATTGAAAATCAAATGAATATGCGAAGCCATTCAATCACATAATGCACGAAGAAAACGTTTACACTAACTTTCATCATAGAACCTATTCAAAAACGAACAAGAGACAATTAACAGCGGCTATAAACATAATTTGTTCGTCTATTGTGTTTCGTTAATGTGTCATAACGTTTCCAATGAGATATTCAAATGTGTCTAACATGCAAATGAAAGCATATTTTCAATCAGTATAAAAGTGTCAAAAACAATTATTCATTGTTTTCTTTCATTCAGCTATGAAAATCCCGAAAAAACAAATATACATGATGAAAACGTTCGTTAGTATTCACGCAAAAACATTCGTACTAATGAGCACAGTCTGATATGCGTAATAGCAAATATTGACCTATAATATATCCGGTGTATTTAACTAATCGATTTATCAACAATTGTTCCGACTAAAGAACAGTATGATTATGCAAGATGATGCACAGACCAACCAGATGAATTCATGAAACAAAAATCATATCACGAATATATTTAATAATAATAATAATAATAATAACGCTCAGAAACAGGTGCCCAAACGTCATAATAGAGAAATATATTGTTGAAAGTTTAATTGCCTGTCGGAAAATCCTCTCATTACTGTGTGTTTTCTTTTCTATAAGAAGTCTTGTCAAGAAAAATAATCATAATAGTGGATAATCGGCTTATAAATATTAAATGTACTTTTCTTATCCTGAAACTATTTTCGATCATTGTGAAACAAACGATACTTTTACGATTGTGTTGTTGCACAAATCGTGCATTTCTTAGAAGAATGTAGGCTATTCGTATTTGCTAGTTTTTACTCAGTATTTGAAAACGATCGGTGTGACTTTCAAAATTTATTTCATTAACTATGAAAAGAAATGCCTTGTTTGATGTACTATACCGTGTAACATCTTAATAAATACTCGTTATTAAGCATGCAAGATCTAGGAGACGAAATGAACGGATGACGTCAAGCGAAAAGGACGCACGTCTTTCTCCAATTTCATCAAACCAGGCCGATAGGGACGTTTGTTTTCTATTAGAATAATTAGTTTCTCGCACTTTCTTATGTATTATCACTTTGGATTTATGCAGCAATATGAGATGTCTGTTTATATAATGCAATTCGAACTATCTATCATATTAGTAGTGAATGAAAGACATTCATCATGGTAAATTAAGATTTAAAATAGTAAATTCGAATGAAGTATGCCATGAGATGGAGTTAAAATCAATAGAAAAAAAAGTAGCATCAATTCCTGTTTGATAAACTAGATAGAACAGCACCAAAAATGGAAATCTGAATGAGCATTGTATTGACAAAAAAATCGTTTCCTATTCGAGTAATTACAATATTTCACGATATATTCTATGTGACATCTCGTGTGACATATGAGAAAAATTTTAAATGATAATAATTATCTTTAATTTAGCACTATTTTGAAAGCTCTTAACTTAAGAAATTTAAAGATAAATTTCTTTTAATAATAGTATTATGGACATATTATTTATTTTAAATTGCATATGACAAAATTCTAAGGCAAATGTCTTCTCTTTTTTTTCATAATAAATGTGATATAGCATGTGGAGAAAAAAAACGTTTCTGATTGGTTAATCCCATTTTTTAGATTTGCGTCGTAAGTGGCGTTAGTTTTATATCTTGCTAAATATTAACCAGCAAATCAACTTTTATGTAAATGACTCAGCCATTTCAGCAGTCGATTCTTCTCGTCTTGTTCTTCTTACTTCTGGCGAGTTAGTTCTTTCTTTCTGGAAAAAGAACTCTCGTCTTTTCTATTTTGTTTATAAAAACGCTTCTTATTGATTTTAGAGGTTGTATCAGTATGTCTCGAACGCCACATCTTGAATTTCAAATTAACGGTTTAAAGTGATTAATCATATCATCGAATAGATTATTCGGTTCAACCACGTTATCTGACGATAATTTTTCGTGTTGATGATAATGTAGAAAAAACCTAGTCAACTGTCTAGTTACATATCTGATTAATCGATTCCTACTTAAGCTAATATTGATCATAATATCATCAATAACGAATTATTATTAAAGATGCCGCGAAAATCAAACTATATGTATACATTTCAGGCAACAATACATTAGTCATAGATGAGAAAATGATAATATTAGTCTTGAGAAATCAAACAAAAAAATTTAATGGATAAAATTAGCCGAAAAATACGATCATGCATCGTATCGCTTAGTGATGATCTTTATTATTATGAAATATATGATGAGAATGTTTAGAATAAATCAATTTATTTTTGTTTCAGATGCTTCCTCAATTGAAAGACTTTAATTGGTATATTGATATGAAATTGTTACCTGCTGCCAATGGTCAACGTATTCAACAACCATCATGTGTTCTTTCGTTAGATGTTTGTAGACGAATTTCGTATTCTATCTAACCAATAAATCGTCTTCTTTTTCTTTTAGATAAACGATCCAACAAAATCAGATGGTGAAACTGAAAAATCCGTTCAAGTTGAATTATCCAAAGAAACACTTAATCTTGTTTTGGATAATTTTACAAGAATTCGGGAACAACTTAATACATTAGCCAAGCGAGAATAAGAAAGCTTTTTTACTTGTGTTTTTTCTTTTGCAATAGAAATGTGATTTTTTGCTGTGTTTGTTTTACTAATTTGACATGTCCTTGATGAAAAGATAAAATTACTTTCCAATCATATTTTATTTATCTCTAGAGGAGAAAAGAAAGCTCATAACATGCATCGACCGTCAAAAACTCGAAGTCATGGTGATCCAGTACAAGTGCCTGGAAGCTTAACGGAACAGCTTAATCAAGATCGAAGCGTTACGAGTAAAAAAAATCGACTAAAACAAAAACGAAAACATGACGACGATGAAGAAGATGAGCAAGTTAGTTAGATTTTTTTTGTCTGTTCATGTTAACTTCTAAATATAGAAACGCACCAGTTTTTATTTCATGTGGATTTTACTACAGACTATAATAGGCAACATATAGAAAAGCAAGTCATTTGCATAAAAAATTCTAGGTTACAGATCGAGTCTGAAGCATTGCTAAAAACGACGCTGTTTATTCTTTTGTTGGAAGTTTCGTAAGTGTTATCATGAGCAGTTCACCTTGATCTTATCTAGTTGCGTTTATAACACTAGCGATTCTTCAAAATGAATATTTTAAACTATTATATAAGTTATTTCTTTTACAGTGTTTTCATTTCCTACGAATATATCAAAACAATCGTTAGTAAAATCATGGCATGAGATTAAAATGATCAAAACTGTTGGAATACTCCATAAATGAGATCGAATAGAGTTCATTGAAATAAATTACTTGAAAGTCCGTACTAAAAAATAGTCAGCAACTCCTCCGCATTGATGCACAATCTAGTTGAGTTCATGTCAACAACAAAAAACGATTCATTTCTATATTATAAAGTCAACTGAATGCATAATATTTTTGAAATAGATCATTGATGATCGTCTATCAAGAAAAATTATTCAACAAGCTCGTGAACAACAAAGTGAAATCGATCATGATGAACTCTTAGCTATTAGTAAAGAAGAAACGTAAGAATATTAAATAGAATTGATGTAATATTAATTATGCATAAATATTTGCATCTTTTGTTTTCTAGAGATTTTGAATCAATAGATAAAATAAATAAATTGAAAAAAACTAAAGTTGAAGAAAGTGACGAAGAGTTAAATGATGAAGAAGACCAATATGATGATGAAGAAGTTTCGGTAAGAAAAATTCAATTCTATTCGACTCCTCGTTTTTTTTATAATCTCGATATGATTATTTAATCAAAAACATAGATCAATGAAGAAGATGAAAAAGCACTTGAAGCATTTATGAGTGGGCAACCACGACGTATGCTTGGCGATATTATTGCCGAAAAACAAGCAAAAACTGAATCATCTCGTTAGAAAACTATAATTTAATAATAATAACAAGTAGTAATCGAATTTTTTTTGTCGGCTTTTAGCTGATAATGATCTTGATCCACGTATTTCCAGCATGTATGAACAAGTCGGTCAAATTCTTTCTCATTATCGAAGTGGCAAAATACCAAAAGCATTTAAAATCCTTCCAAATCTATCCAATTGGGAGCAGGTAAATAAAAGTGTTTTTTTTAAATCTGTAACCAAATAAATATTTATAAAAAAAAACAATTTCTTTTCAGGTTCTTCTCATAACACAACCGGATCGTTGGACTGCAGCATCAATGTATCAAGCAACACGAATATTTGCTTCAAATATGGATGCTAAAATGGCTCAAAGGTAGATTTGTCGTTATTCATATTTAGTATATTTCATTTCTACGAATAGATTTTATAACATTCTTTTACTTCCACGTATTCGTGATGATATAGATGAATACAAAAAACTTAATTTTCATCTTTATATGGTAGGCTGTTTCATTCTTAAAAGAAAATTATTCGTTATATTTTGTGTATAGGCATTAAGAAAAGCTTTATTTAAACCAAGTGCCTTCTTCAAAGGAATTATTCTACCATTATGTGAGGTAAAATGTTCTGTTTGCTTTACATAACATGCAACCAGAAAAACAATTTTAGCTTTATATCGCATTTCGCATTCAATTAAAAATAAAAATAACTATAGTTTATCGTTAATCCGTTTGCCATTTTCTAGCCTTTACGCGTTCATTCTGGTGAATCATTAAGTCTATGCAGAGGTGCTCGAGATGAAGTTTTTCTGATTCTGCTGCCGATAAGTCTAGTTTGATTTTGACTCTAGAGAAAATCCTTTTGTAATTATATTTCTATCACATCTGAAAATCATCTTTGTTATCAGGGATTTCCTTATATAACGAGAACGAATAGCACGTTTTTGGATCATTTATCGCGATTTGTTTTGATTTATAGGATAATTTATTTACAATCATACAGAGCATAACTATAATATTAAGTTCCGGCCGGGAAAATTCTTTTTTCTCCAATATTGTCTTCTTGATGATCGAGGTTAAGACTACATTTTCTCCACTCCGAATGATTGATTACTGCTTTGGCTCGGCCGGAAGTGTCAAAACGGAAGAAGAAATGATTTTGAAATGAGATTGGTGCGCTGATCAGATGATATTATCTCTCTCTCTCTCTCTCTCTCTCTCTCTCTGTCTGTTTCTCTTAATGACATGAATATAAAAGAAGAATGTCATTGTCAAGTTTTCCAAGCGAACAAAATTATTCTGTTCGATGATCGAATACATATGACATAGAATAATAGATTGTAATATGATTATTTAGGGACAGATTTCAAAAACAAAATGAGCACTAATATTATCAATCAAAATATCTATAAAAGTCATAGTTTTACATACAATAGACTTTGCTTCATGTAGAAAGCTCCCATATTACAGATATTTATTTATGATTGTCAAGAGATTGATTTATGGTTTCTCGTACTTATCTTATCAGCATTTGTAGAATAGATACATGTTTTCCCGAGACAAAAAAAAGTCAATTATCTTCTTATTTCTAGTCAGGTACGTGTACACTTCGTGAGGCTGTTATTGTTGCAAGCGTTCTTGCAAAAAATTCCGTTCCAATGTTACATTCAGCAGCAGCTTTATTAAAAATAGCTGAAATGAATTATTCTGGTGCTAATTCAATATTTATCCGAACACTTATCGAAAAACGTTATGCATTACCATTTCGTGTTGTTGATGCGCTCGTTCATCATTTCATTAGGTATTTAAATGATCTGGATTTTTCGTTAGATTTATTTATATTATCTTGATCATATAGATTTCGTTCTGATACACGTGAATTACCAGTACTTTGGTATCAATCTTTACTCTCTTTTGTTCAAAATTATCGACAAGATATCTCAACAGGTTTAATAGATACTTTTGTTTGAGTCTGTTTCTTTTTTAAGTTTTAGTATTTTTTTTTCAAAGAACAAAAACAATCTTTACTTGAATTGTTACATCATCATTTTCATCATACAATTGGACCTGAAGTTCGCAAATTACTTGCCGAATATAAATGTCGCGATGAAGAAGATGAACAATATGCAGTAATGGATGAAGCTGATTAAAAAGAAAATTGATAAAAATATCCGTGTTTTGTTGAAAATAAAAATTAAAAAAATATGGTTAACATCATTCCCATGACATAATTATTATTTGTGTTGTTAAAAAGCAAGAGAAGCCCTAGGATACGAATAGTCCTTAGGTTCATATCAGGAATAGTTCAAGGGTATATGTGAGACTTAAGTTTACATAGTAAACTCTATAATGTTCCTATAGACTAAATTTTAGTATAATAATAATAATAAATTCAAAATATTTTCAATGAAAATTATATTTATTCGAAAGTAGAATTTTTGTCTCGTGTGATCGCAGCAGCCTTCTGAAGTCTTTAGTTTGTTTACTTTAAACAATAGATGTTTATGAGTCTGGAGGAGAAAAATATTGTTTTTATAGTGTCGACTGTACAGAATTACATTGTCGCTTCGTTTCATGACTTCTATGACGACTTGAAAAAGCAAGTTTTCCTGTGATTATCATCCTGCTCTTTTGCTGAAATTCTTAATTTGCTACTGTTGACGTTTCATTTCACTAACATAATAGATATATTACACAATTCATACTAATTCTAATTTGTTATTTCAGATAAAAGATCATTTCAATGATCATGCAATATTACAAATAGTTTACATAAACATCAAGTACGTAAGTATAATGATTAAATGTGCCAAAAAAATTAGATTAAAAGGTCAACAGATTATCTTTATATTCGAAGAATTACAAAAAGAAAAAAGCTATGAGCATGTTTGTACATCGTGTTTGTTTGCTTGCGTGATCACCTCATATCACAATGAGAAAAGGGAAGCAGACAGAAGAAAGGTGACACAGGCAGGAGAAAGGTGAGATACTCACGTAGTTAACATGCTTAAACTAATAATAACGCTAGTTAAGATTATATGTGTGTGCTATGTAAATAAATAACGAACGCGGCTATTTTTTCTTCTTCATATTTTTGTCGTTATTTTTCTCTTTCGAATATCTCATCTGCTGCGTAAACGTACAAATCTTGATAAAATCTTTTGCTTTTCTACATTCATTCGTAAAACAAAAATGTGTCTTATGTCATAAATATATAAAACAAGAAAACGATGTAATTCGATAACTGAAATAAAATAATATGACAATAACAGTCATCTCTGTTTTTTTCTGTGTTATCTCTCTCTCTCTCTGCTTTATTATTGATACTTGAATCTAGAAATCGAACGTTGATAGGGGGTCAATCGTGCGTGCGCTATTATATCTGACTGTGTGCATAAAAAATAAAATAAAAACACGCAAACTATTCACCACTCCCAGCGAAACAGGTATCTGTCAAAACATAGGCAAAACACAAGAGTGCGGCTGAGTGAAGTACTACCTCAGTGTTTCTTTTTCTTCCTTTTCTCTATCTTGCAACGTTATCAAACCCTGCAATTATCATGCAACTGTAGCAAGGGTGCAAAAGAAAAACGTCGTCAACATTTTACCATTGAGCTGAAGAAACAGAAGGGGAAAAGAAAAAAAGTATAAAAAGATACATTTTTACTTGGCTTATCCAACAGGAAATAACACTGTAATTCTTGTATGTTTGGCTGAAAAAAAGTGATAGTAGAACAGCAACGACAACAAACAGCAAGCTGTATGGATTAGCGCCTATCGCAAGCGAAAGCAGAATGAAATGGAAAGAAAAGGATGATTTATCTTGGTGTTGTGTTAGTCGGCGACAAAAAGATGATGACGACGACAACATTCAAGATGCTAACAAGCAAACAGTAAAAGTAGTACTAATGGAGAGATCAACAGAAGAACTCTTGTTACCGGTTGAAAACTAAAAGAAAGAGAGAGAGAGAGAGAGAGAGAGAGCAGAAAAAAGAAAAAGACGAAAGAAACCATGAAAGATCGTTGCTTCGTTTCTTTTTTCTATATTTTCAGCTTCGACATCATAATCATCTTCTTATTTTTCTTATTCCCTTATTAATGCTTTTTGATTATGATGACTCATCAGCAAATGTCTGTTTATATACCACGTAGCTGTTCTAGGCGAAAGGTTCGAGCACATCGATAATAATTATTAATCAATCTATAAAATTCATAATAAAATAATTATATTTGATCAATTTGTTTAGTTAACTACTCCTTCAAAAATGATGGAAGCACCAAGAAATTTCCAAGGATCAAAAGAGAATTTAGTAATAGAAAAATAATAACGAATCTTTCTTGTGGATTTATTATTAATATTTGTTTCAGTCCAATATGAATGGAAATCGTTATCAAACTCCAACCAAACAAATATCTTCACGTTTAGATCGTTCACTCTCAAGAACGAAAGATGATAGTGAAGCAAATATTATACGATCGAATACAGCGACAAGTCTTAGCGAACAAGCTAAACCTGACGAATTAGCGTCTGGTAGGAGAGCTATTTTTGCTTCTTTATTTCATAAAATGTTTTTCTTATTTAGGTTTAGCCACCATGGGACTGTTAAATGATAGTGATATGAATAAAGTAAAATATTCTTTTTGCTATTTAGCTTATCAAAATTCTCTTTTAGCTGAATACAACATTTGAATCCTTAGGCTCATCAAGTGAATCGGTTGAACGAAATACTTCTAAAAATGAATCATATAAAGTAGAAGAAATCTGATAAATTAATATTTTTACATGTTTGTTTTTTTCATTTTTGCCTAGATGAAAAAGCAGTCTTATCAGAGCGCAAAGAAGCGCATTACATCTGAATTAGCAAATGTACTTAAGGATTCATCAGTTGTTATCGTTAGTGATTGGCTAAAAGTTCGAGGGACATTAAGAGATTGGACTAAATTATGGGCTATTTTAAAGCCTGGTCTCATGCTACTCTATCGAAATCCCCCATCAAAAGTTTGTTGCTTTAAACTTCATTTTTACTTTCTTATAACTTCTGACCTACGTTTCTTTTCTCTCTCTCTCTCTTACTCTAGAATGGTGTTTGGGTTGGCACCGTTGTTCTATCATCATGCGAAGGTTAGTAAATAGATTTTAGGAAAGACGACAGGGAAGTTTATTTTCTTCTAATAGACATATTCAAATTAGATTTTCAAGCGTATTAGAACATAGAAGGGACATGATAAAAATAGGATATCGCTGCTGGAATGGAGATGCACTGTTTTGTTTTCTTATTCGTCCGTAATAAAGAGAAGACGATCATGCGAATTCTAATTATGATATTCAATGGCATTAACAACATCATTCACTTATTTAAGACTAGTAATCGACCGCGTTTTCCTTCACTGAAGGTTATCCAAGGGGGGAACATCGTATCTCTGCATTTCTAAATATTGCTGAGTATTTCTACGTATTTCGGTGAATTTCTGGAGTTCTGAAATACCTAGAAGTACTCAGAAATATTTAGAAATATAGAAATAGGCTTTTTTCCCCTTGAGGTTATCGCAATCATCACAGTTGTGCATAATTAAATATTAAAATTTTTATCGTACTCAACTAGATGTTGTACAAATGTGATGATCTATTGTTTTTTGGATACATCTAATGACCGTAATTAATTTTTATGCAATAACTGATGCGTATAAATCATGCATAATTGCTATTTTGTACAAAAATAGCAATGTTTTGTTTTGTGACTATGATGAAATTGTGCTGATGAAAAAACAATTTCATTGAAGTTTTATTCACATAGTTTTATAACAAAAACAAACTGACAACTTTTAAGGAAAAAAAAAGCTCTCAACACATAACTGCGATCCTGTACAAAAATTTATATGTGTGCTAATTGACTTACGTAGAGAAAAAATTGATAGCTTCTTCGTTCATGTCTGAATTGTGATCATAATTGTAAATCTCACTCGTACCGGAAACAGCATATTACAACACATAGGGATTTCATGTAAAATAATAAACGAAGAAAGGGAATTCGATCTACTAGGAAAATAGGTTGAATCTATAGGCTATCCAACCGAAAATACTACTATATTTAGATCCCAACAGGATCAAATCTAGATGAAGTCATTCTTCTATTCCGAGCGATTACTATATTTTTCAGGGTAGTGAAGATATCTGAGTTAGGCAGAATCCACAGGATCCTTGTCTGAGTTTCATAGAGAGAAGTCATGTTCTTTTTTCAATATTCATTCATTTTTAGTTATTCAACGTCCATCAAAGAAAACGGGATTTTGTTTTAAAATCTGGCATCCACTTGAAAAATCGATCTGGGCACAAAAAGGGCCTAATAACGAACAGTTCGGTGCGATAACATTTCCTCTTCCTATGAATTATCTTATTTGTCGTGCATCAGATGATACCGCAGGTAAAGAAATGCTGTATTTTTTTTCAAATGTCAAAAAGAACATTTTCTTAATAACAAAAAAAATTGTTTTTAAGGGCGTTGCTGGATTGATGCACTTGAATTAACAATGAAATGCTCAAAATTACTTAAAAAACCCTATTCAACATCTGTACAAAATGATGACTTGGCGCTTAATTCTCAAATTACGTCAAGTCCATCGACTACAGCTGGCGATGGAGCTTTTTTAAATACAAGTTTTTCAGATAATGATTTCGAATTAAGCCGGTTGGCAACAAAAGAAGGTTGGTTGACTTTCAATTATGTTTCTTAAATTTCTCTTATTTTTAATTTTATAGAAGATGACCGTATGAGTGATGCTAGTATTGATATAAGTAAAGCGTCCAGAAGTGGTTCAAGTCATTCTGATAGTTCTCAAGACCTACTATATGAAGACGATAACGAAACACCATATGTTGCAGCAGCACCCGAAGAAATGGGAGAAGTAATAATAAAAGTTTCTCGATAAATAAATAATTATACTTCGCTGTTCTTTTCTAGCTTGGTAATGCTGCTCAAACTGAAGAAGTAGCTGAAGAAAACAAATCCCTCATAATGCATTTATTAAAGCAAGTCCGTCCCGGAATGGATTTATCAAAAGTTGTTCTACCAACATTTATATTAGAACCAAGATCGTTTCTTGAAAAACTCTCAGATTACTATCATCATTGTGATATTCTTGAAGAGTATGTTTATCGTTTGTTTATATCGAAAAAAGAAATGATTCAATATATATATATATATATATGTTCTTTTTTTAGAGCTGTTAATTCACCTGATCCATTAATACGCATGAAGACAATTATAAAATTTTATTTATCAGGTTTTTATAAAAAGCCAAAGGTTTGTTGAAAGCAAAATAAAAATGCGAATATCGCGTCAGCTTCGTTTCTCTTTTCAATATAATTTTAGGGCCTAAAAAAACCATATAATCCAGTTTTGGGTGAAGTTTATCGATGCTTTTTTCATCATACAAAGACGGACAGTAAAACCTTTTATTTAGCCGAACAGGTAATATTTTTCTCTTTTTTTTCCTCATTCTTTCGGTCATTGATTACATAAAAGCGAGAGAAAAATAAGAGTGTGACCGATAATATGTATAAGATCAGTTCGTTACGCTTTTAAAACGAAATGTTGCTTTTACTCCTACTCGCCTTACCCGTAATAAATGCTGAACCAATCCCACGTCCATGTGGTACAATGCGATCCTTCTTTTCTGCGGAATCGCGCATTGTCGGGGGCGAGACAGCACCCGAATATGCCTGGCCGTGGCAAGTTTATTTAACATTAAATAATATGTTTATTTGTGGTGGTACATTAATTGATAGACAACATGTAATAACAAGTGCACATTGTGTTGCTAAACCAGTAAATAATACAAGTGATCTATTTGTTCGTGTTGGCGCACAAAATATGGTACGCGAAGGTTATTATGCTGGAACAAACTATCGTATATCAAAGAAATTTATCCATGAAAAATATTCGATACCTGAATATGGCTATGATATAGCTCTATTGCGCTTAAACAATACAGTTGATATAAGTGATACAGTGAATTTTGTTTGTTTACCAACAAGTCCAGATTTTAATGTATCGATGTATCAACCTGTTGTCATAACTGGCTTTGGTTTAACAAGTGAAGGTGGTTATCTACCATATAGATTACAACAAGGAGTTATACAAGTTTTACCAACATGTTCATTTGCTTATCCATGGTTTAATAGTACGACACAGATTTGCGCTGGACTTTTAGGTGGTGGAAGAGATACATGTCAAGGTAGGAAATTGATTTAACGTAAAACAGAGTAAAATATGATTCTTTGCGTTAAATAATAGGCGATTCAGGGGGACCATTAGTTTACAAACCACGTAAATCTGATCAATGGATTATGTTTGGTATTACATCATACGGTTATGGATGCGGACGATTTTATTATCCAGGAGTTTATTCAAACGTTGCACGTTTTATTAATTGGATTCAAAAAAAGATAGCCGAGAAATAAGAGGCTTTTTTTTTCGTTGTTTTTTTTCGTTGTTTTCCTTTTCTTTTTCATTTTGACATTCCATATGGGTGATGGTTAAATAGAAGAATATATCCTTTGTTTATATAGATATCGCATCATCCGCCAGTAACCAATTTTTATGTATCAAATCGTAAAGAAGGCTTTGCTGTACAAGGAAGTATATTGGCGCGATCGAAATTCTATGGTATATTGATTAATAATGTTTCTGGCAATATAATTACCAATTCTATTTTTTTCTGTTTATAGGAAATAGCCTCTCGGCTATTCTCGATGGAACAGCTCGACTTACTCTACTCAATAGAGGAGAAGATTATATTATTACAATGCCCTATGCTAACTGCAAAGGTACTTGTTGATTTTGTTTTTTTTCTAGAGTTTAACTGCATTGATTGACTATAAATAATTTACTAGGCATTCTAATTGGTAAATTAACTATGGAACTAGGTGGTAAAGTAACCATTGTTTGTGAAAAAACGCGATATTCAGCTGATATTGAATTTAAATTAAAAGTATGAATCGAAAGAGATGATTATTTTTTTAATCAGTTATTCGTCACTTTTATTTTTATTTTTCAGCCATTTATTGGCGGTCAGGAGCTTACAAATCACATTGAAGGAAAAATTCGACTTGAAAAAGATGTTTTATATACATTTTCTGGTCATTGGGATGATGAAATCATACTTGTAGATAAAGCAACTAATGTCAGTGCTGTTTTTCTATGAGCATATTTACCTCATGAAGATTTCTATTTTTAACAGGCAAGAAGCTTGTTTTGGAAAGTTTCACAGCCAGTAGTTAATTCGCGATTAAAACGATATGTTGTACCAATTGAACAACAACGAGATAATGAATCGGAGAAGTAATTAAACTGCCGAAAAAAGATTATTTTTTAATTAAATATTCATTTTCTCGTCCTTAGATTATGGCAACGTGTTACAGCAGCTATTAAACAAAACGATCAAGTGTCAGCAACAGAAGAAAAAACAATTATTGAAGATGAACAAAGAAAACAGATCAAAGAACGTAAAGCAACCAGTACTGAATGGCATCCACGTTTATTCAATATTGATCCAAATTCGAAAGAATGGATTTATACTTATTCTGAGTAAGTCAATTAAAAAGATAATACTACACGTGTTCAATCAGCAGATTCGCACTACCTAAGCGCATCGTTTGTGACAATTAAAAAGAGAAAAACAGTAAATCTCCATGATATTTCCATGTCTATAAGTAGAATATCAGTGCATCTTATAATAGTTGGCCTTTTGTTTTATATGAAATACTTGAGTGTCGAGTTTAAGAGTAATATTAGCATGGTCATAAGTTTAGTGAGCTTTTTAGAAAAAAGAAAATTTACACTCTGAGGTATCTATAAATAAAGGATGACGGTGTAAATTTTTTTTTCTATTTTAATTCAATAACTGCTTGTCCTTGAAAGCGCACATTTGTTTTGTTCTTTGTTTGGCGAGCAAAACTAAATTTTCATCACCATGGGGACGATCCGAGACAGCTCGTCTCATTTACGCTTTGTCACATAAAACTTATGATGATTTTAAAAAATCATGATCTTAGTGCAAATAATTGCATATAATATTTGCTATTTTGTTTTAGCGCTCGTCCATGGGATGCTCACAACGATATATCAACTTTTGAAAATAATTTCATAATCTGTACTCGTACGCGCCATCGTTCACAAAATATGAATCGTACAAATAAATCATCAAGTCGAAATAATTCTATAATAAATACTGTCGGAAGACCGTCGGCATTAACTCGTGGTCCATCACCATCACTGAATAATATTCGTGACGACGATGCACCATATCTCACACCAAATATCAATAATCAAGCATCGCTACTGTTGAATTCTTCTGATGATGTAGTATCAACTTTAAAATGTATGGACACAACACTAAGTCGCATAAGTCAACGCCTCGATATGTATGAAAAAGATCTACATTATTTAAAAAGCCATCGAAAAACTCATGAACACAATCAAGTCAATTCTTTTTCATCATATATTCAATTAATTCTTATTATCATCGTGGCAATCATATTAAAATACATCTTTCATTAACGGTATCTACGTATTTTTGTCTTTCTTTCTTTTTTCTCTCTCTCGCTTTCATACTATGTGTTAGACCAGTGATTTCATCTTGTAACATAACTGCTATCTAATGAAATCTTTTTTTTTTGTTTTTTTTTTCTCCAGTCCGGTTCCAATGTCTTCTGTCTTCTGTTTTTGTTGTCAATATGTTTAAAAAAAGAAGAAGCAAACGATTTGATAGTTACTCATCCCTTTTTTTTTTCTTTTAAATTTATTGTCGAATCGTTTAAACAAAGAAAAGCAAAAGTCAAAAGAAATAAAAATATCACTTGTTTACAAAATACTTATCATAAAAAAGAACGGTTAAAATCAATAGAATAAATGTCCACACCGAATAAAGTACAATGCCACTGCGAAATAATCTTTCAGCTTGTAGATCAATGTATTGCTCGGTTGTATTCGTTGATGTTAATTGCTTAGGTTTCTCTCCATCTGTTGGTTTTGTATCAGCACAATCAATATCATATTCATATATGATCTCGCTACAACTAAATGCCCAAAAATCTTCGAGTTCTGTTAAGTTACGCGGATATTTTAGCCATTCGAGGGCTTGCTCAATTGAAACAAAATAAACATAACGATAGTCGTCATTGTTTAAAATATAATCAATAAAACGTATTAGAGCTTCAAGACGTTGATCTCGATGTTCTGAAAGCCAGAATAGATCGAGTTCAATTACAAATGGAGATCGACGGCCAAGTGTTAATGATGAATGACGATCGAAATTATATATAATAAAATCGTACAGTAGATCAGCTGTGTGTAGTTCATCTTCAGGCAGACAAGTTGAATCGGAAAGTGTACGACAAGTAGTAGTTGCTAGAATAAAAAACAATTTTATGTTTTACATTTGTTGCATATTAACGAGGAAAGAAGTTGCGTCAGTTACTCTCTCAATAAATTCCTATTCTATTATGCTGCAGAATAATAGGAATTTGTTGTTTTGTAAAACTACTCACGATGAACCGAGAAAATTCGATGGTAGAAATGTAGATAAATAGCACAAGCTAAAAAATACCTTTCAAGTTGAATATGTCAAATACGTGCACTCCATATTGAATTAATATTTCTATTAGGCAGAGGAAAGAGCATTCATGTGACTTGAATAACATGAATCTGTTTACCCTTTGAGTCCCGACTTTTTTCTACCGAATTTAAGTTTGATAAAACATACTATTAAGTAACTAGATGTGACATCACGAAAACTCTGGTTAGGTTAAAATAAAAAACTGTGTGATTATATGATTATCTATTTATTCATTTCAATGTTGATACACATAGTTTTGATGATACAAAGAAAAACAATTTTGAACTTTCACTTTCATCGGATAAGGTTTCGTCAGAATCTGAATCCATTATATTTCAGAAACCAGTTAGGTTTTCATCACGACACAATGAATCAAAACACGAATTTTTCAAAATTTAGATTTTTGAAGAAAACTTTCTGAAATCAAATAGACATACCGCAGTACATTTTTCGACATTGTCTATTCATACGGATATCTGTACAATCTCGCACAAATATGTCTTAACTACGAACATTTGTTAAAAATATTCCTTCTAGATCTTAAAAACCACAAACATATTTGAAAATTAGAAATTTTCGGTAGGTGGCCACCGGGACTCAAAGGGTTAACAGTAGAAAGTTAATTAATGACTAGTATTCTAAGCGATTGCACCCTTTCGGCACATTACTCTCCTTGGGCATTCGTGACAAAAGTTTATTTTCTCTATTCAAGAATTGCGAAGAAAATAAAATTACTGTTTGGATAAGCCCATTCATGTAATGGAAATTGCCACAATGTTTCAATTGTTTTTGATGATTCATTACAATTAATACAATCGATTTGATTAAATGAATAATCAAGAGTAAATGGCCATATGTATTTCGATGATTTAAAAAGCATCGATGAATCATAATGAAAATGAAGATTTCGAATAGGTTCAAAATGTCTATTATCATCGATTTGTAGATGTGGTACACGAAAACCTTTTATATGTGACCGATGAATACTTGATTTCTCTATTAAATTTATTCGCTGTTGTCTTATTTCTCGTTTCCAATTGTTCTCACCCCAACGATTCCAATTATTTTCATCGTAACAATTCATTAATGGACATCTTTGAAAGAAAAATTTCAATAAAAACAATGCTGAATAATAGAATTTACTTATTGCTAGATGTAGTCATAGCTATTTCATTATGATTATCAAATAGACGTTGCACTAAACAATAGTCTGTAAAATTATCATTAACGAAAAATGTTGATGATATTGGACATTGATTTGGATTTCGAAATATTGGATGAAGTATTGAACGAACGGGTTCAAATGTATGTTTATTTAAATTACCAACAAAAGTTAATAAAACCTATAAATATTCAAAATCCTAAGCTAAAATCAATACGTTTCTTCTGACAAATCATTACTAGTTGAGGTATATCTGTATTGTTGAATGATGTTGGATTTTTATTAATAATTGCACATTGACAAGAAGGTAATTGACAATTCTTTTTCGTACAAGGTTTATCAATACAAATTACCGAAGTCAAAATTAGTAGAAAAAACAATGAGAATATCAACTGAAAAAAATTCATCTAAAGAAAATTCACTTTTCATATACACGTGACTTGCTGTTGTAAAATATCTTCTGTAAATATATCGATTAGTCATTTATCAGAGAGAGAGAGAGAGAGAGAGAAAGAAAAAATACTTTGGCCTAGTATGTTAAGAATACAACAACAAACCATATTTTCTTTCTTTCTTTGATTTATATGCAAGTAACATTTGATTTTATAGCCATTTTAATGAAATATGAATTTTGTCAGATATGAAAAGTTGCACTGTATGAACTACTTTTGAATGTAGTTTAGCATGAAAGAAGAAAACTCGAATAAAATTGACGAAGCTCAGATTACATTTTTTTAATAAAGCACAGAATGCACATATCGTTTGGAGGATGACATAACTGAATATAGATGAACCACTTATTTAACAAGAAAATTGACTATAAGCATAAAATATGAATTCAAATTTTCAGTAAAAGAAAAAAAGTAAGCCATGCTTTCAATCATTGCTAGTTTCATGTTCCACTATACAACAACAAAAATATCAATTCTTTCTAATGGTGACCAAATTGAAAACATTTATCAACAATTTTTTTATGTCTTAATAATAATAAAAATTCATATCCCAAAGTAGCTGCTGCTAAACTTGTTATATTTGCATGATCATATGCTGGAGAAACTTCTACAATATCCATTCCAACATAATTTATTGAACCAAGTAGACGTAGAATAGCAATTGCTTGTGCCGTCGATAAACCACCGCAAACAGGTGTACCTGTACCTGGAGCAAATGCCGGATCAAGACAATCGATATCGAACGTTAGATACGTTGGATTATCACCAACTCGGTTTTTAATTTCATCGACAATATTTTGAGTTTTATGGCGATGAATCCAATCAGCATCAAGAATTTTAACACCCATAAAATTATCATTGTGTGTGCGAATACCAACTTGAATGGATGTTTCTGGATCAATGAGACCTTCATTTATAGCATAATAAATCATAGAACCATGATTTAAACTGTCAGGATGTGCATCTGGCCATGTATCACAATGAGCATCAAATTGAATAAGAGATAATGGTTTACCGTGCACCGCAGCATGCGCTTTTAACAATGGATATGTCACGTAATGATCACCACCTAAACTAAACATTCGTTTTTCATTCCAATCGAAAATTAAAATTTTCATTTACCTAGACTGAGCAAAAAAGCATTTCGTTTAATAATCTTTTTTGCGTGATCTTCAATAGCACCTGGAATTGTTTTTGGTTGACTCATATCAAACCAACAATCTCCATAATCAACAACGGATAGGTCATCAAATAGATCAATCCCTCCAGGATAGGATTTAAGTTCCGATAATTGTACAGATGCTTCACGAATGCCTTTCGGCCCGAATCGAGTGCCTGGTCGATAGGTTGTTGCCAAATCAAGTGGAATACCAGTAACAGCTACGTCAACTCTATTTAAGTTACGTGTGTAATTACGACGAAGAAATGATAGAACACCAGCATAAGTTTGTTCGATGGTAGAACCGTATGGTGCAGTTCGACGTATAGCTCCATCGCCGCGTAAATTAGAATCTTCACCGGGTAGCTGTGTATGCGATCTTGAAGAAGTAAACCGACGGAATAAACAAAATGTATTGGGTAATAAACGGTAACGTGTTACGCCCAACATTATTTTTTTTCGAGGTCAAAGAATAACGAAATATATCTTTTTCGTTTATTATTTATCAGTCATTCTTCTGGCAGATGGCGCTCCTCGTCAATCACAACAAAGTTTTATTTTATTGGCTTCTTTTTTTTATAACTGTACCTTGCGATCTAATCTAAAAAAACATAATGCTTACAGTACACCTGTATAATATCGAGCAAAATTTTGACTATATTTGGGTATTGATTTAGTTCGAAAATAAGCAAAGAACACAGCCTATATGATCAATATTAGCTGTCTTTTATCAGTATGATCTACACCCACAATTGTTTTATTCTTTGAATAATACATCGAGTAACACACTTTCAAATCTGAATATTCTCTTGACAGATTCAGTTATACTCTTACCATCAATTGAAGCTTTAAAGAAAATTAATGAAATAGAGGAAAAAATGATACCTACAATTATAAACAACATTTTTAGGTCTAACGGTTAAATCATGTCAAGTATATAGACAGTCAAATATTTATAATTCTGTTTTAGCAGCTCTGTTTAAAATTAAATAGCTTCTAGTACACATTGCGACATATAATTCGAATGAACTTGAACAAATTTTGTTTTTGCCGTAGAATATTTATGAATGATCTATTAAATTTTTGTAATATTGATTATTACATAGGATCAGTGAAATTAACGAGTAGGAAACACTACTTTTAGATTTTCGTTACTTTCATTTCTCGTCGATTATGTCGACTATGATAGCTCATGTTCAGGTGAGTTATTTCAGATTAAATTTCAATTTGTTTTTGCATTCAAAATCTTCTTGTTTCCTCATTTATAGAAAGCACTACGGCATCATGCACCGATGATTCGTTTCAGATATGGTTTGAATCAAGCTGGTACAAACTCATCAAGTACCATACTTTCTTTATCGATCATTGAATGAAACCTAAACTGTTCGTAATTTCTTCTTTCATAGATCAAAAATCAGCCACACACAAACATGAAGTGCATATAAATAAAAATACTGCTGCGCCAGTTCCGGCTACAAATCAATTAAAAGCTGCTCATAAGTCAACATCATTTGCATTTTTAGAAACACCTACAAAATATCGCCGACGTGCATTAACACAAGATGAAATTGATCTTATTGCCGTATGACTTTTATTTTCGTTCATAGAAAAATAGACTTTTTTATTTTCTGTTAGATTGGTGGACTCAAATAATTTATACATCTCGATCTTGTCAGTAAATGATTCCCAGTCAATTATATAGTACCTGACAGTTTTATTTTCCGTTTTCTTTTCTTTTCAAATAATCAAAAATAATAAATTATCGAATACGAGGTCTGTACTTTCCTCCATATTTATCGTTTGGATCAAGATCAAATACTTTAAATGCACTTTTAACGCGTTCGGCCGGCTTCCAATTGTCTAACTGAACCACTTCATCAATAATATTTTCTTTTTCTTGTTGGCGTTCTTTTTGAGTAAATTCACGTTCATCAATAATGTGAATTCTATCATTTCTCATTGGTACGAAGTTTCTCGCATTTCCTTGTCGTTTCTTTTCGTGTCCAAAATCGACAACAGGCAATGTTGTACCGTATTTATGAAATTCAGGCGATTGCTCAACAGTCCGATAGTTTTTGTCGCCTTCGGATTTTTTCTTCAAACCATTACGAATATCTAAAACTTTTTTCTTATGTCCAATTTGTACCATCGACATGTTTTGATCACCGAGATCTTCTAATGAACGAAGATGTATATTATCAAAATGATTACGTTTAGATGAATTTTGGTTTATTGATTCGTCAGCAAAATACATCCATTCATTCGCTGAACGTTGCCAATTTTGAGGATAAGGACGAACGAAATGTAGATTTTTTTCTATTAATCCAACTGGTAGTGTAGGCTTCGTGTCGGAATTGTGTGGCGAAGGAATATAACGAATCCGAGATTGCCAATCCGGTCCAATACTTTAAATAAATAATAATAAGATGATGATTGAAAAAAGAAAAGAAAATGAAAGTTTCTATGATACTCTGTTTGTATAAGAAGAAAAGATCAAACAAAATTAAACAAAAACCGAGAAAGGCAACTGTTGTTCTATTGCATCGGATCAAATTTCATTCTTTTGTTTTCTTTGTCTTCCTCCTTCATTTTTTGATTGCATTGTGAATAAAGTAGTACTTACTCTGTATACATTGGTTCAACATGCCGTCCGTGTGGACGCCATTCATCATCAGGATTTGATCTTGGCGAAGAGATATAAAGACGACCTCTTGGCTTTGCACTACATTCACTAAAAGCATAACGATGCTTTTCAGGAAAATGTCGACGATCATAGCCTAACGAAAAACACAACAGTCTAATCAAATTTGTAAACATAATATTTTTTAATTAATTAAATACCATGATAACCCGGCTTTTCTAAATCATAATGAAGATGCAAGGTTGTTGCGGTTACATGAACCATAATATTATTTTAAATAATAATAATAATAATAATAATAGTCAAGCAATGTTGAAAAATGATTTCGTTTTTTTTCTGTCTTGACTGTTGTTAACAGACCTCCTAGTAGCTACATTTAAATCGAAGAGAAAAATGTTTTATTTCATTTTGTTGCTTTATCAATGCATACATAAAACGTTTTAATGATGATGATTGATTTTTTCTTGTTCGTTCGACATTAGAAACGCAGTTTGACATGTATTTTATGTTTATTTGGAATTCAAATGTTTTATTGTCAATAAAACATTTCGTTGATGTAAACTGATATTACAAATGGGATTACGGTTGAAGTGTCTTCAAAAGTTCGCCCTTATTAAATCTTTAGTGTGCAAATCTAATAAAAACGCGTGATTTTTGTACAGTTCTATGGCATTGGTTTAAAAGATTTTCTTTTCAATTGACAGAGAATCATTTTCAATCAGACACAAGTATTAGAGATTGACATTGAACTTGAAAGCAACTATTTGAACCTTTCTGATTTCTTTAATTTCAATTTTGACACGATTCTATTGAACAGGACTACAAATAAATTCATTCTTACAATCACTCTTCAACAGAACTCATGTTTATAAAGAGTAGAACGGAGTTTCCTATAAATTATAGAAAATAAAATCAAAAATATATTTTTCGTATGAACTCATGATGAAATTCGCCTTTGACATTGAAATGATTCTTGTCACAAATTCCTTTTATGTAAGTTAAATTATTTGATTACTTGAAATTTTCGACTAACGGTATTCATAATGTGTATCAAGAAGCGCTATAACGAATTCAAGAACAACAAAACAACTTGCTATTGATAAAGTCTTAGATTTGAAGCAAACTTCACAGCAGCCTATTCAGGGTTATCAGCCGTACCCCATTTGAGCCTTTTGTACCTCAAAAACAATTGTACCTCTGAGGTACACACTTTGTACCTCATCTGTATTTTTCAATGTTACGACTACTATCATCCATATTTTGGTTGAAACTAAGAAAATTTCTGTCTCTTTACCCGACATTCACTATTGATAAAGATGTGACGCGTCAATTATATTGGTTGGCTGCTAATGGCCATGTTTATGAAGAATTCAACAATGACATATGCAACAAGTATCATGATGAAGATAATCTCATTCACAAATCGACGATCGAAAATCATGAAAGAGAAGTGGAATTTCGGTCTGATCAATTTTGGGCTTTTCTTCTTGTAAAGTCGAAACCAATGTGCATTGAAATGTACAAAATTATTTCTTATGTGTACTCAATTCCTTGCTCGAATGCATTTGTTGAAGGCGTTTTGAATCAAAGAAAAAGCGGATGGACAGCCAGTCGCAATTTGACAGTGAATGAAACGATAGCTGCTGAATTGAAAATCAGATTTAATAGTACTATGACATGTGAAGATTTTTTTTCTTTTGCTCAAACACAACCGCAGCCGATAAAGTGTGGCAAAAGGCAACAAAAATACAGTTTCGAAAAAAAGCGTGCAACAGTTAGTGTAAATATAAATCGAGCAGGTTCGCTTTGAGTAAACATTGTTTTATTATGATTGAATTGAATATATGTATGACAAAATGAAATTTTATTGTGAACATATTTATTAGAAAATAAAGATTTCAATTTGACAGCTAGACTTTATAGTAAAACGAAAAACCGAGAATGCCCCTTCCTGATTGAAAATAGTTTTTGAAATTGATTTCCGCAGCCGATGACCAGTGTGAAAGATGTAAACTGCGTACCTCATGAATGTACCCCATTTACAACTGAGCTGTACCTAACGTGTACCCCATTTGGGACCTGAACAGCTGGCAACCCTGAGCCTATTGCTATTATTATGACAACATTAAATAGGAAGCACTCTGGGTTAATCATATTCAACAACAAAAGAAATTAAACGATTATTTTTTTGCTTTTGAATCTTGATGAATAAATCAAGAAGCATTTTTACGAAACAAAATATTGTCGTCTCGAAGTTTCAATAAAATACACAAACGAGAATTTAGATTGTATATATAAATAAACCTAATGAAGAATATTTACAATGATAAAGGTACGAAAATATATCGATTTATTCATTCTTTAGAGGTCACGTGCTTATCAGGACAAAAAAAATAGTTCATTGAGATTAGAGATGTTACTTTCTATGTTTGGTCGTAATTTATTTGAAAACAAAAACACGGGCAGCACATCTATATAAAAAAAAATGTCGAAGATAAGACTATTGACGCAGATATATTTCCATAGGATTAATGTCAAGGTAGATAAATATGCAAGACTAGCGCGATATTGAAAAACATCATTAACAAAATAGAGCTCATGTTTAGAATCCGATACTAACGCCGCAAAAAAATCATAAACCACCAGGATATTTTATTGGATCTATATAAGATCATGATTCAAAATATCTATATGATGGTGACGTGTAACTGTTTTTGATGAATAAAAGCGTGTCTCTTTCAATTCAAGAAACGTTTCAGTCAATATTATATCTGTATGAATAAACTCCACTGGATGCTAAAACCAACTTCGAGAAACTCGATAGAGTAGAAGAAAGTGCTCACTTGTAAGATTAGTATGATTGATTAGTTCTTATAGTTATATCACGTAAATGCGATCAATAAATAGTACTGCCCATGACGTATTGACTTACAGATTGTATTCATCAAGTATTTAGATATTACTTAATTATTCATGGAACGATTCGTATAAAACGAAAATCTCTACTCGTGTTCCACATTTTATTTTCTTTGATACTTACATTATCAATCAAACTATGAAACTATCTTACTTCCTTCACACCTCTAAGTTGCAAAATCGATAATTATTCAACTATCGCCGGCTTTAATGAGACTACTTTCAAAACGAGATTTCTATAGTTTGTAATGATTTAATGCACTCGAAAGCTGCTAGGTGCATTTTTTTGTTCGGCCCAAAATATTGACCTTGCTAATCAAATGATGTCACTCGATTGCAGTACAAGTAAAATAGCCTTCATGTTGAATTTGAACCAAATGATTTATTAACTATCGTTGTGTAGAAAGAAATAAACAATGCATCATATGCTTTTTGACAAGACTATATTCTCAATATGGACTAACCGTTGTTTGCATTTTGCTTAGGACAAAAATTAGAACTCAATCGGGAATGAATTATTTGCAAATATGTGTTCTATTGAAAATTGAAGCATTGGTAGTACTTAAGATTATAGAAATAAGTGCGTCATAAATCAATGATCGTATAAGAAATGAAATTTACTGTTGTACAAAAATCTATTCACAATGTGACGATTAGATTAGCAAGTGAAGCCGTGTGAATTGTATTTCTTGTTAAACGATATTTTTTTCTATTCTGATTTTTATTGCTTTAATTTATTTCAAATCGAATGTAAATTCATTCACAACGCATATGCAGAGAGCATACAGTATTCAGTTTGAATACTAACCAAAATACCTTCTCTAAAGCAAATATTGACTCAGCAATCTAAAGCAGATGCATGAGCATTGGACATTGTGTCCTTTTATCCAAAAATAAAGATTATTTACTAAAGCCCATCATCATGCTTCATAGAGATTGAATATTGAACAGATTGAACATCTATCTTAGGCCAATTCAAGATAAGTGACAACACGAAAATGTCTAGTAGCAACGTTATGTTGAACATACCAATTATACGAATTAAGCTAATGCGCATAGGTAGATTGTGAAACATTTCATTTGTAATGACAAACTTGAAGAAAAAGAGTAGAACGAAGATAAATATAAGGCCATTATTCAAATCAAGAGAGAAAACGAAAAAAATAAATTTTATGCTTTAATCCATAACACTAAGTAGTGCATAATAGGAATAGTGAAGAGATTACTTTCGAACGGCTTAGTTTGTTTTGCGACTGTTATGAGGAGAGTATCTCTCTTTGTTCGAATAAAAGATAATCTAATTTTCACAATATGAAAAAAGCACTGACCGCGTTGGTGAATCGGTCAAACGAATAAAAATAATGAGCGAAAGGAATGCAAAGGGTTAGCGAGGCGTGAAGCACAATATATATATATATATATATATATATACAGAAAGTTAAACCAGGTGAACATTTAGAAAAGATGAAATAGACACACGTATCTCCTAAGAAAGCTTTCAAATCTTTCGTGCTTTCACATGCTTTGTATAGTATATAAAACATTGAATTATAGTTGATCAAGCGAGAACCCGAGTACTTGCAAATTCTACGTCATTTTCCCGCATCTTATCAGGTGATACAAGATAGAAAGAGAGACAAAAAACAATAAAAAGAAGTCGAATAAGATTCAAGAGGAAGATATCAAAAGGTGGGATTACATAGAAGGACGTATAAAAGAAGAATAGTATAGAACGAAACTGTAAGATTTCGATTCTTTTCTGATATTGTTATCAATCTCAAGATAAATACACTTTTTGTATGTCATATTTACCCGTATCCTTTCATTAAATCTATCTCAGACACAATTGGATATAGATAATAACAATCAAATATAACGAGAAAAAAATAAAATGACTAAGGTAAGTTATTTTAAACCAATAAATTTTAAAAGTAGAACAATATATTTTAGGTCGCTGTTGATATGCTTGAGTATGAGCTTCATGAATACAATGTGCCCCGAGCAAATCCATTGGTAGCATCTGATAAAGTTGACCTTGTAATTTATAAAAGAAAATTGAAGATAATTACAATTTTGAAATAATCATTTCATTTAGAAACCAGCCGGCTATGAAAATCCTGTATTTTCGACTCAAGAACTACCGGGAGCCTCTCGTGAAAATGGAAAAATTATAACAACAAAGTTACCAGAAAAACTTGATGATAATGACGACAACGACGACGACGACGGCGATGATGATGACGATGAAGACAAAAATAACATAGGTTTTGAAAGACTACCAGATGAAGGACACAGACTTGGCTTATTGGTGCTAAAATTTCATGAATTTCTGGTTAATTTGATTAAAAAAGATAGAGTAAGAAAAATCTTGTTCGATGTAATAATTATCTTTGTTTAATTTTGAATAGACCAAAGCCGCTAATGCAGTTAAAATAATACTTTTAATTGGTTTTATAATCTATTTTGGTTTTGCTATGAGTGCGCAATACGGAACACCCGCGTTTCCTATAAGGGGAAACATATTTCGAGGAAATTATGGTAAGAACTGCTTGATTTTTTTCGAATTCGTACCATTGATTTTTTTGTTTAGGTTTTGCTCTATTTTTTTTTGTTGTTTTTGTTGTTTTTGTTGTTGCATGGGAAAAATTTCTTCGAAGTTCACTCGAACGTGTGATTAAGGCCATTTCAACCTCAACTTCGAATAATCCATCGTTGACTCGACTGAAAAAACTAATAGATAAATATTTTTGGTATATAATTGAATCTTCATTTATATAACTTTGTATTTATTTATTCATTGAATGAATAGGATTACACATATCCTAGTTTTTCTTGCTGTAGCTCTGTATATTGGATTGACATTAACACGAACCAGAAATTTAGTTTCATTGATTGGTATATTTACATTGATTTTGCTTGGAACACTTGGTATGTCGAATTTTGAAATAGGAAAAAGAGAAGTTTTCATCTAATTTAAATAGGCTCAAAATATCCTCATCGGGTAGGTAGGACAAAGATTTAAATTCGAACGGAGTATAAAATCTATTGTTGATTTTGGTATCATGATAAATTAGATTCGATGGTCAACTGTATTCTATTCGTTTATACTACAATTCTTATTAGCTACTTTTGTTATTCGCGTTAAGGTTGGTTTGCAACTTTTTGAATTTCTTGGAGATGCAGTAGTAAAATTTATTGAGTAAGAAATATAATGGTAAAATTGAATTCTATTAATAAAATTCTTATCGTTATTTAGTAATGCAGCTGCCGGAGGAATATTTGTCTTTGGAAAAGATTATGAAGATCATTTTTATGTTTTTAAAGTAAATCTTGTCAAAATGCATATTTTCATTTCTTTTTGTTACTTAAGGTGACGTCAATAATTATTTTTCTTGGAGCTGTAATAAATACTCTCTATTATTTTGGTGCTATGCAATATATTATTGGCAAAATTGCTTGGCTGATGCAGAAATGTTTAAATACAACAGCAGCTGAAGTATCTATTAGTTTTTTGTTTTTATATCGAATTATATAGCATTTGGTTTAGGCTCTCGAATTTCGATTCCTAAATTTCGCTAAAACTTCAAAATTCCTTAAAAGTAGTGCCGCCGTTACGGATCTCTACTACCCTCCCCCCCAGAATAAAAGGCCATGGTCTTTTACAGTGCCTCAGCACATCGCTACTTTTTGGGTGGTCTTCTATTGAGGGCCAATTTTTGGTCAATTATTAATTAAAATATTTTTAAAAATGAATAATTAATTAATAACCTTAATTATTCTTTTTTTAGGTGCTTGTCACTAAAAAAACTACCATTTTATAATTAATAACTATAGAAATATAATCGATTTTCTAGTGTTTTCTTTGCGAAATTCTTCCTATCCTCTCATAAATAGTACAGTTTTTACAAAATTATTAAAAATTCAATATTTTTGTGATTTATTAATTAATTAGTGCATGGCCTTCTAATAGGGCGTTTGAACTTTTGTCCGAACGTGGCCTTATACAGGGGGGTGGGGAGGTTACCTTGTAAGCAATCAATGTGAGTGTGCGACGGGCCAGCGATAACCAGAATAATATTGATAGCCGATTGATTCCTGTGTAGAAATAAGGGTTTCTATAAGAGTTAATCAGAGAAATTCGACTGCAGTCCTAATTGCAATCTTTTTGTAGATATGTTTGAATAAAAATTGAACACATCTATATTTCTAGTCATTGAATGCAGCTGCAAATATATTTGTGGGAATGAGCGAAGCACCACTGATGATCATGCCATTAGTACCAATGATGACAACATCTGAACTTCATGCTGTCTTAGTCGGTGGTTTTGCAACAATGGCAGGTTTGAGAGTAGAATTTTATTTTTCTGCTCGTAATTAATTTCTTTCAATATATTAGGATCCATTCTTGCAATTTTTATATCTTTTGGTGTTCCAGCAAATCATTTAATTGCTGCTAGTGTTATGGCTGCACCTAGTGCACTTGGTTTTGCCAAACTTTTGTTACCAGAAACACATAAATCAAAAACATCATGGGAAATTGTGAAAAATATACCACTACCGTAAGTTTTAGTTAGAATACGATGCTTTTACTTGAATGGAAATTTTGCCGGAACTAATTCTTATCTAAATCAGAGAAGAAATGACGTACAGATGTGGAAAATATGTTCTTGCTGCTAACAGGGTGTATCTGTGATATTTCCTCTATTCACACCACGTACACACGCTAGTTCTCTTTCAAATGAAAACACACGGAGTTTTGTCGTTTGGCTCGTTGACTCTCGCAAGCGTTGAGATTCCAAAATATGTGTAGTCTAAAAACTAAGTTCAATTAAAGAATTCCTTAATTGTCTACGTCTTTATATGTTTATCGTTTTTTGTTAAACTAGACCACAACACAATGCAATCGATGCTTTGATGACCGGAGCTGGAAACGCGTTAAAAATTTGTGGCTATCTAATTGCAAATTTAATAGCGTTTATTGGTGTTCTCAATTTTCTTGATGTTACAATATCGTGGCTTTTCAATATGGTGCATCATCCTGAAGTTAATTTTCAATATTTACTAGGTTTACTGTTTTATCCATTTGCAGTTATAATTGGTATACCATTTCGTGATTGTCTTCTTGCATCAAAATTAATTGGTATCAAAGTTAGCTTAAATGAAGTAAAAAGTTATGACAAACAGGATGTATTTCCATAAATAGTAATTTCGTTTCTTTTCTCTATTGAATAGTTCATTGCTTATGAAGAGCTCGGCAAAATTCGTAAATTGCGCGATGAGCTTATAGCAAATGAGACATTTTCCGAATATTTAAGCGGTAACTTCCCACTGCCAGTTGGCACTCGAATGTTGTGGGATGTAAATATTATAGAAAAATATGAAGTTATTTCCAACAAAAAATATGAAAAATTTTCTTATCACTTTAGGAAAGTTCAATAATTATTTTGACTTACGCGCTGTGTGGTAAGTGTCGTTTTTTTTTGTTGCTTTTGAACTTTAATTTATGTATGAGCAGGTTTTGCTAATTTTGGTTCCATGGGTATCGCATTAGCAACATTAAGTGTATTTGCACCTCAACGAAAACGAGCTTTAATAAAAATTGCACCACGTGCGTTAATCGGTGGCAATATGGTTTCATTGATGACTGCATCGATTGCTGGTATAATAATCGAAATTTTCGAATTTTTAAATATTTATTTTTTTTCTGTTCAGGTCTACTTTATGATCCTCGGAATATTGTATCAATACCAAAGTTGAATTCTACAATCATATAAAATCTATTTGATTCATCTGTCTAAAATACTGATTTGTTTTCCTGTGTTAACCGAAAATGATCAAATAAACTGTTGTGCATTGAAAAAGGAGATTTTTATTTTGCTGTTATACAAAAGTTTCTCAAAATAAATGAACTATAGCCTCATCAGCCGTTTAATTAGATAATAATTCTTATTCATATCTTGCAAATAGCATATTGGAGATTCTCGATTAGAAATCCAGAAATATATATCATGGCAAAAAAGAAATAAGATATACGCGGCTATGGATAAATGTTTAGTACTTTATTCGACCTAATATATGTTTCTATTAGAATGTTTATTGTATGTGTATATTCTTTCAGTTAATTATCATTTGGTTTATATTAAGGAGAAACTGTTCTAAATGATAACATACACATACGTACTTATCTTTTGACAGTTATATCCCATCATCCAACATAAATATTTATTATCTCTTGACATCATTTTCATATTTATTTAAAGTCGAATTAATATTGACACGCAAAGGTAGGGAGATATTTTAAAAAGAAAACAAATACATATACAAAGTTGCTCAAACTACGTGCTTTGGTTTTTCACTGTGACGAATCTGGCGTATTGGCCGAGCAAAACATGGTAAACATAATACAAACTTCAGCAGAATTGTAATAACAGGAAATACTACACAATGAAATCCAGTTGTTCTAAGTGACTGGACAAATCCAATTGCGATCCAGCGTGGTATTGCCATAGCGAATGCATGTCCAATAGCTAACAATAATGTAAATGTACCTAGTTTCGATTGAATAAATCTCCATTCTCGCCAATTTAATAAATTAGCAATTGCTGGAATACTTGTTATTGCTAATAAAGACATTAGAAGTAAAGTTAAAATACCCATTAATGATGCCAATTCGCCTTTTATAGTCATAACACTATGTGGAACAATAACTTCGGTTTGATTTCGATTAGCTGATATAATTATTTTAGCCGGATGAAACCATGATTTATAGTAGCCAGGTGACATAAGAACTAAAGTACTAAGAACATGAAATAAAGAAATTGCAAATGTAAGTAAACCAAGTTGTTTTCGGCTGAGTAACCATTTGTCCAGCCATGTCGGAAATCGTTTTTCTTTATTTCCATATGCTAATTGAAATATACAGGCTAAATTTGATGGCATATAAACAAGAGATAACATTGTAATAGCACTAGCACATAAAACTTTATTAGTCATGTGTAAAAATAATTGATCCCATGATGTCGTTTTCACATATATAAATTTCGTAAGAAGCGTATAAATTAACCAGCCGAATAGAACAATTATAGCTATAATAATGGGTACAATCCAACCAGGAAACAAGGTGCGCGTATACGTTTCCAAATGACGAGCCGCTCGAAGTGAACCACTATTATATGATTCGAAATTCATTTCTCGAGCAAGCATCATTACTTTATCTCGTGCCAATGAATGATCACTAGCAACAGGAACACTTCGTGGTTCACCGGCTGTTGTATTTTGCATAACAAATGATGATATTGTATTAAAGGCTTTAACAATATATGCACTTGGTATAGCAATTTGAAGACGTTCAGCGTTTGAAAAGTCATCTTGACGTGTTTTTTGATCTTGTTGGTTCGATATGTCAATTACAATTTTCCGATCGAATAATGTCGGATTATGTTCTAAGGGTGAAATCAGTACATTTGTATAATGTTCAGCGTGTGTCGCAATAAATATGATAAAAGAACGATGGATACAATCAGTAATTGAAGTTATTTCATAGTTTAGATGACGTCGATTTTTCGGATCTCGACTTCCCATTAGAACAGTAAAACCCGAATGAGTTAAACGATGAGCAAGAGCAAAACCCATGTCGCCACAACCAATTATTCCAATGCATCGGGGGTCAGTCATATTTATCAGATAATATCGTTGCAATTGATATTTTTCTCGTTTGCAGACGTGCAACACTAAATAATAAGTGAATCTATCGTTATCTTCTCGGGAAAAAATGGCAAGGACAAAAATAGGCAACCAGAAATCAATATCACGATGATACCAAAGCAGAAAGAAAACAAAAAAACAAAAAAATATATTGATAGAAATGGACAAAAAAAAGAACAGAAAATAAACAAGAGAATTCTCTAGGGGAAAAACTAGGAGAATGTCTGAGTAATGCGTTGATTAATGCGTATAACATGACGACTAGTTGAAAGCCTCGAGACATGATTGGGTACATGTATAGAAGTAGAACTCGAGCATCATTCGTAAGTGTCTATTGAAAATATATAGAATGTTGCGCAGACTATCGATCGAAGAGCAAATCAGAACATCTTTATTGCACTGCAATTTAGTTGGGTTGCTGCTCTGCTTCGGATGAAAGAAGAATGGTTTTAGTTTTTGCATTTTACGAAATATATTCAAATTACATATTTTTTAATTTTCAAGCTTTTTGCCTGATAATACGAGATATACTTTGAAAAACAAGTTATCCATATTCTACTGAATCAGCCTCTAAAAAATTCTAGTAGCGGAAAATCGTTTTATGTCAATTCTAATTTTCAATAAACCTGAAAGAAAACCAGAAGACTCGGGATTTTAAAAAAGACAATTCTTCTAATGTGAACCTTTTCAAACTCCAACACTTTCTCATCAATAATAGAATTCACAATGTAAATTTTCCCCATAGCAGATATATCTTCGATGAATACTTGATGTAAACGATAAGTAAAGCTCCATGAAATATATAAGAGGAAAATTTTTAATCTCCAAAGAGATTCCAATATTTGCACCACATTTGTACAGAGCACAAAATTCTTAGAACATATTCAAGAATATCTAACAATTATTGTTACAATATAAAACAATACTATCATCGACGCTGAAACATATTCAGTTGTGGTTGAACTCCTTGAGCAAAAATTTTCGATACAATATGCACGGCGATATTTACGGTAAACTCAACTTTGGTCGACAGTAAAAATGTCGACAGTTAAAAATGTCGAAAGAAATTTATAAAAATAAAATTAAAAAATCTAAAAGAAGGAGTGTTTTGAAAGATATTCGATGAATATGTTATTATTGTAGGCAGTGGCGGATCTGCCAGTTAGGCTATCCGGCCATCGCCACCCCCCTTAAGAAACTTTTTCGATTTTCTCCAGCAGAAATGAAACAGAAAATAGCCGTTCTGTCTCAACTAGACTTGAAAAACCGTTTTTTGGTTAGGAGCGCCACCGCCTAACAGATTTTCTGGGTCCGTCACTACTTGTAGGATCGATGGCGACTTATGTTCGTTTAAATCTATCATTGGTCTATCAGACATTGGTCACTTAGTACAATGTAATAGAAAAGAATAAGAAAATTAGTCTTCAATTATTCATTATTCGAGTGATAAATATACATATGGAAGCCGCCGCGGAATCGACACCCAACATCAACAGTGATTTAAATTTCATTACTTCGAATAAGGGACAACCTCGTTTAATAATGGATCAATTCTGAACACGACATTTTTCATGAATACCTACTCAGTTTTCGATATTTTTACTTTTTCGACATTCTACTGTCGACTACAGTTCAGAGATTCATATTTACATTGCTACACATACATATACAAAAGACATGTTCAAACAGTTTGTATATTTATGAAAATAACAATCATACGGTGGCTGGTCATTTAAAATTTTCTTTCACTAGACATGTTCTATGAAGTACAATTTTGACATTTATTATCGTCTATTCGATATGTTAAAGACAAAGACTTCAACTATCACCATAATGCTAATAACTCAGTAACTGATGGATAAATGCAGCTGCGCGTACTTTAGAAAATGAGAGGACATTCCAGATAAATGATTGTGTTAATTTTATTAGCACTAAAAATCACCGATGGAGAAAATTTTTCATTACGATAGAATAATAAATAAGTTTGACATAAAATACGTTCAAGGCGAATGCACAAATAATCGAAGGATGTCTAGTTGACAGTACAATCATATTGAAAAGCTCGATATACGCACGAGCCATACAAATGTCCAATTGAATCTACGTTACTTAATGTTCATGATTTCTAGACATACAATACTAAATTTCAAAATTTGAAAATGTTTTAATTTAAATATTCAAATCGAAAGCTACAATTAATAAATTGAAACAAATACGCAAGTCTTTGAATACATTTTCTTGTGTTGTTTCTCATATTCAATAGATTTTTCTATTTTCAACCATGTCACTATCATGTTTAATACGTTACATTGAATCAAACAAAATAGCAATGCTATTATTCACTAATGAAGTATGCATGTTATAGTTGTCTTATTTAGCCGTTCTCGTCTTGTCATTGCATTGTGGTGAATATTGTCAAGTTGGGTTACGCATCAGTGAACTTGTAACACACGTTATATCGATCTATCTTACATGAAGCCTTGAACAAGCCACCATTCACCTATATATACACACACAGCTTAGTAACCTTCTATGTTCATCGATAGAATCGTTACGGCGACAAGAATGATGGAAGATAATTAATAATGTCAGATATATGAGTTTCTTTTCAGAACGAACAAATAGTCGAAATCAAGCATGTTTTTTTCAATGCTTTTTCCTTTGATTTTCAAGGTACTTCATCTCCAATAATGTGCCGCTTATTGTATAGTGTGCCTTGTGTACGTTGATAAGAGAATGTAGCACAAAGCGTAAGATATAGAAACCAAAAACCATGAAAGGACGAATACGACCACAAGTAGATGGAGTAAAAAAATGCGTTGTCTCTTTCTTGCTTGTGCAGTCTTTCGTTCGCATTCTTTTCAAATCACTAAATTTATACATCATTTTTTTGTAAACGTATGGACCGGTAAACTTGAGATTATTATCATCCATTACTTCTTCTAGTCTGAAACGAAGAGACCGTGATCATTCAAGAATTTATCCTAATATTAAGAATATAGGTTGAAAAAAACAAGCAATATAATAATAAATTATTCGATTTTACTTTCAGATGACTAGTAAAAACCAATAATATTCTCTAGCTAAATGTCCTTAAAAGACGTATCAAATGACCGGCTGATGATCGATTGGCTTCGACAGGCTGGTCATGGTCATCTGCTGGATGAACGAATTCAAAATACGAATTTTATTTCGTCTCCACCGTCAGCCAGTATTCCATTTGGACAAACGACTTCTTCATCCAATTATCCACCGCAAACAACATCATTGTTTTCTGTATCGCCTCCTTTTAATACTGGTTTTCCTGGTGCACCTCCCATGAATACGATAAATAGAACAGCACCGATTCTTCAAACAGATTTTAATCCTACAGCACGCTATGATGGTGCTGCTACTTTATCACCATCACCATTACCCATCGGATCTTCGTCATTTGGTCAACATCAAGATTCATCACATTTCAATTCACCATCTCCGGCACAATTACTTGCACCAAATAGGAATGAACGACAACTTGATGTTGATATCGAAGTAAAATATTTCATGATTATTAAATTATTTTGAAAGAAAATTTCAATTCTATTTCAACAATAGAACATGAAACGGGATCCAAATACTCGCATTGTTCAACGTCCTCCACAAGAAGATATTGTTTATAAACAACGGGTAAACGAAAGTGTAATGTCTATATACATATTAAATTATTGATAATAGGTCTTCGTAAGATATCTACAACCTCCGACACCACCTGTTGGTGGCACCATTATTGTTCGAGAAAAACAGCCACCTGCACCGGCACCTGATCCACCTATTGCAAGGAAATATCATTCACGACTGCTTAACACTAGCATTGGTTTTTGTTTAGGTTATCAAACGTGCTCCACCTGCACCTCCAACTCCACCACCAGTTACGATTCGCGAGGTTTGTAGAAATACTTGTTGTTTTTCGATGGCCATTCTATTTAACTACTTGTGTATAGCGTCCACCACCAATTCCTCCTGCTGAAGGTTCCTAGCATTATAGTTTTTAAAACTTTTTCCACTAATTGTTATTTTTTTGTTTTGTTTCTATATCACAGGTACCACGGTCATTGATAAATTAGTTCCACCGGGACCAAAACCAGCACGACAAGTAATTATCGAACAGTATCCGCCATTACCACCCAAACCTCAAGATGTTATTATTGAACGATGGCTTCCAGTTCAACCACGAACACGGCGTATTCTTTATGAACGCTTACCTCCATCCAATCAACCAGCTACACGACCAATTATTGTTCAATACGGTCCGCCACAAGTTCGTGTTAAACGCGAAGTTGTCGTCACACCTGGTGTTTCACAACTTCCTTATCAACAAGTGGCTGGCCAAACAGATATTAATCAGATTTTAAATCAACTTGGCGGCAATCAGCCACTCAGTTCACTAGTAAGGATTAGATTGCTTCTGACACGTGAATGTGTCCTATAAACAATTTTCATTCAGTTGTCTCCTTCATCTCTTGGTGCCTATAATCCATATTCAACAATACAACCAAATTATAGTTCTCTTGGTCAACCTCAATCAAATATTGTTATTATGCAAAATGGACAACCAAGTACGTTGCCATCATCTTCATATGGCGTACCATTAACATGTGTGTGTACACCAAATAAAAACGTAGGTTTAGGTGCTTATGGTTCTGGTGTATCAACAACGCCAGTTGTTGGTCAATCACCTGGGCAAACAATGGTTTACAATATACCTGGTAAAAAATTGAACTCAAGAAATTTTAATAGAGTATAATCGTACAATTTGTTTTGCTGCTAGAAAATGTACCCGTGGATAATATTCTTCGTCAACTTGGCATTGATCCATATTCTATACAACGTTCAGGTGGTTCTCCATTTCCAGGTATGTGCTGCACTCATTTGCATGTTGTTAACACTGATAATAGGTATCTTATGCTCGTGATACCATTAATAAAGAACGGCTGTAAACTGTATGAATCATCGATGATAATAGTTATGTAACGAATGAAAGAAGAAAATCTATGAAAACTAAGTTGATATGTAAAGAATTCTTGATAGAAAGTCATCGATTACGTAAAGAATGAGAAATCTGAATTATACATTAAGATCAAAATGAATTCGAATTCGAAATCGAACATCATTTTCATACACTTTCTGCTCCGCAGATGAATTAAAAAATAACACTGTTCTTGCTATTTTCAAGAAAAAAAAGTATCTCAACTTCTTCTTTCGATGATTGAACACGTAAGGTCGCTATTTACTAGTACTATTGAGTTATTAAAAATTGCACCAATCAGTCTTAGATATCTACCGGAACACAAGTATTATATACATAAATAGAGCCTATTATTACTAATAACAGCCGATAAACAGATAGCCGACTGTTAGTTGTAATTAATTGAATTACGTATAATATTAAGAAACTTACTTTTTTTTTCTATCTAGATTCACATAATGCTCTTGCAAACGTATGGAATGCCGCTTCTCACGCAAATCCATCATATCCCATAAGTTAGATTTAATTTCCTTTTTCCTTTTCCTGTAATTATTTTTTTTCTCATGGCCAGATCCTAATTCAGCAGTATCACACGTTTGGAATGCTGCAGCACACAATACTGATTTCAATCGACCAGCTTCTCCAAGTTCAGGTCGGGCGTGGGAAAAAATTGACCAGTATCTTCATAAACAAGATGGTAATAATGATGAATATAGAGTATCATCTTCTGAAATCTATTTTTGTTCTTAAGCATTAGATGCAGTTCGATCTGTATGGAATCATGCTGCTCATCCAAATGCACAACCTTCACAATCAAATTATCCTCCATTGAACTATCCACCACCAAATTATCCGCCGCCTTCTTCAAATTATCCGCCACCTTCTTCAAGTTATCCTCCACCAAATTATCCACCGCCTTCTTCAAATTATCCGCCACCTTCTCCAAGTTATTCTCCACCTCCTGCAAGTTACCCACCACCTCCAAGAAGTTATCCTCCACCAAACTATTCTCCATCAAGCTATCCTCCACCACCTTCATCAAGCTATCCTCCACCACCTTCATCAAGCTATCCTCCACCACCTTCATCAAGCTATCCTCCGCCACCTTCATCAAGCTATCCTCCACCACAACCGGGAGGAGCGGGTGGTGCTGGATCAAGTGTTTTATCTCGTCTTTTCGGTGGAGGTCGTTAAAAAAAACGAAAGAATTTTCTTTCTTATTACATATTTAAATAATAGATAAAAGAAAAACGAATATAAAACTTTCATTTTGTTTATCTAATGTTTTTTTTTGATTACACACGATGTGTTCGAGAATTTGAAAAAGCTCGTGGCTCAGGTAATGGCATTGGATGTAGCATAGACATTGAATTTGACGTTGATGGAGTTTTTATCGTTTCATAATAGATCGAATCGGAACGTTGCACTGATGAAAATAACGGTGGACCAGGATAAGGTGGCGGTTCATAACAATCACCCGTTGATATTTGATTTCGATCTGCATAATACGATGGTGGTAAATCACTGAGATCAGGTGCTGGTGTATAGCGTGGACGTGGTGGATTTAATGAAGGTGATGGTGGCCGTTGATGATGCTGTTGTAAAATAGATGATTGTAATGTTAATCGATTGGTTGATTTTCGAGTCGAAATCGCATTTAATGACTTATTAGTACAAAAGAATAATAGTTGAGAAGGATTTTTACGAATAATATAAATAAGTAAGGAAACAAGAGAAACAAATAGTAGAATACCGCCGGCTAGAAAAGCTAAAACAATGAAATAAATGAGTGTAATATTTGAACGAAAAAAAAAACGTCCTTGTCTTTCTAATTCTTACCTGAATATCGAAGTGCATCAAAACTATTTGTTGATAAAGATGAATCACCGGCGGAATTTGTATCAAGATAACTAGTAGTACCTAAACAATGCGAATTCTATATATGAAATACTATCACTAATTTAAACTTACTACGTTCTCGAATATACTGTTCGCAAGCACGTGTATTTTGATATGTTAAACAAGTTACACGGCCATATGTAGTACATGCTACTCTGCAACTAACATTATTGCCATGTAAACAAGCATAGATATCACCTTGGCAATAACCTATAAAGATTGTACATTAGTTCTTTTTTTTTTGTAGAACAAAAAGAATAAATTATCTAAGATATTCATTTAATTTTTATACGAGTCTTCAACTTCTTGCATATACGTATATAAGGACTCGAACAGGAACACTTCAGAAAGAAAAATTCTTGTTCGTACGTATTGAATGAAATAGAGAACATATTCAATATTATTACATAACCATCTAGATAGTTTAAATCTTCATGATTTCATGCATCATATAAAACATTCATCAAATAACTTACAATTATGTTCATCTGAACCATCTGTACATTGGTTGCGACCATCACATACAGATGTCCATAACACATTTTGACCATTTTTACATTGAAAATATGTGTTCATACTATCATCAAGGATAGTGCTAAAATAAAAGCAAGAAAAAAAAGAATGTTAATGATGGCGATCTATCTTATAAGGTTGAATATATAGAAAACAGAAGCGGAATAAGATGAAAAGACTTGTCAAAGAAAAAGTTCTATCTTAGAAGCACGCACATGAATGATATAGATTGTAGTCTAACTTTAAGCATTAGTTGCTTTTCTATGTTGAAAACAAAATTCTAACCTATTCGACCTACCTTACATTCATCATGATAACACAAAACAATTGATGGCAACGATTGTATTATTAAAAAATCAATTGAACGAAAAGAAATTAATTGTTTTCATAGCTCTTATTCTTCTTTTAGGTCTGCATCAACAAATGCATACATAGACGATGGATTGTGCAGAGGTGCTCGTCTGTGTTCAAAAGAAATTTTTATCGGCTGTTCTTTCTTCTCACTATATATATATATATATATATATATATATTTATATATGTGTACAGTCATTACTTTTTCTACCAAGCCAACAATGCCCTCGAAGAAAAGGAGAGAACAAAAAAAAAGAAAGTGAGGATATTGAACGGTCGATAGGGCGTACGACAGTGTTACCCGAAGATACGACATAGAAGTGAAAGAGATGTGAGACCGAAGAAATGAGAACGAGCAACTGTTATTATTGTTGATATGAATATGCATATACTATACAGATGATCACTCACTCTGTTCTTTTTCCATGTATTGAATATTGAACTGCGTATACAATTTCATAATGCAATCCTTACAATATCTTAACAAGTGGCTGAGCTTTACAACGAGTGGCATGAGAGGAAAATTGTTACAGCTAGTTTTTATTGCTTTTAAAACAATGAGAAAAAAAGAAGAGAAGAAGTCATAAAAATGGAGACAGGAACTTAGTTTCTCTCTCGCTCTCGCTCGTTTTCTCCTCATTTACTTCATGATTTCACTGCATTTACACGCATAAATTTTTACAAACGTCGATGCCTAGTTTTGTTTGAAAGCAAACACGTCTTGAAAATGACTGTCATCATGCGCTTGAGTGTTTATTGGCATATGCATGTCAAAAATTAGTCCCCATAGACAGACATCATAGATTTTTTTGGCTATCCTTCTAATTCAATATTACTACATAGTACAGTCATTCTCTCTTTTCTTCTCTTCTCTTCGTTTCTTCTTTTTGCTTCGTTATTATTAACAAAATAGAATAGATGGAAAGGAAAATTTCCAATCAATACAATTGTGTGATTTGAAATAGAGAGAGAGAGAGAGAGAGAGAGAGAGAGAAGAAAAAAGATCTAGTCTTCTTTCAACGTATGATTGTATGTGCAAGAGTGTCCGATTACAGTGTGCGTGTGTAAATTACGGTGTTCTGGCAATTACTCTGTATCTACTCTAGATGTGCACCTAGGAACAGAGTAAGTCGAGACATAACGAAGAAGAAAAAGAAAAGAGATTTAATCTTTTCATTGCACACAAGGGCAGTCATCTACTCACCGATAATAATATTAATGATAAAATGACAATGAACGCGGCGGCTTATTCAAAGTCTAAAATTTTCTTTTTCTCCCCCTATCTATATTTACTGGCCACTCTTGATGTTGTTCAAAAGTATTTCCTGTATGCAACCGACACAGCATCCGCTGCTATTCTATGAGTTGTCGTTGTGTGCGTGCGTGAGTGAGTAAGTCGGAAGGATAGCATAAGAACGATATATATATACACCCATTTATCTATCTATCTATTTATATGAACAGAAAATGAATTCAAGTCAGCAACGAACGATAACTTCATCATCAATGACAATGAGAATGCTTTGAGTAGTAGTACTACAACAACGAGTCAGAGAAGAAGACGATAGATGCAGAGAGAGAGAGAGAGAGAGAGAGAGAAAAAGAATCCATCGTTGTTAGCTAATGACCAAATGACATCATGAGCGGCAGAAGCGATGAATGACGATCGTAACGTCAGCCGTTGTAAGAAGAATTAAACATGTCATCCAGGCGAATAGCGGGCTGACTTTGCTGTCGAGAAAGCGTGCGTACAGGCATAGACAATGTGTTTATACATTTTTGTTCTCCTTTCTTTGCTTCCTGCGTCATGCAGGCAACAACAGTGTTCTGACATTTATCGTGGTTGTAGTAACGAGAAGTTTTTACGCAGAAATTGCTGATGTGGAAACAGACGCGATAGAAAACGACAGAGACAGAGACAGGCAGAAAACGAAGAAAGAAAGAAATAAGTAAGATCTTGTGGCTTAATCATAAATCTTTTTCCATTTATGTATAACGATAAATAGAGAGACGCGCACCCCGACAAACATTACTTAATTGTTAGAAAAGATATACAGAAGAAAAACGAAGGAAATGCAAAAATCTATTTTGATTTTATGCTAGAATGAACAATGTATCTGATGAACATCAATGCTTATGTCAATATTAATGAGAAAAAAAAATTCAACTCAATAGGCTCACATTCTAATCGTTCTCAAATATTGACAACAAAGATCGATCAAGGTCTTAACAATGACATCGGAAACAATTTATATCGTGCGTATGTGTGTGTGCGTGAGAAATTTTTAGTTGACCATCATCAATCAGCATAGCAGAAAAATGACATAAACACACATGATGAATGATAGCGAAAAGCGAAGAAAAAAATCTGTTGCTTTATTCATTAACTTAAAACGGCAACCTTTTCATTTTACGCTTTATAATTGTCATACTACAATCTATTTGTAATTGTAGAAACTATAGTCACTACTTGACTATAAAAAAAATAGAAATGTCATTATTATTAACATTTCTTTTTCTAATATAAGGAAAAAGAGTGTTCTCCTTTTCCTCTTCTTCTTCTTCTTGTCTACTCTCTTACAGTAATCTTATTTTGTCAATCTGATGGTGTTTCTTTTGCCTTCAATTTACTTCAAAAAACAAAAAGAAAAGATAATGAAATTTCCTTCACTTCTAATTAACAAAATAACGGATGATTGTGTAATAGTAAATGAACAATAGAGGTATCAGTCTATAGATTGTCTAGATCTATTTACCATCTGATAGTCATATGCATACTTCATATGAGATAACTTCACCATTCTTAGCGATGATGAGATAGACATTGACCTTTTTCATTTATCGATATATTGTAAACATCAAAAGAAAACAATGAAAGAGCACGAGATATCAGTTTACATAGCATTTTATAATTTATACCCAGTGAAATACTTAGATAGTAAGCAATAATTTTCAACAGCATCTTGATAGTTTCTTATGTCCTTGACATAAATAATTGAACATAGTAAAATAATTTCAAGTAGTATGCTTTAAATATTGTTAAATATTAAGGTTATTTAGAGTGACATTATACATCTGCGATGTCAATGGATAAGTGGAAATAAAATTCGTATACAGACTAATTTGATATATCAGACGGTATTCAATGTTTTCTTTCAAACGAATGATGTAGATGCATATATAATGTATCGGAAAAAATATAGAATTGATAATCAATATAACAGGTCAATCAAAGGCTTCAGAAAAACATTAGTACTTTTATAATGTAAAGAACTAATAACCGGAAAATATAACTATATACTACTATTTCTATCGAGAATACGGAGGTCATCAAGATAATTTTGATATGGTTTATTAAAAGTGTTTCGTGTACATTAGATGCAATCAATGTGGAAGACCTTTTGACAAGATTTTCAATGACAGATAGAACAAACAGATATAGTCTCACTGGTGAAAAGTAAAATAGCGAGTTATTTTTTCCTATTAGACACTTTGAATTGAGAAAATAATTTGTTTCATAATCAAAAGAAACTTTATATTGACTTGCCATTTTATTGCAGAACAATACAATCAAATTTTATGATTATATTATATAGTTGATCAATACATCCGCAGATTGCTATCATGCAAGTGCGACCTCTAGAGGAATTTCTATTTGCGATTGCAGTAAATGTGAATTCGACAACAAAAAATAAATACTATTTATTTCTCGAAGACAGTATCGATTATTGTCCTTTCAATGACAATTTGTAACATTGGTCTGATGTAATGAAAAGTTTGATTCTGAAATAAAAATATGTAAGGCCTTGTCTACACTAGAAAGATAATGCGGCATTAATTCGAATTAAATCTACGTGCGTCTACACTTATAAGTTTAATGTATCAATCAGAATTGAGAAGTAACCGCTATAATGTAGTCTGAATGTATAAACTTAGCACATGTTCAGTAAAGAAAAAGTCGCTTCTGTCTCTTTTTTATGATTAACGACAAATGACGAAGTTTGTCACCAAAATATCTACTTTTCTAACTTATTTCTTTCACCTATAGTTTCGTTCAATATTCTAGGGTTCTTGAATTTTTATACCTCACCTCCTGTTCTTCATAAAATATCTATTTATCGATAATATACAGCGACCTCATTGAGGCCTGTCCGAGATTCTAATTAGTCCATCAAGTTCTTTACCGATTGGTACATTAACTTTAATGCACCTCTGAAAAGTGCATTAAATTCGAATTAACTTTTCGACCAATCAGATGCCTTAATTCAGCATTAACTTTTCTAGTGTAGACAAAGCCTAACATTGCATCAGCATATGTAATTCTAAATTGTATGATTTCATAGACTACAATAGTAAATATATATATTTAAAATAAGACTATGTTGAATAATATTGCATCAGTAAACGACATCGATCTCATAGATCGATGTATTTCGAGTTTAAAAAATAACGGTGTCATTGCTGTTCCAACAGATACCATTTATGGTCTTGCTGCATTGGCTAATAGTGAACAAGCTATTCGTCGAATCTATGAAATAAAGGGTCGATCATTTACTAAACCATTAGCAATAGCCGTTGGTTCCGTTGAAGATGTATTTTCTTGGTCGAAACCGACTTTAACCAAAGAACAGCTAGGTAATGGTCAACTTCTTCCTGGTCCAGTAACTCTTATGTTTGAGCGAAACTCATCGTTACCTGATTATTTCAACCCGAATGTAACTAATGTCGCTATACGTATACCAAATTGTCAATTTATGATTGAATTAGCTCAACGTTTGAAGCAACCGATAGCATTGACTAGTGCTAATATTTCTAATGAACCAAGTACAATATGTATTGACGAATTCAAATTACTATGGCAAGATGTTGACTTAGTTGTTGATGGTGGTCGATTAGCATCGAATGACAGGCGTGGCTCAACTATTGTTGATTTATCACAAAGTGATTATTTCCATATAGAACGTGAAGGAATTGATTGTGAACGCATTGTAAAATATTTACAAGAACAGTGCCATCTAAACCAGAAGGCTAATGTTGTATAATATGTAATCCTTATTCAAATGTAATAAAAATTTTGATTAATCATGTTTTCCTGTGTCAATAAAGTGAGATAAAATGGTTTTTTGTTTAGAAAATAAATTCTCTATGATTTTGAAATAGAGCATTTTGAGGTCATAACGTATTTCGTTTTTAATAGTATCGAACTCAATCCATTAGTTGTATGCTATGGCGTTTGCTAAAACTTTTATAGTAGTTTATCTCATTTGAAAGGTTTAACTAGTTTCATGGCTTTGAAGCTTAAATATATTTTTTGTCCGCGCCTTTTAATAATGGATTTTTCTTTGACACCTTATAACCTCGTTATTGATACCAGCTGTCTTTCGAATTAAAAATACGACTGTTTCTAGTTTAAGATGTATATTGTATTTAGGTTTAAGACGATTATCACTTGATTGTTTTTGATTTTGATTAATATCTTGAAAAGAATTGAATATTATACTGTTTTCTTTTAATCGAGCGTTCTATCGCAAAGATAAATAATCTTAACACATAATTATAGAGTTCATATTGGTATGATTTTTATAAATAAGTTTATTGAGGTGATGATAAATTTCGTACTACTCGCACACTTAATCGATTTTATATTATTGACCGATGAATAGATATATGATTTGCTAATGTTTAGAAAAGTAATTGGAGAAACATTTTGATCATACACCGAATGACGTTTTCAATGAAAAACATATTTCTATGAATAACCAATGGCAATCAAAATCATACAACTACTTATGGAAATTATGACGTTCTTATTCGACGATGAAATTTTCTTTACGATGCATCATTCTCTAGAATTCATTATGCATAACTTCAAGACCACTTTCATTTTGAGTACCTTGTCAAAAACAATTTCTTGGCAACTTTTATCAAAATTTTTTGACAACGAGAGAAGAAAAGAAATTTTCCAACATGATGCTCAGCTAAGTCTATTGTTCAATATGTTCATTAGCCAAGAGCGCTACAAATTCTATGAGATATTCATTTCTTATGAATAAACCAACGAAAGCGACAAAACTCTTCATGCACTGATTGATTCACACAAAACAAAAATGTCTGAGTAATTATTTTGCAACGTGAATTCAGTTCCCACACAAATCTGAGACTTTGCTATCCTACGTGTCATCCTCTAAATCGATACGAAAGAAATTAACTTTCGATTCTATGAGATCTGTATTTACGGTACTACTACGATCATCATAAACTTCGTAATCTTGCTACAGATAACACCACCTTCGTATGGGTTTCAACGTATAGAGGTCTGCTTTTGCATCAATGCATCAGCAGTCTCGTGTTTGATGCATGAATGAGACGGAACAACAACAACAACAACAACTTCCAACATGAAATACCCATTTAAATAAGATATTTATAGCGATCTCGCTAATGGGATTTTGATCGATAAGTAGGTTGAGCATTATCTGAGAAAAGAACGTTTTTCGACGTGGATTCTCAACAAAGGTCGTTAAGACATTGTGTTAATCATGTTCCCAAGCGAAAAGCGCTTCTGGTAATAACTCATAATCAATGTCACAGACTTCTATTTCATAAAAATATTTCAAGGTAAAATAGAATTTACGGTCATTAGTAATATGATACTTTTGGCAATTGCTATACTTCAAAAAGTATTTGTTTTCAATTACGTTAAACTAATAACTGTTTCTTTATACAACGAGTATTTCATTTGGGCCGTAACCGTCGCTGTTTTAATTCTCGATAGTTGATAGAAACAGGTTTTTGCAAAAGAAGTTCATTCTCTTTAGTTAATCCTACGACAAACATTAAAAAGAAAAACTAGAAGTCTTGGAGCATGTCTCACTATCAACACTCGATTCATCTGTTCAACTTGATGACATCATCGATAGACATATATTATGTGCAATTAAAATTGATAGTCAATTTTTTACGCATAAAACAGACTTAACTATGACTTGACATGAATCTATTTTCAGAGATCCCATTACTATTAACGAAGTAATTCAATCGACTCCATTTGGTGCAGGTTGGAACATATCTATTCAAATCTCGTTTTCGTTCTAAATATAGATCGATATAAACGTTGTCATGACAAATTGAATACTAACGCAAACACTTATCTCGTCCTCAAATTTTCTTTTCTTTTACCAATGGTTTTAAATACCGTGGCTAATACAGATTCGATTTTTCTTAATAAAAACAAGCTAATCAAGTGTATCATGAACAATCGAAAATAAAAATAAATGTTTTGTTTTCGATGTATTAATGCCGCACAATACAATATATCATACGAGAAAAATCAGTCAACTATGATTAAGACATGATGTTGTGTTTTATGAATTCAGTGGTTTTATCCTTGTTGATTTGTTCATTCTAAAATATAACGTATAAATACATCAGTATTTGCTACTTGCGTATCTACAATGGCTAATATAACTGAGGAGCAGCTTCAAAAAGAATTTCGACGACTTGACAAAGATGATAGCAAATTTATTACAGTTGATGAATGAAGACAATATTATTTACCAATGCAAGAAATGCTTGGTATATCAAAAGCACTTGCTGAACAAGAAATTCTAGGCTTTATGAAACGGCTTGATGATGATGGCAATGGAAACATTAGTTTTGAAGGTAAACAACAAAAGCAATGTTCTCAATTAATAGTGTAACGGATAAATGTTTGTTTTCTTTTATTTAGAATTCAAAACGTTTCTCTCAAAAAGTTAAATTAACAAGTTCATCGAAGAACATTTATATTATAAAAAAAAGAAAACATAATATAGATAATAAATTAAATAAGATTCTGTTATGATTAATAAAAAAGATATATTATAATTGCGAAGTTCTTTTTCTCAATGGACTGATACGAGCGAAAATAAATTCATTTGATTACCAAACAGGTATCCAAGGTGTACGTACTCGAATTTTTCTATACAGTTGCTTTCGTTGATTGAATTCTTGATCATTGTCGTCGTCATTATCATCGGTATCTGTTTGAGCACGTTGGTCGAAATCCCACAGGCGAGAACGTCGCTTTGTATTAACAGGATATCGTTCCTATTTATAGAAAAAACAATGAAAAAAACAACGGAACAACGACATTCATTAAAATATTTACCAATGAATGAGGCGTCCATGGGTTATATGGATGTTTTTGTTCACCCCGATAATTTGATTCATAAATCGGTACTCTTGTTTTTTGCTCTGAACTATTTCTCAGCGGAGGTAATGATCGAGGATTATATGTTCGTTCACGATATGGCTTTGATGGATGATAGGCATAAGGTGAAATATAATCAGATGCATGCAATGGATCATCGCCTGGAATAAGAAAATCTTTATGACGAATTTTTCCAGCAGTTGCTCGCATTCGTTTAGGACGAGGTAATGGTTCACGTTCGCGAAATGGAATAAATATAGTTTCTGATTTTGGGATAATGCGTTCTAAAACAGAAAGAAAAGAGGAGAAATTGTTATCCGAAATTTAATTATGCATTTGTTTAAAACAAACAACCTTGTGGTTTAGCTTCACGTTTTTGTTTTGGATTTGCAATAGGAGGAATTTTTTCGAGTAATGGTTCTGGTTCTGTTCGACGTTCAGGACTACGATTCACTTGTTTGGGATGGCCTTCAAATGATGTCGGTGTTTCTTTTATGGATGATTTTCTAGAATAATAAATTATCATGATTAGCCGACAGAGTATAATGTCTAATACTTCGGTTTAGCAGCCATATCTTCTAGCGTAGGTGATCCTGGTTGGCCAACAGATGCAAACAACATAGGCACTTGTGAGTGTTGTTGTTGTGGTGGTGGTGGTGCTTTTTGTTTTATTGCTGGTAATGGTTGATTTTTGACAGGAATTGTCATGGATGTAGGCATTTTAGGATCTCCAACGACTTCATACAAAATTGGATCATTTATTTGCTTTTTAACCGGCACTGGTAGTGTTAAGTTATTCTCCTTTAAATTTTCTGATGGCATCTGTTTATTCCCGGCGATTGTATTTGAAATTGGTACTGGTTGAAGTGATTTAGGTGTTACTGGTTCTATCGGAGGACTTGCATTCGGCGTGTCTTGTTCGGTAATAGGTAGTGTAAGCGTTGAACTGCCAACTATTGGATAGAGAGTAGGTGAAGGTTGCTGTGAAACTTTTGTTATCGGCTGAATAGGTTGTTGAGATTCTAGTGGGATACTTGGACGGCCAACGATCGTATAGAAATGTGCTGATGATTGTTGTGAGACTTTTGGTATTAATACTTCAGGCTGTGTTGGCATATTTGGACTACCAACTAACGAAAAAAGAGAAGAAGCGTTGCCAGCGGTAGTTGCTGGCACGTTAGTAGCAGTTGCATTCATATCTACAGGTGGAGGGCGAGATTGACCAGTTATTGCATAGAGTATAGGTACAGGAACATCTTTCTTTGTCGGAACTGTTTGATCAATATAAACGGGAGCAGCGTTTCCATCCACAATACTATAGAGGACAGGCTCTGAAATAATTTGAGGTTCAAGAAAAGCAATCGGTTTAGGTTCACTTTGTCGGACTATCGGTACTACAGTTTCAGAATGTATTAACTGATTTTGATCTAGTATTCAAAAAACAAATCACTCTTTGTTTTTCTCTAAACTAAGGCACACAACAATAAATATACCTTCTTCTATCTTTGGATCATTGGATGCCGGTGGTGCTTGTGTTTGCTGAGGTGCCATATAATAAACTTCTGCTTGTACTGTTCTAGGCAATACTCTTGGTGATATTGGTTGATTTCGAGGTTCAAGTGTATACATCGATGCCGGTGGTAGTGCATCGGATGTAGTTGTTACAATCGGTGGTGAATGTTGTGCGAGTGGTTTATGTCTATTTGGATTACCAACTAGCGCTCGCATTACTACTTTTTCTATTACAATACAGAAGCACTTTCATCAAATAAATGGCACACAAATATTGACTAACCTTTATCGTCGGATGGTTCTGCTTTAGCAATTTGGTACATTTCTACTTGATTTGATTCCATGATTTCGAATTATCTTATTTCTTTTCAAAAGATAAAATCTAGAAAAAAGACATACTGTCTTCTTGCTCTTATCTAATTATCTAGATAATAAGAGACACACACACACACACACACACGCGCACGCATAAGCATGACACATAATGATGATCAATGTGTTCGTAAAATTCGATATCGATGGCAAAAAGAACAACAACTCGTACGAAAAAAATATCAAATTCCATATAGCATACTTTATACATCGAATCAATGTTTACATAAACATATTTCAATCCTATCCAATGTTGAATCTTTATACAAAAATGAAAAACTGACTGTCACCGATAACAATCTGAAAACAAAAATCTATCAACGAGACAAACATAATTTTAACATTAAAACTAATGATGCTAATAATCTACCAATATATTGTTCCCGACATCATCTAAATCGTAGTGAACGTTCGTACTCAAACAGATTAGACCAGCGACAGATTAATTTAAAAAAAGAATCATGTGCATCCGGTATTTAGTCTTGTTTATGTTTTCTCCACTCTCAAGAGAATAGGTGTTAAAAGCTTTTCTAAAATAATTATTTATAGATGCGATGTCAAAAAGATTTTCGATCAATTCGCTGCATAAACAAGATGTTCCTATAGATTCAAGTTTAATCGATCTTTCATCAATCGAACAAACAAATTCTCAAACGGTCAATTCAAATCATTATGTTTTACTCGATTGGAATAATCGTCAATCTCTTATGAAGTTTATTCGAACAACTGAGTTTAATCAAAATCTTAGAACTATGACAAACGAACAATTACATGAACTAATCACTAGTCATAATTATATTCATATATTTCATTCAATTATTAATTTAATATTATCTATAAATAATAAAGAACATGAAGAAAATTTCTATCGTGTCTATATTGATCCATCTTATTATGGAACTATTCAAGGTACTGTTCCATTCTGCGAATCACACTTAATTGCTGATAATATTAATCTCAAACGAGTTTTACGCTGCACAGAAAAGATAGCGCATCTGCTTGGTATAAAACTTGACCGATCTATTCGTAAAAGTTTCGAAGAAAACCTATCAACAAAACAACGGAACTCAATATTAAATCAACAATCTTTATTTATTGCATCAAAAATTCCTTACAATACCTTTCGTAATAGCAGTGTTCATATGTAGTCAACAATTTATATTTACTATATAAAGACTTTTACAGTGTAAAATATCTATGTTGAATTCTTAAGTGAATACCGATTTTCTTTCATTCGAGTGTATGTCGATTAGAGTACTTCATGGTGTAAAGAGTTATTTATAGTGTTCTTCCAATAAATATAAAGGAAAAATAATGATCGAAGCGGATTCTTACCTCAATTTGCCCACGATCGATAAGCTGTTTAAATAAAAACAAGTTCTACTTTTCTCCTACGCAAACTTCGGACTGCTAAATATCGACTAATTGTTTTTGTAATTAAAATACAAGTGATCGAGTAATAATTTTGGTTTGACGAACTAACTTACTTCTTTTATTTTTCAATGCTCTCTACAGTTACTAAAATCAAAATGAATAGATATGGAAGCTATAGAGCAACATTTATGATGTAAATGGAAGAATTTCTCTCAGTTGAAATAAGAGTGTTTTCTGGAATTTTTTTTACTCTGTCTCTATCATTGACAGCGTCATCATCTGTCAGTTCCGGTAGAAAATAAATTTCTTTTTTTTTCTTCTTCGTCTTCGTCGTCGTCGTCGTCTATCGTTCAAACGGTGGATATATGTCTATAAAGTATACCGATGTCGTTACCAGACTACGTTTTCTTTTTAAAATAACAGTAACAAGCGCATACACTCGTTGCTGCGTAACGAGAATACTGCGACTCTTCTTTTCTCGTCTCAATCTACTTACTTGTTGCATATTTTTCTACATAATTTTGTTGTTAACAACAGATGATAGAATTAAAACATTCTAAGGCACATCTCGACATTATGCAAAGATACTACTGTAGAGAGTAGATTGAAACGCCCATATCAAGAGAGAAAAAAAAAATATACCGGAATTCGCTCTTGAAAAATTTTAATCTTTCTTTTCTTCACTTTCAAGTAAGTGTGAAAATTCTAGTTGGCGGCTTAACATATAACAACAAATTCTACGTTTGATTAAAAAATATTTGACTTTGTTTTTTATCCGATTCTTCAAGACTATCGATTTCATGTAAATTGATATCTGAAAACGTTTTAGAAGGCAAAACAAATTACATATCGTTCTTTTCTTTATTGTAAGAAATCATAAATTACAAATCGATTTCATTTCGACCTTCTTTCCAACAGTTGATTTGACAAAGAATTTCTTTCGGTAGTTTATCAATTGAAGCATTGTTTGATAAAAGTTCATTGTCGGCAATCAGTCGAGTTTTCATACCGGAAATCTTCACACTAAATTTTTTGAAAACAAAATTTATAATAAAGCAAAAAGATTTTTTGATGATTGCTGACATTGTTTCAGCATATTCAAGTAACAGTGAATGAAATGTTTGATCATACCAATATACAGATTGATAAATCGTATCTAAATTTTCATTTCGTTTACGACGTGATTGATACGCTTCATAGAATTGTTCTATCGAATCAAATAGTCGATTATCAAATGTAGATAAAATTTTCCCGTTTTTATCTAATTGTGCAAAGATTTCTTTTTTCTTTAAATCATACAACAAGAATAGTCATAAAGCATTAAAATACATGAATACAATATACATTACTAATGGCTATTCGAATAGATTTTTCTTTATTAATTTTTACTAAGCCACGTTTTATTAAAATATTTAAGTTTGGTACCGAACGACATGCATAACATTGTTTTACATAATCAATTGCTTTATCAGAATAGGTTTGTGTTAAACTAGTTAATAGTTGATTATGAACAACTATTCGTTGAGTTGAATTAAATGATGTTAATAGAGAAAATAGTTGATTTGTATCATTTGATATATCATCATCATTCATACTGAATGCTGATTGAGAGACAGGAATCTTTTTTATTGGTACTGGTTCGATGGCTAAAATAAATTTACAAAAAATATTGAATAGATAAATGTTCATTTTGCAAGAAAACCTTGACGCCACCAATCTTCAGATGTTGTTAAATTTTGTCGATTCGGTTGATCATCAATAGGAAAATCACCGTCGGCTAATGACGATGAAGATGCAGACTAAATGTATGTTAGCAAACAGAACATTGTCTATATTTATTTTCTTTATACAAGCATTTGCTTAATTTTTCTTCTCTAGATATAATTAGTCTTCGTTACACTTGGTGGTGATTTTGTGACTTTTTCTGAATTATTAATATTAAATCTGTTCTGTTTTCTATTTTAATTAAAGCAATGACCGAGAAGAGTATATTCTCGTGTCGAAGTAGAAAGAAACTATTTGTGTTTATAGAGAATTATCAAAATGGAAGTTTCAGATAGAATAGCGTTCGAAACACTATCAGGCAAATCTTCATAGGATTAAGTATTCGTTTTATACGCAAGAGGTTTACGAGCTCAAATTTTGAGGCATCATGTTATACCGTAGACTGAAATAGTTGACAGGTGTTGGCTTGAATTAAGTAATGAGAAAGTTTCCGTACATTTATTCCAAAAATAGGTATTGAATTGGGGTAAATATAAACTCATACCTAAAAATATAGCAATCCATATCTAATTTTAGAATAGATTTATATCTAATCTATTAAATAGCACTACTTAACAACACAAAGTTATGTACAATTAATTACTAAAGTAATAGAAAAAAGTCTTGAGATGCGGAGTGTGGGTGTTCTTATTTCTCTTTACACCTATGCCCCACCCAAGACATTTTTTAAACTAACTTTTTTCTTATCACTTATCGTCATTCCCAGCTCATATATACTCTTTCAATTAATTTACAAGTACTTATCAATTATAGATTCCGTTCAAATTAATTAGATAAGTCGATAAATTCATTGATAGTCATTTATTAAAAGTGATAACATATTGAATTAAAAGACCGAATATTTTTTAATTCAGATATTTAATTGAATTAAAAGATGTTGCATTACAAAATTAGATTAAGCAATGTTTCTAAAGGCATCCTTTCATCAGAATAGATACTACTGTATTAAGTTAGGCAATATTGATATAATTTAGATATGGATTGCTATATTTTTAGATATTGCATTAAATGCATGCCCAAAGAAAATGTTTGCTGACAGTTCACCTTAAACTTCTATGGTAAAACAAGCAAATTTTATACTGATCAGAAATTTCAATGCAGCACACAAACAGCAGTTGATATTATTTCGAAATAACCTACGGAAGTAACAGGCGATGGTGATCGTTTTTTTTTCGGTGGTTCTCGATTCATCAATTCAACATTATTCGAAGCTCGAGATGCTGTTCGACGCAGTGACGGTAGATCATACATAAGTAAACCAGATGGAAATAACGATGCACCTTCATGTTCTGCTGAATTCAGTAAATAATCTGACATACGATTGTTTGATCGGCTCATTTCGTTTATGTTTTTTCTTGATTTCGGTTTATTATTTAAATTAACGGTCAAACTTTTACGAACATCCACAATAGAGGATAAATCTTATCGCCAGAGGTCAGTGAAGATCATTTCATTGCATTACATCATTTGACTTTATTTTAATACTCGGGAAAAAAAACAAGAAAAATGTTTTTTTGAAAAGACGGAACGACGAATGATTGAAGAATAAATGTGTAAAAAAAGTGAAGCCTAAAACTCTTTTAAATTCAGCATACAAATAATGGAAAAAAGCATCCTATAAATATATATGGATATCCGTATGTGAGTATTGCTAAAATTATTAAGCGATAAAAAGATAAGGAATGCTTTCTGATTGAATACAAAATTAAAAATTATTGTGCAGTTTCGATTTCCTGCAACAATCTTGTATGTGTCCATACGTTTGTTGGTGCAAAATAAAATCGCCATTTTGAATTGCTTTTACTTAAAGCTAACATTCGAAGAGCATTTATTTCTGATTGTGTACAACCACCAATGAAAACAACTAGAATTGACTGTTGATTATCGTGATATTGCGCGCGAGTTGATACACCGGATGATCGATGTGAGAAAAGATCTTCAGCACCTGGATAACCACGTTGAATAAGTTCATGTTGAAGTGTTGATAATTTTGGTGGATTGAGCAAAGCTTCTTCGATTAATCGACATGAAAATGGAACATAGATTGAACCGAATATGTCAGCCTAGAGAAAAAACAATTCATTCATTCATAAGAGCATCGGGATTAAAATGATTATAGGATTGGTACTTTGCTCTCTATTTAGAACATGATTGAGAAGAGATTAATTTTATTTTGAAGATTTCAAAATGTCATTTGAATGATGGATTTTTCGTAAAAATAATCGATCGGCATACGTTCTAGTTGTCGTAGAGATCATGAAGTAGATAGATAGATCTATTTCGATGAATCTTTATGTTTTTGACGTTCTATTCAAAAGAATTTATTACTTTATTTTTTTTTAAATGAAAATTCTAATCTCCATCGAATAAACTCATTCGTTTGAAAGAGAATACGCATACGTATATCCCGTTGTTCTCTTATAGTATTCGAAAAGTAAAGAGTTTTTCCAAAAGTCTGATTATTTCATATTTACATAGGAGAATTTTTATTTCTTCTGAACTATGCAGAAACACAGTACTTGATATTCAAGTATACAAAAATAGTATGAAAGCAGTTTAAAAAGTAAATACTCGACGATTTCACCTACGATGTCTGTAATTTGTACTGATTTCTTTCTTGCAAAACATCGAGCGTATGCAGTAATCGCCGTCTAACTTGTTGACTGAGTAAAAAGCTAACTAGTGGTAGTAAATATCTCGTCGACTTGTTCATAATTGATACGCAGAGACAACACATCTGTATATTCAGAATATACGATTATGTTTTTACTACGAAAATTTTGGATTATTTCTAGAAAATGAAAGTCCTTCTAAATCCACTATCTTAGGCGACATGTTGAAATATAAATCCGTTTGGTCTTCATTTTTTTCAGTAGTACAATTAAAATTTCAGCATACCATATCTGGTCCGGGTGTTGTTTTAACTTGTTGATTGAGTTCCGGTGTTAGATTAAGTCTTTTTCTCATAAATTGAAAAAATGTTTTCTGTGTTTGCGTTTTATCAGTAAGATTTTGTGCAACTTGTTTTCCCATTTTAAGGAAAGCATCGCCACGAAAACCAGCTGGAGTGCTTGCACTACTTGATATAGGCACGTCACATGGACGTTTAACATGAAATAAATTTAATTTTTCTAATTTATATAACAGTGGAATATTATCATAACCATATGCTTGAAGAAATGATCGGCATAATAATTCATAGGATTCACGTGTTAGACCATTGTTTGCTGCCGATAAAAGACAAAGTAATTGTAATGGCCGATATTTACTTGGTTCACAACGACATATCATTGTATGAATATAGGAAACAATGTCTTCAAAATTTTGCGAATGTAATATATCCTTTTCTATTTCAAGTTGAATTTTAAAATCAGTAGCTTTCTTCTTTTCGTATATATCTGTACATAGATCTAAATGGCGTGTTAATTGTCTCTTGGCATTTATATGTCCTTTGACATCCGTATGAACAAGTTGTTTTAAATCACTTATTGTTGCATCTTGCATTTTATCACGAAAATCATTTTGTAATACATTTTGTTGCGCGAGCACAGCTAGAAAAGAGAAAAATAAATAGAAAATGTTGAATAATCATAATTACCTTTTATTTCTTGAAAAACTTTTGTAAAATGCATTGCGCGTATTCGTTCAATCATCATATCATCTCTTGTCGATAATGATATATGATCGAATTGTTTACCCGAGTTATCTGCATTTTCAGTTTTAGGAATTTTCACACGGCCTGCTTCGATATTAAAATATTCATCAACTAAACCTTCGTAGCACATTTGCGAACAAAATGGTGTTATTAGATCAACACTACGATCGAATAATACGACGGTTTGAATCTGTTTCATACCTGACATCCAATCTTGATCATCGTTGGAACTAAAAATAGATTGAGATGGATTGCAGAGGAATTAAATTGTATTAACGAATATACAGCACTCTGATTTCAATTACACTTTTATGGACGAGAAATTAGTGGAACTAACGAGCTGGTTTCAAAAGATTTTATAATGAAAATCAGTACTGACCACTGCACAAGACTAAAATAAAATTTGCGTTCTAACCTGCCGCTTAGTAGGATGCGAAAAGCTGCTTGTTTTTACATGATACATACTGTTTCGTTTGATACTTAGTGTGTGTTGAAGACGAAAGTGTCTCATGGCCTATTTGATAAATTTATATGCATGTGTGTGATGACAAATAAATAAATCTAACAAATATTTTGTGATCCCAAGAGCTTTTTGCATTTTAATATCAACGAACCATAATCATCGTCAGATAGACTAGGGGCGTAACCAGAGGGGGGCCAGGGGGGGGGGGTGGGGGGGGGGGGGGCGGGGGGGGGGGGGGGGGGGGGGGGGGGGGGGGGGGGGGGGGGGGGGGGGGGGGGGGGGGGGGGGGGGGGGGGGNGCTCAACCTCCCCCCCCTACAGAGGTCTTAGCCCCCCCCTAAAAAAATAAAACCCTGTGAAAAAATAAGTTTAGCCCCCTCCCCTACCATGGCTTTGACCAACGACTTATCCCCCCCTACAATTTTTTTCTGGTTACGCTCCTATGATAGACCTAGAATGGTCTTTTCGTAGAACGAGTACAGTTTGTTGAGAACATGCCCTGAAAAGCCGCAAATGCGAAATTTAGATGAGAATTTTGTCCCAAAATATTTTTGAAATCATAGTTTTCCAGATATCTTGCCAAAGAAACCGAACACAAGTGGCGATATATTCTGATATACTGTTGCGTCTAACTATTATGATTAAGAAAACGATTGAACAAATACTGATATTCTAAACAATTTTAATACGATTATAGTATCACATGATTTCTATCAGGCACGAAACTATTTTTGATCAAATCCCATAGCTTAGTTACCTTAAGCCTCTTTCTAATTGCCTTGCAACTTGTCCAGCTAAATTTCCAAAAGAATATGTATTTGAAAATTTTCCAAACAATCGTTGAAAATCAATTAATGAAGCAGCCAATGTTGATAGCCAGTCTGTTGATTGATCCAAATAAACATTCAAAAACAAATGCGAATTAACCATTGAGAAAATATCATAGTCAACAGGGACCATATCGAATGCCGTTAATTCATGTAATGTACATCGTCCCCAAAGGCCTTCTTGTTCAAGTAAATGTTCAAAAGCATAAAACTTTCTTGGCACACATATCAGATGAGCATTACGAATATCTAATTGACGTAATTGCTTTGCTAACGCTAAAAATCTTGCCATATTAGGTCTTAGTAAAAATAAACGTTTGTTTTTCGTTTGAACATTTATTGCTGAATCAAGTTTATGTAAATTTCCGACTCCGTATGCTTTTATTTCAGTTGCATTCGATGTTAAATCAATTAAAGGAAATAGATCAGCATCGATAAATAAATCCTTTTGTCCACCGATACTTTTTAATAAACTAAATAAATCTTCACGAGCACGTTGACGCAGTCTATCAGCTATTTCCCAATTGATGATATCAGACATATCTTTGTCTAAAAGAAAAGAACGAATAATCTCTACGATGTTTCAGTAATCCATATAAAAATAAATGTAGGCAAAGGAAGAAATAACAAAAAAGATAAGTAAACAAAATTATTCAGAAAGACAACCAAAAAATATACATATTATGTTATTCTGTTTTCTTCTTTTTGGAATGATCTTTTTGATTATTGACATGGTTTCGATAGGAATTCATCAAGATTGGGCCCGTTTCGACCAAGAGGGTCTGTAGCAGGCATAAATGTATCATTTATAGTGGCAAATGGTAAGATTCTGAAGAATAAAAAATATAAAACAATTTTCATTTCTATTTGAAAAACATCATTCAAACCGATTGTTGATAATAAATTGAAAGCTTCGTTCATGTTGAAGATCACGAAAATTATCATTACTAACGACAACTCCATCATTGTCAGCTGCATACTGTAGTATAAACCTTAATAAACAAAAAAGCAAAAAAGAAGATTTTTCTTAAAATTCTTGAGCGAAGAAAAAACGAATCAATAATACCGATCATCGTAATTTGTCAAACGCTTTCCATTATTGTATCGTGATGGTGTAAATGCAATATAACGTGAATTAATTAAATTATCACGAGTTTGACGTTCACGATTCGCATCGTTGGCTGATAACTGTTTGTTTGAAAATTCCCGATAATCTATATTAACAATTAATAATTTGAGACGAAATTCAAGAAAATAAAAAAATATACACAGAGGAAGAAATGCAATAATATTTTCATGACCACGATTTTTGAAATAATTGATCGCATTTGACAAACGACACCAACAAAATGAACGATTGTAGTCATTGGAGCTAAAATATTTAGTAGATTGTTATAGAATCCGAATGTAAATCAAATATTTTCAAGATGAATCTCTTCTATGTATATATGAGTAATTCTAGGCAATTTTGTTACTATCGGGCAAAAGTTACGCCAATGAAAATCAACAAAAACTACTTTTTCATAGACATGATGCGTCACAGTCATACCGATCATCTTTATCGAAGTTAATTTTCACATTATTTTCTCGACAATGCCGCGTAGTGGAAAAATCTCCTGCTTACTTTCGTCCAACATTCTGTCCATCTAGAACAATATGACGGAGAATTATTGGTTGGCGTTGTGCTGGCTGTAAAGGCAATTGTATGGACGGTTGTACAGGTGGTTGTACGATTGGATGTACAGGTGGCTTCATAGACAATTGTACGAGTGGTTGCTTGGTTGGTTGAGAGAGACTGATATAACTAGAAGAAACCATGAAAATAGTACTTCAATAACAGTTGTTCGCTCGGACACCTTCGCCCTACGATAGATAGTTCTCGAAGTCGTTTTTATCTTAATCTTTTAATATCCCTTCGCAATTAGCATTCGGATTCATGTCTTCATATTGAATGTGGATAACTGGAAGGATCACTCGTTCAGATCCTTCTCCTACTATCTATTTTTGTGCATTATCAATCAATGTTGCCGTTTCTTATTGAATCTTTCTTTGAAGACTTTTTCAGTGAGGATCGCTGCCAGTATAGATATGTCCGAGCGAAGACTTTTTGGGTTTGAAAATTCATTTAATGAAAGAAAAAGAGCATACTCAGGCATCGGCTGAAGCCGTGGTGTGACTATTTGGAATGTATTTTGTGGTCTAGAAAAAAAAAACGCAGTTTTATACATAAACGAACTAGCGAGAATATATCCTACGGAGCCGTTGTTTGTGGCTGATCAGGTTTCTTTTGTGTTTTTGGCTCAATTGTTTGAACAATCTGTAAATCTTGGCTATCTAATGAATCGTCAGAAACTTCAATAAGAATCGGTTCATTATTTGTGGTGGCCTATATGAAATCATTCAAATACTTTAGTAATTGTGAAAGTAAAATTTAAATCACTTCTTGATTCAATCTTTGTTCATCACCATCTTCTTCATCTTTCAATACTCTCAACATGGATGCATTAACATCATCATCATAAACCGAATAATCTGGCAATTGATCATCTTCTTTTTCTTCCGCAGGTATTTGTTCATCCTGATCAAGACGGGTTGATTCGAACTGTTTGTTAAAAGTTGTTGATTCAAACGGATTCGTGGACGTACTTGGTTTCGAAGACGAATTTTTTTGACCACGACGAAGTTCATTTTCGAATTCACGACGAAGTATAACGAATTCATTATAACAATATTGCACATTAACGGAACTAAAGACCAAGAAGATGATTAAATATTAATAAATTTAGTTATCTATGTTTTTTTGGTACCTTCCACGAATAAATAATTTACATTGTTCTAATTTATTATCACATAAAACTTTGAGTCGTTGACAAACACCATCAAGAAATTTTTCATCATTAAATATGTCAAATAGTTTTTCTCCATAATTAAACATCTGTTCAGTATCCGGTTCAAATAAAGCTTTTACATATGGCTAGCAGACAACTAAAAGCTATTATTTATGTTCAATCAATTGTTTGTTTTTTTACTCGAATAAATTGTTCTTTTGATTTAGCCCCAACTATATAAACAAACGTAATACTTCCTGATTGCCAAACTAAAAATGCAAGAAAATAAATAATTCTGCTTCTGCTTCGTCTTTCCAATTGAAACTCACATCTTACGATGTGAACATCACAAATGCGTTGAATAATTTTGATAATTTTATCATATTGTTTTACTATACGTGGTGGTACTATTCGATCGGCTAATAGATATTCGTTCATGTTTGCAGTTAAATCTAAACGAAATATAATACATTTAGATAGATTAATATTTAAAAGAAATAAACCAACCAGGTGTTGCAACATTTGCCTGTCGTATTTCGGCTTGAACATTACGAAGTAGATTTGGAAACTAAATTTAAAATTTTTTAGGAATCACTCAAAAAAAGATCTCGTAAGTGCTGTTTTCTAAAAGATTTGCATTTCTTCTATCGGAACCAAGGACTATACTATTGCTGATAATTGACTCTTTATCTTTCCTCGTTCAAAAATCTTCATAGTCATACCCGTAGGAGGCTAGTAAGTTGGTTGAATTATTCCTAAATTTTCTCATGATAAGGTACGGAAAAAATTGTTTTTGCCGATATGATTGAAAACTAGCAGCTCGAAGAGTTTGACCTACAATGGCAAACGAAGTGATTATTATATTCACAGTGTCAACGCCAACATCAACATTGAAGAGTTTTCTGTTTACTTCTATTCTCTGCAGACGAATTTCTATTTCTCAGTAATCATTACACTTTTCGATACAGATATTTTTCGCATCGTCTGACCAGTCATTTTGGATAATTTTAGAGGGACTCTATGCAATTATGAGACATTAATGATGCGTATCAAACTTTTGATAGGAGCACGACAATTGAACAGTGGACTTGGGATCACACCGCTCTTTTAGTCACCAAAGAATAGTAAATCTAATAAGCGGACTGATGATTATATCAATAATATATACAGCATCACAACGATCAACATTGATCTTTACCATATAGGGTACGAATAATCCCACTTGCTTTCGTTTTTCCATATGTGCAAGAAAAGCAATAATTGCGTTTGCTTTTGCTTCTTTCTTTGTGCTTGCTCCATTTCCAATTGATTGTAAATTAGGAAACAAGGGAAATATCATCTATGAAAATAAGTGAACTAAGCAAAATAAGTAAATTATTAATTTATCATTTATTCAACTTTGCATCGATGATTAGGTGCTTCAACATTATCAAATTCAAATGTTGCTGTAGCTCGTAAGCTCGTACACCACGTTTGAAAGTGCCCAATAAGGTCTGATTTGATCTGAACAAATAAAATTCAGTGTTCATTGTTTGTGTAACTAAAAAAACTGTCGTTTATTTGAATTTTATACTTGGTTCGGCGATGGTCTGACTGCTATTTTAGCTTGACGATTACGGTTATTAATATTTGCATGATTTGATCGTCGCGAATATAAATTACGGATACGTTTGCTGCTCATTTTACTTTTGCAAGAAGAAATGAACAGATCAGAAGATATTCTTCCTTAGTTTTATTTGTCACACCACAAATCGCTAATTTACGTATGTTAATAGCGCTATTGCTTATTTAAGAATCGAGTTGATTGTGTCGCTCGACGAAGAATAAAATATTTATTTGTTTGCCTCTATTCGTCAGAAGAGTAAGTGATGTTAGTTATTACTTAATTTTGCTATTTTATATACTTCATCTTTCTAGATTTTATTTTCTAATAAAATAACAAAAGAAACAATGGCATCGAACAGCGCCCCAATGAATTATTCATCGAAAGTTGGCTCTTCTTCAATGACATCAACATCAAATTCAATCAAAGATGTTTATGTTGACGCTATGGTAGATACATGGCAAAAAAAAACATTTTAACTTTTAATCATAATATCATTATTGTTGATATCCAATAGGTTGTATTAAAAATAATCAAACATGCTCATGAAGAAACAACAGACGCTGCACAAGGCGGTCTTCTTGGTTTGGTTAAGGACTCAACGCTTGAAATAACGAATTGTTTTCCATTTCCAAATCAAAATAAGCCAGAAAATGTTGATCTCGGTACAATTACATGTCTATTATTCGTGTATAATTTTCTTTAATGGAAATTTTCTATTTAGATTTAGAACAATATCAAGCGGATATCATACGTAGTTTACGTAGAGTTAATTCGGATTATTTACAAGTTGGATTTTATGACAGCAGTTTTAATCGATCACTTGCACTATGTATGGTACCTCATCAATTGTCGGGTGTTGAAGAATCTGTTGCATTAGTTTATGGTAATTAATTTATAATCAAATAGATATTGAGCAGAATTTTGTTTTTCTCAATTTAAAATTTATTTGTTTAGATCAAGCATTAGCTTTACAAGGTTATATTAGTTTGAAAGCATTTCGTTTAACACCCGCTGCATTGGACAATTTGAAGAATGAAGAGTATTTTTCACCAGAAAGGTAACAAATTAAAGGAACGTCTATCCTATAGCTGAACTTCGAAATCAAATGGCATTTGTTTGAAAACAAAACAACTTACTTTGATTTCTTAAGCAATCATTTGTTGTTTTACGAAAGAGCTTCTCGAAGTTTTCAATGATTTTCTTTTCACTCCTATAAGCACTGCAAAATTACCTAGTAAAATATTTTTGTAGATGAGGCTTTTCATCGTCTACCTTAAATTTTTATTTATTTTTCTCGCTGATGTGTATAAAAGAATTGTGACTAAATTCGCCTGTCAATCAAAATACCACCTAAAAGTTAGACTATTGAAATTGTTCTCATCTTATTTCATTGTTATGAGATTGAAAGAAACTTTCACTCTTATAATTACTTCGTCTTTTCAATTTCTAGAATTTTATTTTCGGCAGAGAAATAATGTAACGATACACGAGATCAGAAAACCGAGAAGAAGACTTCCATTTCGATTATATAAATGTGTCAAATATGATAGGAAATGGCAGTAAGAAATATGTTACAGTTACCGGATCACGAAAAATTCCAATCGGTAACAATATATGCCAAGACACAAATGAATCTAACAGAACAAATTTTTCTTGTTACTTAAATCGGCATTGAAAAAAAATTCTAATTTTTATTTTGCATTTTAATTGACTGATACATATTTGTATGTCATGCACAAAATAAATAAATAAAAGTATACATGGAAGCCAAAGTGTTTAAGACTTCTTTCTCGGACACTATAATATCTAGTGGTAAAAAATTCATTGAAAACAGAAAGAAGACATTTGCAAAGGTTTCCTCGTTAGTTAAATAACTTTTTTTTCAGGGTTGGATTTCGATGCTTTGATGTATGAAGTCTAATAAGACTGAAGAAAATCTTCTTAGACGTTATAACGTGTTTTCGAGATCACTTTAAAACAACATCTCGTTAAGAACAAGCGAACAAATATTTACTATCTCAACACACACACCCACACCATTCGAAAAAACCTAATAATTGACATACTCTAATACTTTTGTGAAACATTTAACTGGCAAATGCTTTTGCTATTTCTATCGATCAATTGCATTTTTTTTGTTAAAGAAAAATGTCTATACTCTAAAAATAGAAATAATTATTAAAGCGTTTTCACGTAACATCAATTATTTCCGTTGAATAATTTATTTTCAATATTTCGACTACCTGGAAAAAATAATGTGTTTCTTTTTTTATTTTAGTGCAAAACTAGCAAGCCTTAACTTTGAAACCCTATTCGAAGAATTACCAGTCGTGTTTAAAAATTCTCATCTAGTCAATTCACTTTTATGTGAAATAGATGAACAAACAAGACTTAGTTCAAAATCAAATTCGTTTCTTGATTTAGGCACAAAGTAAAGTTTTGTCATTCTTCCTTTCAATTGCATGTTTACATTTTATTTCTAGTGGAAATCTCGAACGTCAACTACGTTCATTAATCGATTGTGTCGATGAATTTTCTGCTGATGCATTACGTTATACAAATTATCAAAAACAACTTCAACGTCAACAAAGTCGTCGTAATCAACGAGATTCCAATCGTCGTAATGACGGTTATGATGAAGATTTCGAACGTATGACTAAAATGTTTTCTCAATCGCGTCGTAATGCATTAGTAACTGCGTCGCAAATAAACCATCAATGCGACAATATCACCGAATTCACAGCACAAGGTCTAGCGAAATTATTTATGGCACAAGCTGTTCATGAGAAACAATAACCAACCTGTAGAGAAACAATAAAAAAAACGCAAACACATCCATCAGTTATCATTATCATTATCATTTCTTGTTATTGTGTTTGTTTGAATAAAATATGAAAAGGAAAATCACTATATCCATTTTTTTAAATTCAATGCGAAAGCCACAAAAATGTCTCATTAGATTTCTGTTGAATTATAATGAAAAATATACTTTTGAAAAAAAATGCACACGCACAAGAAACCCTGAAGTTCACGAGAAAAAAAGTCTCACGGACAAAGTCTTTCATGCTGATACGCCAATCCCTTTCCAATTATTATTTGTTTTCAAAGTGTTACTGAAATTTTTCACAGGCCGTGATTGACGTTGAACTTGCCAATATGGGTCAGTCGATCGAATTGGCTTTACTTTAGTCAATCGATTTATCTAAAAGCAAAAAAAAGAAACATAATTTGAAAACATAAGGATTCATTTCTATTCAATACCAATGCGTCAGTTTCTTCAACAGATAAATAACGTTTCGAAGGTGTTGCTATCGGTGTATGTCTATCACGGCATCGACTTGGACTTGTAAGACGATGAACAGATTGTGTTACTTGTTCGGGACTTGCTTGTTGATAGCCTAATGGAAACGGTGGATGAACAATAGTTCCCCATTTTTGTCGATTACGTGGTGGTACTGTTTTTATTGTTGATAAATCCGTTAAACGGCCATAATCATGATCGTCAACAATGATCTTTTTTACTTCATATGCACGTGGTATGAAACTATTTGTTATTGATGTTTGACTCAAATTAGGTGATGCTAAATGACGTTGATGGAATTGATGTTGTTGTTGTTGCTGCTGCTGCTGCTGCTGTTGATGGTGATTTTCTTCATTACTATGAAATGAAGTATTGGGTGATGATGTTGATTCTATTGTTAATTGATTAGTTAAAGTTGTACTTGTGGATGTTGTTTCACGTTGTAGATAATATCGTGTTGAATTTGATGTTACTGTTTTACGACTACGTGAAAGGGTTGTTGTTTGAGGTAATACATAAGAATTTGTTGTTGAACGACGCGGAGATACTTGTTTACTAGGCATACGTCGAGCAGGTAATAAGGGTGATTGAAATTGTTTTTCATTACGCATTGATGGTTTTCTAGTGATCGTATTTGACATTCGTTCTTGTATGTGTTTTTGTTGTTGTTGCTGCTGCTGAGGTTTTATTGTATCATGGAAAGATGATATATGTGCAGATATTGTGTTGTCATTAGATTTTGGTTCAGGTGTTTCACTTAAGCGTAAAACATTTTCAAGAAATGATGGTTCCATAGGTAGTCTTTGACCGATTTCGCCGTTATCATCGTCCTCGTCATCAAACGTTATATCGTAATTATTACCAAGATTAGTTCCATCAACATTTGATGTTGATTCAAAATCACTTAACGGACAACATTCACGATCGGATTCTGACCAATCTGATACAGCATCAATTTCGTCATCTGATACTGATTTAGCTCGAGTAGTACGAGTTTTAAGATGATGAACACGACTTAGTGTTAAATGATCCAAATTATTATCATCATCATATTCCATTAGTTCAGACGCCATTAAAGCTATAAAAGAAATTTATAATATGATTAAGATTTCAATCGTTTATCTTTTTTCATAGCTTACCTTTTTTTTTCTTCTATTCTTTTATTATAATGATGTGCAATGGAAAATAAGTAACGGTTATAGTAATACTAAGACACAAAAAGAAGAGAAAATATAATAATAAAAAACGCAATCTCCAAGACGTTGCCGTTTTTTCAAAGAAAGAAAATTAAAGATTTTGAGAATTTGATTACGTTGATAGTAAACTTGTTTTTTTGTTCAGCTTTGCTTTTTTCTTTCTCTCTACGAGAATGTCAAATGATCAACAATAGAATAAAGAAAAAAAGGTGGTGTAGGCAAACAATCAAGAAAAAGAGAGAGCGAGAAAGAGACTTTTTCTCGCTCTCTCTCTCTCTCTCTTCTAATCATAAATTTTATTTTAGTATAAAGCGCCTATCGCATGAAATATTGACACGTTATGTTAATCGAGACGAATTCTTGTTTGTTCTTTTCAGTTAGATAAGCAATGGCGCTGATCATGTTATGCTAATAAAACAACAGAACCTAAAAAGCCGCGTCCTATCATGCGCTACCCTTCTCAAATATTCTTTTTTCCAATAATCGAGTTGACTGATTCGCGAAAAAAAGTTCTAAAATAATAAAGAAGGGAAGAAATGAAGCACAAAAGAAAATGAAGCTGACTTTTGTAAGTATTCATTTTTTTTGGCTAACTAGTAATTGCATATATATCTAGAGATGTAGATTCAACAATTCTATAGATTCTATATTGCGTATGAAGGATGAAAGCGAGAAACAAAACTATCCTTCTGTTATTTATTCGAGAACACATGTAATCGAATATATCTTACTATTATATACTCAAGGAAAAGCGCTGGCATCGGCAATAGTTAAAGCAATAATAACAAAAGTATATGAAAAGATTTCGATCTGTACACAAAAACTCTAATTGAATTTGTTTAAGCACTGATAAAATACTGGTTGATTTAAACAGTAACATTCTACTCGTTGCCAAGCGATTTCGACTAATTGCCGCGGACTGATTCGCTCCTGTTGACAACGTCAACATCAACAAACGTTGTGGTCTGTTCGATAGAATAGACTTGATCCGCGTATAGTCACATTAAAGAATAATAAAGCCTCAAGTTTTTAACTTTTATTGATTACAAAATAGAAGTGATCTCCTCTCCGGGGTGTATCAGTTTGTTGGTAGTGTTGCAGTGAAAATTTCCTTTTATAGAAACTCGTCACAGAAAAACATTTATTTATAAAGTTCAATTGCTCAAAAAAGCCTTTTTTCTTTATTTGAAATCGATTAAACAAATGTCAAGTGAACGACGAAAAAGAATCAATTATTTATTTCAATTATGATTTAAGATGTAGACGGCAAAATCGCGCTGTACTTGTGAATGTTGTTCTCATGCAACAAAAAAGCGCCCGTCAATAGGCTGATTCGAGCTACAGTACAGTTTTCAACAATCAGTTTTCTTGGCCGTTCGATTTATTCGATGCAGGATTTTTTATTTTTATGAATATGGAAATTCACGGTCATTTCACTGCAATTCTTCATTAGACAATATGAGAATAGAAGGGCAAGAGAACAACGAAATTAGTGTACAACCAGTTAAGTATAACGATGGAGGCGATCACGCGAGTCGCATTTTAAATACTTTTAAAAGTGGAATGTTTTTCTCGGTCTGTAAAATAACACTTGAGCGTTTTTTTTAATATTCAATTTCAGTTTTATTATAACCATAGTAACTTTTCGTTAGACTATTTATGAATAATTCATCTTTCAAAACGGAAACATGTATATGCCATCACTTCCTTCATTTCTTTCAGGATGATTTGCAAAAAACGTTTTCTTTTGTTTAAGATCTTAGGAAAACAACAAAATCTTTATTTGAAATGAACTTTAACAACATCAAAAAAAAAATCATAATATTTTGTTTTTACTTTATTACTTTTGCTTTCTCTCTAAATCGAATAATAGAACGAACAGGTCTCATTTGTGACTAAACAAAAACATAGTTAAAAGTTTCTATTTAAAGATTACTCACAAGAATTGTCTCAAAATTCATATATACTCTCCTGCAATTTCGCTTCTAATTTTCCAGGTAAAAGAGTAAACAGAAAGACTATTTCACGTTGAAGCTCATTATTAAGCAAGACAAAGTATAATTTCAAACAGCCTACTCAAACAATAATAAAAGCTAAGTTGCAAATTTCTACAGATAATTTCCATATGTCAATTAAGTATGTGTCAAAAAAAAAGAAAGATTAAATGTAGTAGCACATATGATTCAAGTTTACTATTTGCTTTTTGTACCTATGAAAGTTTTACGATATGGAAATTTCTGAAGCTAAATTTGAACAACTGAAAAGTCCAAAACAGACTTTACTTATCATCATATATCACTGAGAAGAAAAGGAAGCGATGCAATCCACAGAAAACATGCTAATGTCGATCGTAATCGTAATCAATTTTTTGTAGTAGAAAAAGAAACATTATAACCATGTTTTTATCTATTCAACGAATGTGACCTGCATCCATTCTCATGCGATCTATTTGACATGAAAAAAGGTATAGATTTTTGATTTATCGATTGATATCTTCAATGGTCTCGAGAAGTTTTTGTAGATTTTCTCGATAGATTTTGTCCAATTGAGATGTTGCAATTAACGATTGAAGAGCATCGCGAACATAATTGTCCGTTGTGCATAGATGAAGTTCTGTCGAGCATTTTTTCAAAAGATTCATCATTGTTGCATTTTCTTTTTCTTCATGAATTATTTTAAATAGACAGCGAATGATTATTTTCATCATGTCACATCGATGAACATTAATTCTCGGTTTAAGTATTTGAAGAATGACTAAAAGTAATTTTAACGAGTCCGACCTAAGTAAACGATTATCAATCGAATCTTCGACAAGTTCAATAAGATGTTTTAAATGACGAATAGCAAATAATTGCAGACGAACTATATAATCACGAAGTATTTTTATAAGTAATCGACGATATTCAATATTGATTTCTAACAGTCCATCCCGAATAAATCTTTCAATAATTTGACTTGTCCGTATGAATAAATGTTTACCAGAATAGACTTCATTTTCAATAATAGTTAACCAACGATACGTTGCTGCTAATAAACATTCAAATAGTATGATTCGTTCGCCGCGATGATATAAAGTTTGTTCGAGACCATACCTGGAGATGAAAAGAAAAAATGATCGTTTGTCTTAGTGAGAGATTTATTTACAAAATAACATTCGCTCGATTAAATAATAATAAATCGGTTGATGTACAATGCCTTTGTAAATGTTCTAATAGATAGAGACTTGTTAGTTTCATGTCCACCGATGGATCATCCAATGTGATTAAACAAACGGGAAATATGAAGTCGATACTTTCGGATAGTGATGGTTGAGAAATTGATTTGATAATATGAACAAAGAGTTTAACAGCCATAGGATAATGATCATAGGTTGTTTTTAATAATAATGGTTTTAAATGATGAAGACAATGAAGATAAATAGGTTGATTAATGTGTTTTAATGTGAGAAATTCTTCGAGATTATTTATCTGAAGGAATTTATATAGATGATTGAAAATTATTTGTGATTCTGATGAGTATAGAATCATGTTTTGATTTGACGGAAGAAAATTTGGTTTATAGATTTTCTTGGTTGATGGTGGAACTTCATAGAAATTGGTTTGAGTTGATGTCAATAAGTTAAGATCGATTTCAAGTGGAATATGTTCGAGAAGAAAGAGCAATAATGGTGATAAATAATCAGTCTCCGACGTAAATAATTCATCATCTTTAGTTATACATTTAGAAAGTTTATCGTTTAATTCTGTGAAGGTTGATTGATCAGGAAATACTATGGATTCCAAAGTCTCTATTGATTTATCAAATAAAGTTTTCGATGTAATCAATGTGAGAATGTCTTGAAAAATTGAAATTGTATTGGTCATATTTATCTAGAAGTCGAAGAGTGACTGATATTTAATTAGCAATAGTAGTATGCGCATGATCGCCTTAATGAGAGATACCGGTTGCCATGTCTATCTATGGAATTAGCTCGGTGATCTCGAAAACAACAAAAATTAGAATATATTTTCTCATGCGCGAGTTGAAACTAGGGAAATCTTCTTTCAAACCATCGGGAAGACGCTTCGTTCAAAATTTGTCATTATCTAGTTATGAGAGAATTTTGAATGATTAAACAGAGAGAACGAGTCACACAGATAACGAGAGGCTCAATTGAAACTAGCGAGAATAGAGTCATCGTAGTGATGAATTTGATTATGGCTGCTATGAACAGGTGTTAAGTTTCAATGGATTACTCAGTTGACAAACAATTTTTCGAATTCCAAAAGACGAAAGAAAGCGACAACTCTTAAAATAGCCAAAAGTGTTGCCGGGAAAAAAATTATTTCCAGTCATTTGTAAAGTCAATTATTTTTGTTTTTGATGCATTGCATTTTGTATTCGAGCGAAACTTGAATACCGTCTAGTTTACTCCACGCGAGTCCTCGGAAAGAATCAGAATGTTTTGCTACGGACAGATATATATACAGAGAGAGAGAGATTTGTCTTTCAGGCTAAAGGATCAGACGCTTACCAATCAACTAAACAGAAATCACGAAAAATATACCTCTGCCAGCTCGAATTGTCGTTGTCTCGCGCTCGTTCAACTTTATATTCTCACGTCCCAAAAAACGAACAACGAACAAAACATCATGAGCCATAAAACAATCGAAAATGAACGGATATTCTGCGTGTTGTCTTACGGCTAGTCTCATGTTAAAACGGTATTTTAAGTGTTTCGACTGTCCGGTAATGATTTACAAAATTTGCAGCACTGAATCAAAGATGAACATATAACACAAAGGTCAGCTTTTCTTACTAAGTCATTTCGGAGTTTTGGTTTTACAAACTTCCAACTCAATACTATAATCATAAAACGCAAGGTAAACCAAAGAATGGGAATACTGTAGAGCAAAGAGCAAGTCAATAGTTGAAAGCCCAGTAAATCATTTCGGAAGCCAACAAGAGCAAAAGCCGAAGCAAGACATTGTTGACTTTGCGAACTATTTCCTTTTCTTGTATCCAATCGTTCTTTTCAAAAACACATCGAGTGTTAAAATCTCTTATGTTTTCAGCAATTACTTGAACGAATATCAAAACACATGAGTCGTATTTGCGGAATACTTTTTCTCTCATCTGCTTTCAAAATCAATAATGAAAGCCCAAAAGAATTATTTCAAGTGATAAAAGAGCAAAAATTGATGTCACTCGATACGAATAAATACAAGCAGTTTAGATCTATTTAATAGAGAATAATAAAAAAGATAAGATTATTTTATACAAGAATATCTGACTAGAATAGAATAATAAGTGTTTATCGAGGAAATTTATGCGGTTTTGGTGGTGGACGTGGTGGTATATCGTTCGATAATTGCTAAAAATAATCAAATCGAATGAATATCTTACAACGAAGTCGAATTCGAACTTTTTACTTCAGAAGATTTTGTTAATGAACGAATCTTATTAGCTAATTGGTGAGTAGGTGATAATGGCTTTTTATTAATATTATTTAATTTAGCTTGTAAATTTTCACTATTTAATTCTTCATTTAAACTTTCCGATGATAATAAAGTTTGACTGGCTGAAGCTAAAAGTAGAAAATAGTGAAAGGCAGCCTTTAAAATAGTTTCTATCTATGAAATGTTACCAATGACAAATTGTCCGCTGATATTCATATCTGTGGTTGATGAACGAGGTGAATCATTTGATGCGCCAGCTAAAGAACTAACAGATGAGCTAAGTGATGGTGCTGTGCGTGGTGGTCGACGTGGTCGAACACTTGTTAACTGTATAGAATAATAATAAAAATATGAAGCAGAGGCTTTGAATTATACTTGTTCTCGTAATTCAATAGTCGTTTTTTGTGGTGATGATGTCGACGTTGGTTTGAATATTGTGTTTGTTGAATTTGTTGATGATGTTCGACTTCCTAAGGAAAATATATAAGTAGACAGAAATGTCATTTTTAGATATTCTACTAACTTGTTAAATCTGATTGTCGCGATTGTATTTCAGCGTTTGAACGATGACTTTGAATTGATGTGTTTGCTGAAATATCAGTTGATGGTCTGAAGAAATATATTTTTTCCTTTTTTTATACGAAAAAAACACAGTGAGCATTGTTTCACTTACACAAATATACTTAAATGTAATCCATGTGACTATTTAATTTAAGTGAATATATTAGAAAGATAAATAATGCAAGTTATTATAACTAGACATATACCTGTTGTTTACCACAATGCTGTTCAACAGAACGTTGCCGATGAATTAAGATATTATTTAAATGGTCAACATGTGGTAACATCTCTGGCTTGGATTTCTGTCGCATTATTATCAATGCTCGTTCAAGTAAAGGAACCTTTTCAAACGAAATATACACTCTTGAAAAATCAAAATCAAATAAACAATACTTGATCAGCGAGTAATTGTTTCACATTGTCAATTAATGCTCGTGTGTACTCATCGGGATGTTTCGTTTGATATTCATTGGATAAAAATGCCTATTAATAAGAACAATGAATACAAGCAATCAAGATCTTATTGATAAAAGGTCTTGATTGTATCCCAATGATGCTCTTCGGTGAGAAGCGGCGAGTTTACTTATGTCCCTTTTAGGAAGTGCCTTGCACGGATGCAACTTTTGCGTCATGAGACTCTGATCGAAGCTAACCGGCATCCTTCCAATGCATTCAAATTGGTAGCACAGTTTTCAAACTTCTATTTACAAGAGATCAATTAAAACTTCATAAAAAAACGCTCTCCTTCCTGGAGTATTGATTTCTAACGTCACAATTCTGGTTTTATAAATGAGTGCTTTCTTCATCAGAAAAATCCAATGCTCGTCTTCTTTTTAATTGATTTTCCATTTGAAATCTTCCTGTATTTAATTTTCGCATTTCATCGTTATCTATAGATAGGATCGAATTGGTGTTCACTCCTACGAATTTATATATAGATACTATATATATACACGTTTGCAGTCTGTGGGAAAGGCCCATTTTTACTCGTATACTTCAAAAATCGGTATTGCTCATGTTTTCTAAAAACAAATAAGTTACTTGTTCAATAACACTAGCACCACCCATAACTACCGCATCGAGGATTCCGGCTGTCTAAAATATAAATAGCTATATCCGTAAACGATATCATTCATTTCATTTATCTAACTTTGCCCGATAATGGTGTCACGTTAAGTTCACGATCAGCTTCATTAGCTTCAACAAGTATCTTTAATTCTCTATTTGTTTTTTCAAGTAAATGAATTGCATTCTCCAATGGTGTCAATAGAGTCTAAAGTTAAATAAAACCAAAAAAATGGGAATATTTTGATTTCATACAATGATAACTCACCTTTGTTGACGAACCGGCTGGTACCCACCGGGTTGTATTGGGTAATACAAATGCTGTAGAAAACTCGTATCTTTCTGCTGAGAATTTCTATAAAATTTACAAAATTAACGAGATTTTCTTTCCGGGTAAATATCAGTCTTACAGCGATGTCTGATGTAGCATCTCGATCGTCCTCATGTACAAATAAACGTGTATATGTAAATCGACGTATTTCATTCGAACGATAATATCTTAAAAAAAGAGAAAATAAAAGAATAACTATTGAAAACTTATTGTTATTTGTAACTTACTGCAGGATAGCTTCTGGAATATTTCTATTTTTAAACTTCGCTTTTTCGTCAGATATAGGTTGTACAACTTGCACTTGAACATCTTTATGAAAAATAAAAGAATTTTCAACTCATAAATTTATATTTTTGCTTTTTCTGTAGTTAGTTTTTACATTGTGAAGTGCTTCGACGATGATGATCTTCAATATTAACAGTTGGATCGAGAAGAATAGCATGTGGAAATATAGTTTGAAGTTTCTCTCGAACATCGCCCAATCGTTGCCCTGGTTCAGATCGATAAACAAAAACTTGATTCTACCAAAAACAATATTGCGTTTCTGAATCAGAGTAAATACACAATTATTTTACTTGAAGAAAATCATGAAAACCCATTCCATAACAACCAATACGGAAATATTCTTGTTCGAAACGTTGTTTACTAGCATCCATTATATGTACATACAGTCGAGATTGATTCAACTAACAGATTAAAATATCGCAGAATGGATTTAAAAACACGAGGGTTTTTCTTACTAATAGCGCACTAAGATTGGCATATTCGAAGGATTGTTCATATTGTATTTGTAATTCTTTACAAACTTCAATTGATTTTTCCCAAGCCTAAATTATTATTCTTTTTTTTTAATATTTTACTTTATAAGCAAATAGATTATCTTACATCGCCATCATCAAATAATTGAATGATATCACGATAGAGCTTTTTCTTTAATTGATCATGCGTTTTAACTGACTGATGTATGTGCGTGTATTTCATATGAACGTCTTCAAGAACTTTATCTGGATTCCACTAAACCCAAGAAAGCAATTTATGCTATTGTTAATAAAGAAAAATTTACATCGAGTAGTTTTGCATGTAACATTAATGTATGGCCAGCTTCAATTTTATTTTGTAAACGACGATTCATTTCATACAATTGATAGATATATTTAATATACATTGGCAAATGGCCAAGTCGTTCGTAAAATTCCTTTTTTCCGGAAAATAAATCGAATTAATTTCAAATTGAGATTTTACAAGCTGTAAACTCGATAGGTAAAAGTTCCTGTGGATTGAAAGAGTCAACATTTCTACGCATAAACATGAGCAAAGAATTTGTTGAAAAAGAAAGTCAACTCGTGAATAGTAACGATCAATATAGTTGACGAATATCTTGTTGGATTTAAAGCGGGCAATAAAAATTGCTATATATAGACAAATGAAAGCTAACTGACGACATATCTTAATCATTGAGAGAATCTACTGAGTCTATTGATCATTTTAGTTTGAATTTTGTTCTAGAGGATACTTCGAATATTCCTTCGGAGAGACAATAGAATCTTGAATCTAAAATGAAGGAGAATAAAATATATATTCTTGGATCCAGCTTTGGGAACGAGAATTTTCCAATCAGTCAAAAGCTGTTTGGCTTCAATCTTTGTGGTTCTTTTTGAATCTAAAAATTGTTAACTCAAACAATCTCAGTACTATTCAAAATTTGTAGAACGTACTAATCACCCAATTCTGAGAAGGCAAAGTCAGAGTCTCGCACATTCCGAGCCGAGCTACTGTCTAGTTCCCACCAGAACGTTGCATTAAAAACATCAAAGTATGATTTGTAAGAGACTAAAAAGTCACCGACTCTGCTTGTGTATATGTGCAGTAGTCTCTCAGTCGGGCGACACTAGCCTGACATAGCTTTGCTTTCCTTATCCAATGCATACCATTAAACTTCTAACACAATGCATTTGAAGATCTAAAGCAGCTGTTTCACATTCATTAACAGCCACACGTAATTCAATAATACGAGATAAAAGATTATCAATCATATCAACTAGTTTTGAACCATTTCTTGCAAGTTTTTTTGCTTTACAAAAGTCATCAATTCTACGATCAAAGAACATCGATAAAAATAATCTTTTGCAATATTTCAATACGTACGCATTAATTAAATATTCTTTAAAAATTTTATCCACTAACGGTTCATTAGCAAATTTATCCATTACAGTAACAAATTCGTTTTCAAATATTGATAAATTATCTTCGTGTTTATTAATCACATAAATCATATCACATAGAACTCGAATCATTGCTGTTCGAATATCTTGAACTGGCAGAAGACTTACACGAATCACACCATATATTTGACTTGGAATAAAATATAATTTGTGTTGTTCATCTAGAAAGAAACTTAGCCGAAGATCCGTTTAATCTGTCGTTTTAAACTTACGCAAGCAAAACCACATTGTTTTAAAATCATTTGATGCTTCAATACGTAAGTCTTTATATCGAGATAAAATCCGTTTTCGTTTATTGGCTGTAAATGATTCAAGTTGTAAACACGGTTGAATAATAAATTGAACAATGCATTCAAAGTATAGTTGCCATAGTTCAACGGACTAAAAGCAAACGAAAATTATTTTTATTATCATTTTTGTTGTGAAGAAGTAAACCTGCTCGTTAAAATGATTCAAATCTTCTACTAATCGCGAAACGAACTTATTCATTGCACGAACAAATATTCTAAAGAAAAACAAAATTATCATTCGAAAAGGCTTTTAACAGTTTTACTGACAAATTTTGTAACAGTAACATTTCAGACCAATCATTTGAAAATATTGGTATCGTAACAAGATCTTTGATAAGACCGAATGCATCAAGGAAAAAATCATGTAAACTAATTTCATCCATTTGGCGTAAAAATTCAATATAATTTTCGTCGTCCATTGTACGAAGTATTGCAATAATACCCGTTGCAAAGTTTATCTATTTTGATATTCAAATTGAATTATAAGATTTACGTTTATTTTGAAAATAATATCTTACGGCTAGATCGTGTTCTTGCACTCGAATAACAAGTAATATTTGCATAAATACACGAAGAAGTTTTTCTACGACTATTGAAGTATCACCTGAAGTCTATAGAAAAAAAAATGAACAATTAACGGTTATTAGAATTCATTCGGGACTAAGATGTGACACGTGATATGACTGCTCGTAGCAAAATTAGTTTTTATTCTCTTTATTTACGAGTAAATTTCTTTTAATCTTCTAGAAATATAGTTGGAAATTAGTTTAACTCCTTTGGCATAAAAAATACGCATTGTTTCATTTTACTTTTCTGGTAAATAATTGATTCATAATGTGTCCAACAATTTTTGAACATAAATTTAAATGATCTCGATCTTTTTGATCAATTGAAAAGGAGGACGATTGTTGATGGACAATTGAAAGACGAAAATCATCTGAATTTTGTTTTTCATTTATGAAATTATTGCATAACATTGATACATCTGTTACAATAACTTTAAGAATTATTCGACGACTTTCTACATCAGAGAGGAAAAAGAAGATACTAAATTGAATCAAGTTCTTTCTAATTTTACCAGGTATTTTTATAAGTAAACCACGAGCTAAATCATTCAAACATCGTAATTTTTGAGGTGTTAATCGTTTTGGTGGCAGTGCAGCAAGAAATTCGAGAGCTGTTATTTCACTATTAATGTAAAAATTGAGTTTTTTTATTATAGAAAATCATTTTATATACGCAATTTTTTCTTTACCTTAATGTAACAGCATTGAATACGTTCGGTGTAAGAAGTTCAAGTACAACAGATGGATAAAGTCGTAGAATAAGACCTTGTGCTGCTGATGCATGATCATCCGAAAAAGTTAAAACGCGAGTGAACGAACGTAGAACACTTTTAACTAGTTGATCGAATTGATTTTGATCGGCGTTATTTTTCCATCTAAGTTCAAATAGTTATCTGTGTTATTATTGTTGTTAAAATTAAATCCTACTTTGCATATAAAACACGTGAACGTACGATTAATTTAAAAAAGTATTCGAGCTGTTTTAACATTTTAACACAATAAGCAGTCATATTTAAATCAGATTTAGTATTTTCAACATATTTTGTTAAGGTTACATTAATCAAATGGAGTAGAACACTAAATATAAAAAAAAATTATCGAAGTTCATCGAACGCTTCGAGAGTGAAAGTGGATAAGCAAGTGAAGGCCTAAGGAATGTTTCAGATTACACGCGTACGATAGAAAATAGTATTCAGTTACTACTGGTAGAATGTACAAAATTAATTTCAACGTGCACAACGATGGTTCTCTTGTAATTGACTTACCTGTACGTTAACGTTGAACTGAATTTATTTTTAATATAATCATCAAGAACCGTTCGAAATGATTCAAATTGTTTCATTGAAATTAAATCCAATATACAAATCTAAATGAATCCGTTCATTGGTTGGAAAATTTTCAGTGGACAAAAAAAATCCATCTTACTAAAGCATGAAATGCAGTTTGATGAATTTTATTTAAATCGATTGGAAATCCAAATTGTTCTTGTTCGCGTGTTTTTAATTCATTCTCTTGTGATGTTAAAATTTCAAATAATTTATCAAAAATATTTTGTAAATTTTTAACAACTTCGGTTGCGCGTTCAATTATATCCGATGGCAGCATCATACTGAGAGTTCGTTGTTCGCTTGCGCCTGTACCCGATATGTTGATTCCACCGAGATGATCAACAAATTTTTCTAGCAATTCAAGTAAATAAACTGACGAATCTTTTGGCGTCCATGTTAGTAATGTTAAAATAATAGCTAAAGATCAAATGATAAAAACAAATGCTCGATGCGAATTTTCATTCACATACGTATCTGTGTCAATTGTGTTGATACAACTTTAACTTTAACAAGAAAATGTTCACGATAACTTGGTGAAAAATAATCTGATGGTTGATAAAAACGTGACGAAGCTTCATCGAGTGATAGACGATGAGAACCATTATAAGAATCTCTTGTTAAATTTATTGGTGCACTGATTTGTACAGCTTGTAAATTTATGTAACCTGATATATTTGTATCGGATTTACGTTGTGTTATCTAAAGATTTAGAAATAATAATTATTGGTCGAATTTGTTTTGTATTAGAAGTTCATGCAAACTTTATAGATAACTAAATGTCGATGTCCATCTTGAATAACTGTTCCAGCTTTTTCAATTAATGGCAGAAATGCCAATGCAAATGGCTTTTCAGATTTATCTTTTACTAGAAACACAGTAGAGAAAAGGATTGAATTTGAAGAATGAATTTGAAGACAATTTACCATCATTTGAATGACGTTGTTTGAATAAAAATCGAACATGATATTGATGCATGTCTTCTGCACTGATAGAAAATGGAATAGCAATCTAAAATGAATAGAATTTTGTTAAAGGAGGCCTTTTTTCAGAATGAATTATGGCATACTCGAAATGTTTCACTCCACTTTGGTTTCTCAGTTTTGATACAAACAATTGAACGATGAAAAAGATCATTTGTACTATTGACACCAACGTTTAATAAACCCTTAAAGACAATGATTCATTGAAATACTTTTCAGCTGTCTATGTACAACGATTTCTTCTAATAGTATCGCTTACAACAATTCATAACTACAATTAATGCATCTCTAATGGCGAATTTTATGCAGATATAGATATAGATACTACTTAGTCAATCTTCAGTCAAGAATGAATTTGTTCAATGACTCTAACTGACGAAAAGGATCACAATGAAAAATCATTAAATACAGTTCTTCACGCGAAAAACCTTCTCTCATTACATACTACTACTCATTGATGGTAGCATTGAACTAATCTTTCGCCAAGTAACATGATTGAGTTATGATAACCATAAGCCGAAGATTATTTTTGAATTCTGCCTCTACGGTATAGATATCAATGCTCTCGATGAGAGCTTAATATCGTGCATTTGCATTCAAAATATCAACTCAGTAAAACGATCTTGTACTTTCCATCAGATACGTACTTTTGTCTGAGACTTCACAATAGATGACAAAAGCTAAATTTTAATTTTTCGTTAACTTACTGGGATCGGATTTTCATTTTCATCACAAAGTTCAGCTGTATATTCATAATTTCCACTTTTAGCGAAGTCAGCTCCGTGAACCGTTACATAAATATCATTTCGAAGGTCATCAGCATTGATTACATCAGGGAAATCAAGTTTCCGACATACGCATACATCACCATGTAATAAATGCGGATAGTCTGTTTTTAACTAAACAAAGCAAATAAATTATAAATATCCTAGAAGAAGACAAGGCAAAAAAAGAGCATTTCGTACTTCACGAAATCCGCCACTCAAAATTTGCAATTTTAATCTGTGTTTTTTAAGTAATTCTACGTCAGTTGATTTTGCTGCTTTTTGAAAAATAGAAACAAGACTATCGCGATCATCCCATCTATTGATATAATAAAAATTAAAAATAAGAATTATAGAAAAAAAAATTCTATTTACGCATTAAAGCCAAATGGTACAATAAGTTCTTTTTCTGTTGATGATGCTTTCATACGACTATGACAATCGAGTTGTTGTGACATATTGATTACTTAGAAGAAAATCAAATACAAAATTTTGCTAACAGCTACATTAAAAAATCTTACATGCAACCATATAAGGTCGACGCAAATCATTTGTTTCATTTTTTGTCCGTTTTAACGTACTAATACTTGTATCAGATGTATCTTTATTATTGTCATTTGTATTCATTGTTCCAATTCGAATGACATATAAGACAAGATATTTTACAGATGGTGTATTCATGCTCGTCACAGATTTCATGGGACGTGAACGGCTAATATCTGTAAAAGCAACTATATGTTCTTGCGTACGGAGAGCTTCTTTATCTCGAATAACAAATGTTTCACTTGAACAAAAAGTCAAAAAAGAAGCAGTATAACTATATCATAGGATTGTCATCAACGAATCGATACTACCTCGGTATTAATTCAACACCACTTTCATCTGATGAATAATCATATAGAGTGCACCATAATTCAATATTATCAAATATTGCAAATTCAATTTTATCTAACGTAACTAACATCGACTGTATATTGGCAATTTGAAAATCTGGGTGCGGACGAGGTTTTTCGACCTAGATATTTTTTAATAGAGAGTTTAACTTATCTTTGATTTAAATAGATGATTTACATCGTGTAATGATTTTTTTTCGATACGCATTAATGAATTTAATAGCTCATGTGTACTTGTATCGGATGAATTGGCGACATTCAAATTTTGATCACGTATAATTAAATCAAGTTGCAGAAGTCTTAGAGAATAAAAACTAAATAAAATCAAAGAAGAACGATTGAAATCGTCTTACCGCGTGCCTTGATCAATTAGATCAACAATTGTTTGTTTTAATTCAATTAATTCTTCCTATGAGTTTTCAAAATAATGAATAAGAATGTTAATAAATATTTCAAAAACCTGTGTATGAGAAGAACACATTAAACGATGTCGATGACGGATGAGATCTGTCATTAATTTTGATACTATATTTACTTTAACCTTTTGATCATCCTAAAGTAAATTATTGAAGCATATTAATTCCATTGATATTCTATTGTACGAACTTTGTAAAATTGTTCAATATGATGTGCTAAAGAAAAACGAATTATAACGAAAATTGAAAAAAGAGTTTTGCCTTTTCTACAAACCCCACTCTCGTAGAACTCCAATCAGATCATTTGCAAGAGAGTCTTCATTTGTAATACTCGTTACTCTAAACAGAAACTGTCAAAACAAAACTATTTCACAAAATAAGATAATTCTTACTGATTATTATCAACAATCACTGGTTTTAAATGGACAAAAATTTTAGGGAAAATTCCAGATACTTGAGAATTGCTCGCTAATGATCCAAAATACCACTCTGCAACAATGAAAGTATGTTTTTAGTTTTCAATTATTCTATATTCATCATTTACCATCACATTCTTCTCTTACATGTACACCGTCGCCTAATAATAGAGATAATTGATCAGGTGATGAAGCAGTAAATGAGCATATTGCTTGAAAAACAAAATCAACGTATAAAAAAAGAATATTTCAATCAATAGAAATAATCTTACCAACTCCATAGTGAAAAATAGGATTGGCAAATTTATCTTTAAATTTTTCCCATGAACTCATCTACAAAGAAAGTTGTGTTAAGAATTTCAATTTGCCACAATTTTTTTCTCTCTCTCTAGAACATGTCTGTTAATAATGCTAAAACAAAACTTGAACGAAAATCGCAGATAACGTGAGTCTACAAAAAAAAATGAATAAAAATTATTTAATTTGATAGCAGTTCAAAAGGTAATATCGTGTCGAAATATCTATAATTAATCATATCCCACGGAAAAGAAAAAACAAATTAGTACTTTAATCAAACAAAATGTCACATGTATGTCATTGGTTACAATCAGCATTGTAAGGTGAAGTGAGGTGAAACTTAAAATATCGTATATTTGCCTACTCAAATATCCATTCTCATAATGGAACTTTTATTGATTCATAATGACTATTAATGCTTATATTCGATGTCATTTGTATTTTAAAGTATTGAAAACTTATAAATACTGTTACACATAAGTTGCCAATTATGGTGTTGTTATTCTTCTTTTTTACTTGCCATTTCTAACAAAGGAAAAAACAATTTTTTTGTTAAATAAGAATATGTTCAATAAAATGTTTTACTTTTTCTTGAGTCTTGTACTGATACTACAACTATTTACGTAATGCCATTGCTTTACAACAAGTGTCTATTAAGGTTCATTGCCAATCCAACATTTCATTTGTTTGAACATGAATTTCTTTTGTGTACATATTCAATGTAATTTGATACATCGCAACAGAAGAGTTAACTTGAGATGAAAATGATTTTTGTTATTTTAACAAATGAGATCAGACAGCATTCACCAAATGTGTTCATTTATACACCTTGAAACTTCGTTAAATTCAGCACTCATCAATATGAATCACTCGGATTAAGTTTTTCTGTTATCTTGCAAATAAATTTCATACTTTTTCGATTTTCTTAATCTAATGTAAAAAAAAAGAAGAAAAATGAAGCATATCAAATGTATTCTTTGCAATGATGATTTCTATGGCGAGTAATCCTATGAATCGATTAATCAAATACGTGAATGGATAATATTAAAAGTGACTTTTTCTACATGATCGAAAATAATTTATCACGCCAAGCATAAATTATGACTCATTTGTAAAGGAAACAGACGGTTTATATTTTCATACTGAATTTAATTTCATGTGCTGACTGGCAACAAAATAAAACGGAATTTACAGAAAAAGAAAAAGAAAAAGAAAAAATGAATATATCGCATGATTGTTTAGTCATAAACTGGTTTGAAATTTGAAGCCGTTGTAGCACCGATCACAAAGCCACCACGACGTGGTGTCATGTTTGCAGTATCCGGTGTTCCACTTGTGATAGAATCAGGGCGAGAAGTACGTGGAGTATGCATGGGATCATAAAGACTATTATTACTGCTATGCCGAAGTTGGTCGCGAAGCATTGATAATTGTTGATGACGTTCATCATGTTTGGATGTTGTTGTAAATGAGTCGGTCGTAGTTATAGGATATGTTGCTGGCTTTGTTGATACTCGATGTCCTATTCTTGATGATGCTAGTCGACGTGCTTCTTCAATTTCCTTTAGAAAAAAAAGCAATTATTCAGAGAATATTGAGTTTATAAATTTGATTGTTCTACCTGACGTTTGCGTGAAGCACGTTCTTGTTTCTCAACCAATTTAGCTTGTAGGTCAGGATCAGCAATGGACGGTTGTTTAGTAGTAGCAAGAAATTTCGGAACATGTTTTAATGGCGCTAGAGCACCTGGTTTCGGTGTAGTAATAATTTCAAATGTTTCACCGTAGCCTAAGCGAGATTTTTGATGATGTTCAATGAGTAAATTTTCAGATGGGACAGGAATTTTCGATGACATAGGCGGTTCTAAATTACAAAAGCATTGTTATTCTATTTCAGTGATTTAGAAAGTATTTTTAAAACTAACTTTTAATTGGTTCTGAATCTTCGATTCCGCTATCACTTGATCCATTTGATTTAGCTGACGGTAATTTCGGTTTGGATTGTGATTGAATTGCTGGTAGTGCTGACTTTTTGTTTAATGTTGGTGCTTGTACACGAGGCGTACTATTACTTGCTCCGCAACCCATGATGTCTTCGTTGTAATATAACAAATGTGAAAATGTCGATTGTTTTTGATCTTTTCTTTTCTCGCACTCCTAACTTTCAATTTAATTGTCATTCCATAACAACGGTAAATACAACAACACGCGACACACAACAACTGTTGCGCTGGATGTCAAGTAATAGTGTTTAAAAAAACTTAGTTTCTTTTTCTTTTCTTTGTTTCTCCATTCTGCTACTCAAGACAGCTGAGTTACTCTTGACGCTGTTGCTTCAGGTGAGTATTTCTAAGGTTTAACAAAAAAAAAAGAGGGAAAAGAGAAAAAGAAGGAAAGACACATCTAATTTTGATATATATATTTTTTTTTCTTCTAAACAAGCCATTTATATAAAACAAACATAACGATAAGAGTTACAAGCATTCCGCCAAATAAAACCCACCAGTCGCCTGCTGAACGCCGTTCAATTGAATGTATAACAGTTGATGATAGGCCAAGCATATTGCCCATCGAGATCATTTTCTTACGAATATTTTTTAGAGTCGATCCTTGAAATTGAAGACTTTCAAGAGTTACGCGTGCTTGCTCAAGATAGCTATCAACATGCGCATGAGTTGAATCAAGCCGTTGAGAATAATCTAGTGAATGATCAAGATTGATATGTGTTGCACCATTTGCAGTAACGGTCGATGGTGTAAATTTACGATGAAGTAATAATTCTCGTTGGCGTTCAGCTTCTTCGCGTTGTTGTTTTTTTGAAGTGATACTAGCGAAAGCAGCCTAAGAAAACGAACATGTTATTATATTAAATATGATGTACTACATAGAATCAAACTTGAAAATAATGATCAACTTATTGTTTACATTTTGTACTATTCATTCAATTCAACTTAATTCTCGTGACATCCATAACGAAAGAGACACCCTATGTGTTGTGTGACTTTGTTTAAATACTTAAATTTGGCATGCGTAATCTAGATAAAATAATTTTCTTTCTTTTTCGAACTTCTCTTATAAATAATACGTTTGTTTGCTTGAAATCTACTCATACTTATTATTTTTAATTCAAGTTTGTTTTTACTAATGTTTGAATTAAACACCCTGTTGCTTCCCCTGAGCTATGAAAAAGAACTTTTCACACGAGAGAAAAGTTCTGGCTTTTGACTGTTCGGCAGTGAGTAATTTTGCTTTGAAGTTAATTTTGTTTGGTTAATATCTTTCTGACAAGTGCTAGTAGGTATCAAAGTTACAAGAGTAATCGTTGCGTAGGAAGTACCAATGACTTTCATTACTATTGACCTATCGATAATTGACTATTATTATTCATAATGAAATGGAATCGGTTTTTGTTTCTCTGTGATTGGTTACAGAGAGACAAGCTCAGTAAAAAATGCCTAGTCACAATGAATCATTTGATTTATGTCATTCTTATAGAAGCATTGTTTCTTGAATATGATCTTATACTCGGAACTCTTTGTCTTCACTTTATTGAAAAATACAGTTATAATTAAGTTCCAATGGATATATTTTGTTTTCATATGGACAATTTTACACTTGACAAATCTGTAGACTCTATTATTTTTTTAGTTTCTAGCATCTACTCAATCATTGAACTGTGACGATTCGAGCCATGGCTCACTTGAAATCTTAACTATACAAAAAAGGAATAATCCTATTTACATGCATCCGTAACCTTCGATCTATGCTTCTTAATAAATTAAGTTTAATTCCATGATTCCTAATTTATATTTCGAATTATATTTAATAGTTCGCATATGCAAATCATAATTGTATGAATAATAATCAAATTGAAACTATCGTATAGACCATTAGTCAAACGTACTATTTAATTAACGTATAATCAAACGAAATGATATTTCTGGCATATGAAGTAGAAACTGCGTATAAATAAATAAACAAAAGTATCTATTTGACATTTTCAAACTTTTCTTTATGATCCTTATTGAAAATATCATTCGCTAAGGCAGAAAAAAATACATTTCATTTCTTCTTCTCGAGTTGCAAGGATCAACCGGTGACTCAGACAAATGTATTTTTAAAACAAATATCTCGTAAACTACTAAAATAGATTTTATAGCACTAGAACTATTTCGTAAAGATTAAAGTTATCGAGAACCCTAATGACTTACTTAGACAATAAATAATTATTCTCTTGACATTCGTAGTTGCTAAGCATTCAACGAAGAAATCTATTATTATTGCTTTATTTTTTCTCAAGGATATCTTGGGTTAATTCGAGATGTATAAAATAGAGAACGTACTTGATAATGTCTGATGTCATATTTGATTTCATTGAGACGTTGCCTTGATTGTGCTCGTCGTTGTACTGGTTCTTTATTCACGAGTATATCAAGTCGATCACACATTTCCGATAAACGTTGAAATTGATTATTAATATGATTAGTACAATTTGTGTCAGTTTCATGATCTTGTGAACTTTCGAATGCGAGTAAATCATTTTGAATTTCACGAATTACAACAGATGTTTGAGGGAAAAGGGAATCCATCGTTAATTTCTATTTTCAACGGAGATCTAAAATAAAGCTCTGTTTTTGTTTGATAAAAAAGGATCAAGTTTAATCGAATATTTCTGCATGCAACTTTTTATGGAATGAAAATTAAGGCTTTGCTAGTAAAGAGTGTTTTATGGGCATTGTTTCACACCAACACAGGAAAATATCGTTGGTATTAATTAGTAGATAAGGTGAAAACAATAAATTTCGACGCTGCGTCAACGTGTCACTATTAAAACTTAATTCGTACTTCATTCACAGCCAATAGTCGTTTACATATTTACCTCAACGAGAACAGATGGCGCTACATAGTGAATAGAAAAGAAAAAAATTACATGAATTGTTTTTCAAAGGAAAATATAAGTATGAAACAACGCTATAATATAAAAGAAAATGTCTTGTCACAAGTTTAAGGAGATAACGAGCGCACTTTTATAGTTCGTTTTTTTGGATGACATACAGTTGCAAGTGGTACAAGTTTTCTAGTCATTGGTATTCGATTCGACACAAGATATTGAGGTTCTGCTGAGTGATATAATGGAACTAATCGTACAGGTTTACGTCTTTCATAGATCGGAACTGATGATTGCCGTAGAACAGTTGAACGAGGTAAAATAATTCGTTCTCGTGGTTCGTTCGATACAACTAAACGATTAGAAATCGTTCGCACATTATGTTTTGGTACCAAATCAACTAATTGAACTTTTGATCGAGATAATCTATAAGTACTTCCATAGTCATCGTCATAAATCATTTCGGGATCATCGACAACATAGCGAATATCATTGCGAACATTCGTTAGAGTTATTGGTGGTGGAACAACTCGTGAAACGCAATCGTAACATGGATAATTACGGCATGAAATATCTCGTCTACAAGCATAGTCGTGACAATATGATGAACCACAACAATTTAGAGTAGGCATTGGCAAGGGTTCTGCAACATCGTATGGTGAACATACGTTGATTTCATGATGATGACATGATGCAGGCGATTGATGTGTACAAACATTATTGTACATTATCCCATGACGATACATTTTTTCTTTTGCTGAGACTTTCTTTTCATTCGATTAAAAGAAATTTACTGGACTCCTGTGGTGAATCTTATTTCGTTTTTTTTCTTGTTTTGTATACATACAATAATAATAAAAAGTTTTGTTATTGCGCATAGTTGTTGATAGATTTAATAATTCATTTGATATTTTAATCGAAAACTTCTTGCAATAAAACAAAATATTTTCCCGAAGTCAACTTTTTTACTGTAATCATTTATGACTTTATTTATAGACGAATGGATGAATTCTGCGATCAGACAGTCCTTTCACGTTGTTGAGTGAAAATATTTTATGAATAGGATTTTTATGGCATCAAAATCAAATCTCGATGTTCTTTTTTCAAGATATCTTAAGACTAATAAGTTAAAGATTGAAAATTCTATAGCAGTTTTGAAATAATTGAAAATAACTACCATAAATCGTATCCCTACAAATGCATCGGAGCATCGACATAATATAAGAAGTTAAATGTATTATTGCATTGTCGTAAATACTAATACTCATTCAGACACTGTTTTTGCAACCATAACATATCTGAAATACAGGAGATATTTCTTTTCATCTGCTAGTATAGAGATCGAGTTAAATTTCTGATAATGATCGTTAAGAGGAATACTTCGCCGTTGAATGAAATCTCTTGCAAGTACACGCTCTTTTTTTTCTAAAAAATTCTTAGAGAAATATCAATTTTTTTGTTCACTATGAAGTCAATACAAGTCGACCAAAAGACTTCGTATAACATCGAAAGTCGTTTCTTTTTTGGAAAATTGTAATTTTGAATTATTTTCACGATAGTTGACAATTAACCTGGCTCATTCATTTCGGAGCCAGGGCATATCAGTAATTGAATTCGAAAAAGAGAAATTATCACAGCTTGTTATTCGTGAGACAACAGAAACATTCACCAATGCATGCTATTTACTGCGACTTGCACTGAATCCACAAGATTGCTGTTTTCTCTCTCACTCAGGCAATGACCATATGTGGAAGGTGTACAGCTTTTGAAAGAATAGTAGGTCATTTTGACTCATATGACTCAGTAACAAAACTTTCTTGTAAAATTTATTACGAAAGATCTTTGCGCTACATACTAAACTAAATTATTTTCATTTTGCGATTATATTTCTAATGGATTTTGATTTGCTATCACCAATACATTCGGTGTTGATAAAAGGTTAGAGAAGTTTTTCTCAAATCTAAAGAGAAAAATAAAATTTTATTTTTCTTTCATTTATTTTAACTCGTGAAATTATTTTGAATTTAAAATATCAAAATTCAAAAGAAAAATGAATTTAAAATTATTTAAATGGTTAAGCATCATATGAATGGTTCATTTCAGACCAATTGTTGAACAACTAACGAGGGCATTTGTTCTTGAATTTCACTATGGCTCGTGAAATTTTTTCATTGGAAATTTGTTTTTAGTGAAATTATTTCTCATTCGACATGATCATATTTAACATTCACAATAAGAATCTCTTAGTAATAGTGAATAAGTTAAATAACTAAAACAACATCTGATATTATTGTTTTATTCGTTCGTTTTTTTCCTCTCTCTCTCTCTCTCTCTCTCTGTCTGCCTCGTCTGATTCACATATCTCCTTATTTGGTCATTATAAAATGGCCGGGTCTTCTCGTGTTGCATCGAAAATTAAACCGAAACAGCAGAAAGAACAAAAAAAAAATCATGAGTAATATGCTTGTTCTCTTGAGTCTTGTTTTTCTACTCGCTATCAGCCCTATAATTCAACAAACAAGTGAGTATAAAAATAGGCAGATTGTGACAAGTATTTCTCTTCATTTATTCGGTTTTTTTTCTTCGTGTTCGTGGTGGTTGCCTTATCTCATCGGTGTTTTTCTTGTTTATTTTTGATCGTTGTAACCAACGTCCGTTCACCGTCCTACAAGTCCATTGACACTTACATTTTTTGTTGTTCACTATCAGTCAATACTATATACAACATGTCTGGATCGGTAAGTGATCGTTCCTCTTTTTTTTTTGTTCAAGTTCCTTCGTCCTTTGCTAGAATGTCTATTTACATAAGAGAAAATATCTACACATAGTTTATTCAGTATGTGTGCGGATTACGCCCCGTTACTGATGACGAATGATAATTGTTGTTAGCTTCTACGTGTATACGAAACATGAGACAAGAAAGATGTATGCACGTATAGTCATCTCGGCCGTGATTCATTCATACAAACACAGTAATGCAATATATGGAAATGTTATTGTGTGCACACTGAAAGAGGAGAAACGATCGACAGAAGAGAAAAGAGGAAAGAAAAGTCAGGAGAAAAGATCCGAAATAACTTATCGTCATCAGTTGCAGAATTTTTATTTCGTTTTTTTTTTCTCCTTTTCGTCTTCGAGTAAAATAGACACATACGTATAGCTAGCTAAACATCATCTACTTTTATCTCTGTGATCATCATTAATAATGGTAAGAAAACACACACGGAAGATTTCTTAGTATAGAAATTTTATTTTATTTTTCTATTGAAATCGATTTCAATATATTTAATAATTTCTTTTTTTTTTCAAGGCATCTGGTGTTAAAGTTGATAACACTGTCATTGAAAAATTTCACGACTTTAAAATAAAGAAAAACACTGGCTATCTTGTACTTGGATTCAGTGATGATATATCGAAAATAGTTGTATTAAATGAAGGTATTAACAAAGTACCACAAAACGCACCTGCGGCTGAAAAAAGTAATATATATATATATTTTTTTTAAATTTGAAATCCTTTATTTTATTAAACTATTTAGATCAAAAATGGGCTGACATGCTTGATGCATTACCGGCTAATGATGTCCGATATGCAATCATCGATATCTTCTATGATACAAATGAAGGTTCACGCACAGAAATCTTTTTCATTGCATGGTAAAATTTTAAGAAAAAAAATTTCTATTTTGTCATTGAATTAAATTTTGTTTACTTAAATCAAGGGCACCAGATACAGCTGCTATCAAACGTAAAATGTTATGCGCATCAAGCAAAGATGCTTTAAAAAATGCCCTTCAAGGTATTCGCAACCATATTCAAGCAACATGCAAGGCTGATCTTGATTTGGATGCAATAATTAGTGAAAAAACTAAATCAAAATAGAAATCGATATTCACTCATAAACATTCTTAATCCAACGTTCATTTCTTCGCTTCTACTTTCTTTTTTTTGTGTATTTTGATCACCGTTTAAAAGACGCGATATAAAAAAAATTAACAAAACATTTGTGTGGCTATTCTTATTCATTCCTTTTTCTTTCTTCTTTTTTTTTTCGTTATTATCTGGTCGATCGTCTTGTTGTTCTTCATCATTTTTTTTAACAAAATATTACATCATCAAACATACATATAATATATACATATATGACTTTCTTTTAATGTGAATGATTAAACAAGAAGTTTGTTACTTGCCTTTGTGCAATGCGCTTTTTTTCTTCTTCGCTTACTTTACTTCATGTTTCTCTTTTTCTCGTTCATATTCATCGAATGTAACTTTTTATGTGGTAATAAGACACAAAGACACAATTGTTTTTTTGTCATTTACAAGAATGGATTAATGGATGTATAGACGACATATAAGTGTGAATATGCAAAGAATACACGATGCTATAAAATTCATTTGGCCATCCGCTCTTTTATTTGTTCGAACATATGTCAGATGCATTTATCATGGTTCGATGAGATTAAAAAATTTGTTTTCTTGTCTGATTACCACTATCATGAGCACGATAGTCGCACTGGCGAAAGAGACTTTCAATTACATAGAAGAATGTGTATGCTAATATTAGCATAGAGAGAAAAAAAGCAATGAATATATATATATATATATATATTGAGTTTTTAATGTTTAAGATTACTGTTGAAAACACTGGTCAAACAAATATTAATGATACTTTCGACTTTTTGCAGCCAAGCACTGTTTTTTTTTTGTATATAAGAGATTATTTTATGTTTTAATAGTCATTATAAAAATAAGTTTGAATTCTTCGTCACGATAATGAACATTTATAGAACGATTATAGAACATGAAACACGAACTGCATAGATTATCGATTGATCAGCAAATGTTTACTTTTTCGCATTACTTCATCATTGAAAAGCATAAATTTTAAATCGAAAATGTAGTAAAAGATTGTTCTTTCTGTACCGGTTAAATAGCAGTGGCTATGCATTCGAAAGCTTAACAAAATTTCAGTAAATACAAATAGTTTTTTTCCAGTACCTAAGATTTTCTCGTATCAAATGAAATCTCAAGGTACAAAATTTGCTATAAACATTAAGCTCTCGGCAATTCTTCTTTCTCAGTACAAAAAACATGATCATAGTACGCCTTGCCGATTTATCAAAAAAAGACTTCTATTCTAATTACAGTTCGTAAGCAGAAATCCAAGTTTTGATATCACCCCTGATTTTTTAAATATATAAGTGAAAAATAGGTACACTTCAATCCAGTGACGTAACAAAGATAGAGTTTTAAGTGGGTTCGGTCTCCTGATTATGTCTATAGATAAGCATGAAGCTCTTTTTTAAAGTACCACTCAATCGTTTACTGCGGAAGTGACAGCGCTCTCGAGTCTTCTTAAAACTGGTTATGCAAGTGCTTTTTTTAGATTAAACAAATAGAAATCTAATCTTTACAATGAAATTCGATTACCTGTTCAATTTTTATTTTGAATTGTAGGCAGCACGTGTGAGTTGAGATATAAACATTAATTTTTCCTTAAATAAAATATTTTATTGGTTATGAGAATTCTATCAAAAAGGAAAATTTGTTAAAAAACAAACAAATAGGAAACCATAACTTGTACAGATGCACAATATTTTGGATTTCAGATGAAAACAAACACACACAGAGATACACACACGCACGCACACACCGGGCTGCCAGCGCCAGACAAATTTCTTTCAAACTCTTAGATGATAAAAGGATAGAATTATAATCCACATGAAGTTAGTTAATAAATTATGATTTGTCAATCTGAGTGCGTATGAACATTTTGAAAATAAGGTTTTGTTTTCTCCTTCATGTACAAAAAAACATTTTTGTGGTCTTTCACGATAGGGTGTTGTTTTTAAACGTGTGCACCATTCTTCTGGTGTAAATTCAACTGGTTTACGTTTTATGATTAATTTTGGACATAATTGTGATGTTTCTTTTGGATGATTGACATAAACCATCATTAAATTACTTTTAGGAATTTTTGATATTGAATAACTGTAAGAGAAAAAAAGATTTAATATTTTGTAAAATCATTTCATAGATTTAACATAGAAGTTATTTAAATTAATAAACCGCTTTTCAGTCGTGATTATATCGATCTAACTGCGAAACTTGATTTTTAGAGTATTTCTCTAAACGAATGGTGTAGCTCTATACTGAAGAAGTTTGTTCAATTCTAGTAATTTCGACTTGGAAGCGATTGATCAATTCGAAGATTCGTCTCTTTCAATAGTTCTCCATTACCTAAATGATTCAGCAACAGGTGGAGTTGGAGATGGTGGAATCGTTGTTGAATAATTTGTTCCATTCGAATTATTTCCATAAAAATCATCGAAATTTTCTGTTTCTTTCACAACATGTGTGCAACTGATTGTACCATGCACGGAATTATCACGTTCGACTTGTTCCCATGTTACAGAATTATCTGTTGATGGCAATGGCCCTAGCCAACCTTTCCAAGTTGAAACGTAAAGATTAAATTCTTCGATACATGATTCAGGTACTCGTTCAATTGAGTCATCATCTTTTGATCCATTATGATATCCTTTATAATCTAATATCGGACGACGAAAGTCGATATATGTTAAGAGAATATTACTGAGGCTTTCACGAATATGAGTTTTCTGTGGTGGTGCTTCGACTGTTGTATTTATATTAGCGAGATTAGCTTTTTTAGCTGCATAAGTCCATTGTGGCCAAATAACAATATCGCGAACCAAAAACCTTCAAGAGCAAAAAATGATTTCATTGATTTAAATAGATAAATTTCATACATTGCAATATGATTAATAATATTCCATATCATCATGGAAGCTGTTTGAAGAATCTAAAGACAAATAAAAAGGAAACATATAGTTTTATGTAAGTTCAGTTATATAAATTTCTTCTTATATACGTACGCCATGAAAGAGACCACTAGCACTCTTCTCGTATCGTAATTTACGTTGTAAACAGACACCTTGAAAATCAACCATTTTCAGTCTAAAGAAATAAATGTAGTTTGCTTGCAGGGAAATATCTTGATACAAGATGAATGAGATCAAGGTTTTCTTTTTTTTTTTGTCTCGGCCATTGTGACCAAAGTAGATCAACTTCGATCCCTATTCCAGATGTAACATCCGATACTAATGATAAGAGGAAGAGAACATACGTATGTAACGGATCCTACAAAAAGATTCTTAACGCTTCAACGAAATAAAACTTTGTGTCTAGAACGACAGATCTTGACTCAAATTCATGTATGAAAATACTCAAGATAGAATCAACAGAAGGGAAAATATTTGATCCTTAAGTTTAACAGATGTTGATCAATCAAATGCTTGCTTATAATTACAACAACAAACTGAATAAGGGTCTTGATCAATAGGACAAATGAAAGGTTGTAATATGTGTCTTGTAACGAAAAAGATCAGTCTTATGCATGACTAATCAAGATAAACAAACAACATCCTTAACAAAATTGAACCATTAGTGAAACTAACAGTCCGTGAAATTGAACCGAAAAGATACTATTTCCTAATGAGATTAGGTTACGCTAGTTATTTCATATGCAGTTGCTAAAACAGATTTAGTGTTGACTCTATTTCGTATCAAGAAATTCGAATTTCGAATAAGTATTTAATAGAAACATGATGTTGGTAATATTTTCGAATACTAGATTTTTTCTATATCAAGAATTCGAGTAGAAAATGCTGTGTAACTTACTCTGAGAAAATCTTTTTCGCCACTAAATCTTGCATTAGTGGACCTTCGAATTCACCTATGAATTTTCCAATATCCTCCTAAGAAATAATCAATTGATTGAAACTTTCTGTAGAAATACTCCATCTATTACCGTTCTATCAGTTCCTTCTGGCTGACTAATAAACATAATATAACCATTTTCATCAATAATATAACAAATTCCTGTATCCATTTTTGCCTAAAAGAAACAAAAATAAAATATATTTTCGAAAATAAAATGCTTCTTCAACTACGTACACAGAGATTAGAAAAATGTCTTGATCTCACTGTTTTATATGGCAACACAACTCCAAAGACTCCAAATGGAACATTTCCTGAACCACTTGAAATTTTCTTTTGCGGTCTCTGCGATGTTTTATTCATCCAAATGGCCGTTGTAATAACTAAATACATTTGTGATTTTGTTGTCGTCGTTGTTGTTGTACCGCCATTTCCTACTATTAAAAACAAAGGCGTTCTAGAACTAAGCGTCACTAGTTTTTGTTTCAGAATCAAAACTAAATACAATATCTACTAGCAATAACTAAAAATCATAAAAACAAATACCTGGCTCATCTGTGAAGTTATACTGATTCGTATCTATGTAAGAGATTTAGATTGTTCAGGTGAAAGAATTTCAATAGGAAAAAGAATTCCGTTTAAGAACACTACAAGAAACTTTCACATACGTGTATTGGACACCGGTACATTTGATATGCCATAAAAAAGTGAATAAATATGATGATCACCATCGATATGATCAGCGCCATACATATAAGTTGCATTAATTGTTCTTTCGTAATAACTAGATTCAATTGAATTTGGATTTGCATCACCAAATTGCCTAAAACAAAAATCTTTAAATAGTTTATGTTAAACGTTAAGATTTCTTCTTACCGCATATGTTCTTCATTAGCTAGATTATACAATTGCCAATAGGCAGTTATACCTGAACGTGTCGCTAAAAATATCCAATGTAAATGATTTTCATGTTGAAATTCTTTGAAATGCGCATGTGCCGGATCGTCCAATGGACTTGGATTTTCACTGCCAGTTACACCAGTTTTAGTCCAATTTTCAAATTTACTCATTATATATAATTCTTCAATCATCATATTAATTAGTTGTTTGCTTGCTTCATAGGGACCTAAAAGAAATTTATTCTCAAGTTTTTGAATGATCAAGAGAATCAGAAGAGCTTTGAAAGACTCGAGAGTAGCATCTGAATCGATTTAAATGCACTTCATAAAGTATAAGATTGTCGCGAAATATATTCGACACAAACCAATTGACAGTATTCTTCCAAAGAATGTTCACAATTCGAAAGTGTCACTACGTATGGTAGAAAAAAAGAAAATGAATGAAAAATCACATGAGATCTATTTAGTTGAGCTCTCGGTGCCAAAATTCATTGTGAAATTATTCGCAACTTTGATATGATGTGAATACATAATAATCGTCGGCTACTCGGGAATTTCAAAATTCTTTCGGCTCTTTTAATCAAACGAACGATATAGAAAGATTTCAGTTCATTTATTCGCAAAAGTACATACACGATTTGATTCGTTTAGTTTGAATTTTTTCTTTAAGATAACCACGAAATGATTCTTCAGTATCGCCAATATTATCTTCAGCTGTTGAATTACAATAGATCCAATCAGCAATACGAACATTTCGTTGTAGAATGAAACGAAGAGCTAAACATGAAGAAATTGATTATTGTGCACATAGAAATTTCCTTATCAAACCTATTTCAACTTTGTCAGTTTGAGGATCTGTTGTTCGAATGTCAAATTCACCATAAGGAAAACGAACAGCAATACCCAAACTAAATAAATAATAAAATAGAGAAAAATAGTTTGTTGTTAAATTAATTTCATACCTAAACGGATTTGATTCCTTATCTCCTAATGTTGCATAAAAATATCGTTGTTCAACTGCTTCTATTCTTCTCTAGAAACCAACAGAAAATAAAATAATCTATTTATGTTAACAATTATTTTATCAACCATATCATCGAAATGCTTTTTGACTCGAGCTGATTCGTGATATTCATTTGATTGTATCATATCTTTACGAATCTATAAATATACACGTGAAAAATAATTACAAATTTCAATACGATTCAATTGATTTTACTTGTTGAATTTTGCTGAGTGGTAAAGGCTAGTAGAAAGAAAGGAGACGCCTTTTTACAATCGATTTAAACAAATTTTCAAAAGCTTACATGTACAAAATGCATTAAATTATCAGGAATTTCAACCATATCCAAATCAATTGAATGATAATTTTGTTTACGATATGGACCCAACTATAAAAAAAAGAGAAGAAGTGATTGTAAAATAAATAATCAGAGACTAGTAAGGTTAGTCATTTGGAGTGTGAAATATTAGAATAGTAATATGTATATCTAGTCTAACTATTTTTAGTAGCCATTAGAAAGTGAAAAACAAACATCGGAAGTAATTTCCGGAGTATTCAAGCAACGGTCTTTACATTCATTGTAGTTTGATGTATTCTTTTTTTTGTATCTGTCAGATCGATATGAGATATTAATTAGGCAGCAAAATATTTCTAAAGATATAAAGTAATAAAATTTTATGAATCGAAATTCAACAGATTCATATTGTTTTTTTTTCCTTTTGATATAATTATTCTTACGACAATCCGATAATTATAATTCTCATCTGACATTGAATTCAATGCTGACTGACAACGAATATCAATAGTAGAAATAAATCCATAGAGGCAAACAGAAACCTTGATAATATGATAATGGATCTAGAGCAGTTGCCAGCGAAGGATGTGGGTGTAAACTTTCTTGTTACTCATACTGTAATCAACCATGAGATGAATATAAATTAGAGTATTCTGATGTCTGGAACATTTTTTGTTTTGTTTTTCCGATTGTTTCAGACCTCAATAGCTTTTGTAGATCCATCAACACGACTTTCATTGCTGAAAATCAGTTGCTATTTGCAAAGAGATTCTTTTAGTATGTGCCATTTATATAGAGTCACGAAATGAATTTTAATAGCAATCATCAGTTAAAATCCAAATAATAATAAAAAAAATCGCAAAACTCAACTGGGATCTCTTGCTAATGTTTTTCGAAATCGAATTCTTTAAAATAGCAACAGCAAACACTTTTAAGATCTGAAATATCGACTGTCATGTTTTCTAAAGCAAACCCCCATCAAAAGTAAGTCATTTTTTTGGATGTATTTCGTTGAGTAGGACTTGTCATTGTGTTAAACTAACGAGTTTATGATGATGATTATTTTCTCGTAAGGTACATTGTGCGTGACAATGAGTAGAATATACATACCACAGGTCGTAAATCCGGATGAAACATTAAATAACCATTATGATTAATCATAAATGAATAAGCGTGAACACCAAGCTATAATTGAACTGTTTGTTTTTGAAACATATTTCAAACACAATCAGACATACCCGATATTTGGGTGAAAATTCTTGTAAGAGTTTGACTGGAATATCAACGCCAACAGCACCCAATAGAATATTTTCATCTTGTTTCTAAAAAACAGAAAATTAAATCAGCCACATTTCAAAATTCATATCCTGATATTTAATTGAACATACGTCTTGCGGTGGATTAAGTACAGGCTGAGCAATTGAAATCATCAAATGAACAGGCTTTAAAATAAGAAAATGTTTTCCTATTGACTCAGAAAATATCGTCTTACTTTTGATTTATTTTTAAATTCATCCATCGACATGGACAAATCAGATAATTTAAATGGGAACCATTTATATGTTTTTATTGGTAACGTTCGTTCAACGTCAAGAAAAACACTACTCCATACAGTTACATGATCATTATACATGGCTATTGGACGTGCTGTTACAGGGATATAATCTTCAACGTTCTCTTGAATATCTTCCAATGTTGATACATGTGCATAATAACCTGGAGAGAAAAGAAAGATTTTAAAATTTTTTCCGTTCGACTTAAAAGTTGTTATAATTCTTTTAAAATCGATCTTTTATCAACTAGAGTTTGTTGTTTACAATCCTCGACGAATTATTTCCTTTTTTTAAGCTTGACATGTACGAAGGAATTGAATGGCGATATGGGAATAGAATGACTTGAACATTTTGCCTAAAAACAATGTTTCCTTCACAAAATATTGAATTTCTGAAAACAACAAGAGATTCTCAAATCAGCCATGGAATAAGATTTATTTTTTGGAAATTCAATATCTGCCGAAGAAAACATTCTTTTGAGCTTAAATTTTCAGAATATTTTAATATTCTATTTTTATCAAAATAATCCGAATTTCGGGTTAGAAAAATTTCTTCATTAACTTTAAAATATCTAAATCGAACATTTATGAATCGTGGAAGTTTACTGACTGAATGCTCGCAGCAACGATTAACAACACGAAGGGAAGCAAAACACGTCAATTCAAACATTATTATTAGCATTCATTAGAGATTGTTTTTAAATGATTCCTAATAGCTTCCGATGGCCTCCGGAAACTTCCAACCATTTACTAGTTACATTTCATATTGCTAATGTGCTACAGTGATATCAACTGATCTTAATAAGCACTAGAAATCTGCTTGTTCACGCTTAGTTTGCCTCTAGAGTATTCGCAAAGCTCTTAATGATGCCTTGCTGACTCTGGTATGAAACAAAAAAGTCAATCATTTGACTATCATCGTTTTCTTTCGTAGAGAACAAAAAAAGACAAGTCCATCAAATAATCATACCTTTATTGGCGCATGACATCCATTTAATATGTTTTGGATCTCCTAATTCTCTTCCAATCATATATGTAAATACTCTTGTCTACAGAAAGAAAAATAAATAAAAACAAATAACGATATTTTTTTTCGAATATATTTACTTCGATCGGGTGACATGTTGAGACATTATTTGGATACCAATTACGACTTTGAAAAACGTTCAACGCTGTTTCCGTTGCTCCATCAGTAACGATCATTATCATTTTATTGCAACCAGTGCTATCTAAAAATATCGGTTCTTCTCTTGCATGATGTTTTCCTATAAAACAGAAAAATATGCAAGAAACTTATTTTCATTTTATTTTCATGCTATTCAAACCGTGTAGATCTGACGGACAAAATGCATCTCGTTGCGTTTCAGTTTGATTGTCAGTTTGCAGATAATGGCATTGACATATGAGTTTGGCATTTTCGGTACGAGCGATTTTCATGCGCGCATTGTCTAATAAATCAAACGCCATATTGAGTGCTCGAGTAAAATTTGCAATATCTTTTGTTTCAATGCCAGTATTGACTGATGTGCGAAATTTCTACACACAATAAAAAAAACAAAAAACATAATGACCATGAAAATAAAATTTCTTTTATACATGTCGATTTTCAACTGTCGCTTGAACAAGTCCACTTTGGAAGCAATCATCAATAAATGCTGCATTTTCTTGAAACTAAAAATCAAAAAAGAAAACTAAATGATAGTCCTTTTTCAATGAAATGAAGTTGAAAGGACACCATTGTTTTTCTGCCTTTAAATAACATTTCAGTTGCTGTTATCTATTGCGAAGAACGTCGAGGCGACGCCGTAGGGCATTCGGAGATTTTACTAAATGATGCCCGTACAATCCATGATTTCACTCACACTATCGTTTGAGAAATAAAACGGTTAGTAGTTTCTTGAAATATCTCTAAGACTCATCGGTGACTTCATTCTAACAGGAACCACAGAAAAACAAGTCTATTCTCCATTTCATCATCATTTATGTTACCTTAATTATTTGAACAAAATCATCATCCGATAAGGTATCCAATATCGTTTCAACGGTTTGTACTGCAATCGATTTTTTTAATCCAGTCATTGAACCGCTCGCATCAATTAAAATAATAACATCACGTGGAGATGATGTTGCTCGAATATACCAATTTTGCACACGACAATCGAATAAATCTAATTTATCCGAATCGCCTTCGGGATAATCCCACATATGACCTGGCCATACACGATAAAGGCCTGTTTGACTGCAAAAATATTGCCACGTTAATTCAGGATCATGATTATAATTATCAATAAATGCTTGATTAAGATTATACGACCAGTTAGCAGTTAAGAGAATTTCTTGATCTAAAATCAATCCATTAAATTTGAATAATTTGTTTGTTTTTTTCAACTTACTTAATGAATAAATAATTGTTGGTACATGAACTGTACTATGTGTTATATTAACAAAGGCACCACCGAAATGTTTTTTTGATTGAATAAATAATTTCTTTTTTAATACACTAAAAATTGAAAAAAGAAAAAAACTGTTGATTTTGAAAAACAAACAGTCTCACTCTTCTTCAGTGTCAGAGTCAGTTGACGCTTCACTTGTAGCTTTTGTATATGATAATGGTGTTGTTGTTCCACCAGTTACAGATCTATCAACATTGTCATTATTTAATCCGTCAATCGTTGTTCTAAGTGAAGAATCTTCATATGTACTATTTATTGTTACATTATGAACATCTTTGGAACTTAAATAACCATGTTGCTGAAAAATAAGAATAAAAATTTTATCTATTTTCTGAAGATACTAACAAATAAAACTAACCAGCATATATTGCGCAGTAGCATTGCGAGTTTTTTCATCGGTTTCAGCAAATCGACGATATGATTGTTCAGTTATAGTGACTAAAGTTCGAATAGCTTCTAATTTTTTCATAATAGCACGGTTTGTATAATTAGCCATTTCTCTAACAAGCTGAGTTAAATTACGTTTGTCAATAAGAAATGTGTCTAATGATTGCATATATATTTTACGCATAACGCGATCTGTACTGCGTAATGATATTGATTGAAAGTGTTCCGTTAGAAGAACTAATTGATCACGAATATATTGAGTTGTTTTTGCCGTAAGTGGCGAGGCTCTATTAAAACAAAGCGGAAGAAAGTAGATGAACGTTTCTTTTTTATTTTCAACAGAATTTTAAAAAAAAACAATTTATTTACGTTGAAGATACAGCTGACAAATTCGTGAAGTATACATTTGGAATATCCCGAAAAGCTGATCCTTGAGCTCGTCCATATTTAATGTGAATAGATAAGAATAAAATACAAATAATCCACCTATAAATCATCATAATAACGATGAAACTAGCGGCATTGATCGGCAAGATTTTAATATATAACTATCTGTGTGAATTCGCACACTGTTGTCACATATTGCTCAATGAGAAGGCTTGCGCGTGTTCGCGATTGTCTTTCTCTTCTCGTTCTTCCTACTAGAGTAGTCTATATGGGCATTATTATAAGAAAAATTTCTCCGACCTTACTGTTGCTTCGTTTTCTTTCTTTCTTTCCTTTGCTCTTTCTTCGTGTTCTGTGCTTTTAACGTCCACAAATAGTGTGTGCTTGCCCTTCCATCTCAGTTCTTTTTACTTGCTCTTCCGTCTTTTCCCACATTTTTCTTTATCCCGATCGTCCCAAAGACTTCGTATTTTTTTTTCTTGCTTCTTTTTTTCTTATTACATCAATAACGAGGTTCTATCCTCTGTCATGCAACAGAGCCAACAATCGCAGAAGAAGAAGAAGAAGAACAAAATAAGAGAGTAGCTGTCGCTGTTGTTAACATTATCATTGTACGCATTTATATCGATCGCTTTTATTTCGTTTGATGTAACAAAAAGCATTAACAGCTGTAATAATGATACTAACCGGAATAGATTAAGATAGCAAAAGACAGAAAAGAAATCATTTATTAATTTGTTACAAAAAAACAAGAGTTGAATCATTTATTTTCGCAACAATTTTCCGTCATTTTTTTAATCTGCTTCGGAATGTCATTCGATGGGTTCATATCAAAAAATCCATTGGGCTTAAGAGAAAAGCCTGCAACAGTAGCAGGCATAACAGGATAATCTTCCTGTCTCGGTATATGTGTAACACCTAATGTATACCAAAGTACAATATCTGTATCAACAATTGGACGATTTTGTTCAGTATATTTCAATAAACCATCATCACCTTGACTTTGATTCGGATAGTTTCCTCCTCCGAACATTTCCTTTTCGTTATATGGTGTTATCCATACATGATAATCAACAAAACTAGCTCGTTTACGCCACCATGCATTGGATGAAGCAAACGGTATACAGTTTTCTCCTGGATGTAATTTATAACCAGTTGGTTCACCAAGACTATTGAGAACAGAACTATTTTCGAATTTCCACGATCGCCCTTTTTCTAAAGATAAATGGCTGCGTGCTTGTTTTTCTGTTTCAAGACAAATTTTTTTTGCTTGAAACGCATTATGATACGGATTATGTTCAACGTCATCTGGATCAGCTTCAATATCAATCATATAGGCTGTATTCTTGCTACCATCAATAGCTAAATCAAGACGCATATTAAAGAAATGTTGATGATTGGGCGCATATAATTGAGGAGCAATCAATGGACCATATGGAGATTTAATATTAGGTGGTAATGTTCCTAATGAAAGAATGCCAGTTAATTTAATTTCAAAATGAATGCTAGCATCTTGATATAAATACCTAGAAATAAAGTTATTTCATTAAAAAAAATAGAATTTAAAAAATAAATATTTACCAATAAAAACCATATTCATAATTCTCAATTGTTGCTATACTTGAAATAACGAGTCGTCGACTACGTCGAACCTATTTTAAAAAACTTCAACGTCATTTTCTAAAATAGATGACTTTTTGTTCTGCCTATTACTTCAGGTTTTTTGAATCGTCGATCGGTATGCTTCCATAAAATGCTATAATCTTCTTCGTGAAGACAAATTGCATTTTTGATAACTAATAATTCACCTCGACTTGCAAAAATATTACCATCGAAATATTTTATATGACCGAGACAATCACAACCAAGTTCAAGACTATTTGTGCAAGAACCAATTCCATATTCACCACAATCAAAAGCATTCTTTCGTGCTTGCTGTTCAGCTGGATCACCATAAGGTACAACCATTTCACTTAGAGCTGCTCGATACAATACTGATCGATTGTCATATGTAATATTATGAAGAACTAAGCCTTGCCGTATTGTAAAACCAATAACAAAGAACCATTTTTGCCATGATACTTGATTACCATTGACTTGAAAACTTGGACCCTCAGGTTGAATAATTTCTAATGGTCGAATATCTTGACGAGTATCAGTTACTCTATCTGATGAGTAATTACAATTGAGCGGAGGTAGAGGATAATGTTTATATTGATCAATGCGTATAACTTCCACTAGAAAGAAAAGCAAATATATTTTTTTGTTCGAAAATTTGCCTTTATTTTCTCTTGCTTAAATTAAGATCCACAACTGGTCGTAAACCTTCAATGGGATGTGCATATCCATTGTCTGTTGGATCTGATCGGACAAAACATAGAGGTCTTGCCAATCGACGTGTACGTTCTTCTTCTTTTCCATAATAACCAGCTGACCATATATCAACCATAACTAGATTGATATCATTGACGCCATAATGTTCACGAACTAATCCTTGAAATTCAACAGACCGAAGTACAGCTTGTTCACATTCAACTTGCTCGTCAGCAGTCATTGTTGGTTGTACACCAGGAATATGTTCAAATGATAGAATACTGCCTTCGCCTTCAAGTGAAACGGACGCTTCATAACATGAATTTGTTCCGTTATCGAAAAGAACAACATCAGCTTCACGTGAAAGTAATTCATTTGTTGGATTGAGTATCTTTTCTTTTGGTGGTTCTCGTAGACTAATGGATACAAATCGTGTAGTCGGAGTTACTTTATCATTCCCTGCTTTCAATAATTTTATTACACGTTCCAATTCCACAGGTGATAAAGGTTCTAACGGGTGGCGTGCCTCCATATTTAATAGTTAGACAAATTTTGACGATGTCGTAACGTTAACAAAATGCAGGTAAATCTTATATTCGAACGCTGCAATCTACATGATGTAACCAAAGATAAAATTGTGAAGGGTAGAGATTAGATGGTCAGATTAAAGTTTTTGCAGTTAACGTGTGGCCACGAAGGGAAGAATATTAAAATGCAGGTTATATTCTTCGACTTGAAATGTCAAATACTTTATCTACCCCCTGATGTAGGCAATTCTTTTCATTGTTTCTGCAATGATTAAGTGAATGACCTATTCGTTTCATTTCATTAATCTAGTAATTAGAAACACAGTTGCCCAGAAAAAAGGCATCGCTGAAAACTTTTTAATGAAAAAGAACATCTATTTAGTTTTCTGAAAATGATTATTAGCGTCATTTTTTTGCGAAATCTTTTTCTTCGAATAATTCTGAATGCATTAAAACGTTTGCTAAATATTCTATTACAACGCTATTTAAGTCCACCTGGTAGATATTTAAAAATATCTTTAAATGCTCTAAAAAAGAAGGTATACAGGCAAGTATATTTTGTTCTGACGTGAGCAAATAAATCTGCACGTTCAAGATAAGATTTTCATTATCTAATATTTGTATACTTGTTATACTATGACATTAAATAAAAAGATTTTTACAAAACAAAATTTGTAGAGTTACTTCTATTAACGTTGCGCTGCGAAAATCTATCGAAGATAAAAAAATGTGTAAACTTCGGATTTCATCCGAGAGTTATGTGTACTGCAAAAAGTACATGGGACATATGAGTCATTCTAGAATGTCTGAACACGAAAATTATCATGAGAAACTAGGCAATTTGATTTCTGGATGCAGTTTTTGTGCATTTTGAGACGTTTTTCAGGCGATGTTTCGTTAGAGAGCTACGATTTAGTTCAAAACTAATATCAGATTTAGAATCAGCGTTAAAAACTGAGTCGATATATATATGTTGTGGATAATTCTGAGAAAAAGAAGTTATTTTTGAAAAATCCCTGTACCCCTCCTCAGAGATGGTCTGATCAAAAATGACAATTTTTTTCGATAACTCAGCCATTTCTTCACAGATCCTTCTCATCTTCGAACTCCACCTAGATATTGATGAGACAATTCTGTGCACAAAATCTCAGCTCAATCGAATGTAATTGTGAAGAGTTATCGAATAAACGGACGGACGGACGGTCGGACACACTGACCGATTCTATAGTGTACTCTTTTTTTTTTGAGTACACAAAAACGATTAGATAGAGGACTATAGACATTTCGTAAGTGCTTATGACTTTCTGGACAACCTGCTTCTGGTGTGCATAAATGATCTGATCTTACGCTATCAAGGATTACAACAAAGCGTAACTCCATCCACACTAAGATTCCTATCAGTTATTTACAACAATTTTGCAAGTCGAAACTTAGTTGCCGATGCGTTCGATGTTAGCAAGAACATTGTCAGTTAGCTGTGACTCAATGATCATTGACTTGTCATCTACAGCCGTTCTCTCGTTCTCCGTTCTGTACTATTGTATCTTCTCTGTTCTACTTCTCTACTGTGTTACATTTGGGATACGCCTAAACTATTTGTGGCTTTTTTCTTTTCCGTTCTTCATCGGTAATGTCTGCCTTTCTTTTACGGAGAAATAAGTTATATATAGACACAATGCTATACTACGCATGCTAGTAAAGGACAACATTTCACAGGCATGTTTCTAGTTGATGTTAATAACTACTAAAAACATTGACCAAAATCATAGAAAAATTCGCATAATCAATAAAAAGGTGAGTTATAGCGTCGCACCCATTATCTTTCATTACATTTCATTTCAATCCATTCTTAATAGATTAAGAATTCGTTGCGAATCGACTAAAGGTTACTGTAGCTATTATATATTTATAAGTACATATGTGGTCTTACAGTTCTATCATAACATTTATATTACCACTATTTAAAGTTCAGACAAACACTTTAAAACATTTCTGATCTTTTGGCTTCTTATCTCTCTACTTCTCATGCTATTTAAATAAACTGTATGCTTGGTTCAAAGTATTCTTTATAATAGTTACAAATTTATGAACAAAAACGCAGATTAGCTGAATTTTATACTCCACTGTATGATATTGCGTCTAATAATTATTTTTCTTTCAAAACATTTCTGTCGATGCGAATTATCATTTTCACAACAGGACTCTGATATGTTATTATTTTTTCTTACAAAACTGAGAGTCATAACAACTCTTAACTGACGATCTAAAAACCTAATAAGATATTCCAGTTGAATTCCGTTCAGTTTTCAAAGGCTCAATTTTTATAATTGTATTCTTGCACCTCTGTAGTTACACTTGAGACACTGGTTTCGTCCAATAATACGACTGACTAGTGTACTGCGTGATTGATATTTTTACTCACGATCACGATCACGATCACGAAAAATATATGCAATCATGCACGATCACGATCACGCGTGATTCACGCGTGATCGTGATCATGTAGTGCCCTAATTCAGCTATAAAAGAAAAATATTTTATTGATTGGTCGTGTCATCTATATAATATATTCTATTGGGTATAGTTAAAGGCTTCGACTTGAAAAGAATG